CCATTCATTCACCTGTTGATGGACATTTCCCTTGCTTCCATATTTTGGCTGTTGCAAAGATTGCTGCTCTGAAAGTGCCTGCACAAAATCTCCTCAAGATCCTGCTTTCAATTCTTTTGGGTATATAGCCAGAAGAGGAATTGCAGGATCAAATGATAATTCTATTTTTAATATTTTGAGGGACCCAGGAACTGTTTCCTCAAGGTCCACAAGAATTCCAATATCTCCACATCCTCCTCAATCAATTTTTATTTTCTGTTTTGTGTTTAATAGTAGCTATCCTAATGAGTGTGAGGTAGTATTCTAATGTGGTTTTGTTTAATCTTTCTCTGATGATTAACAATTATGTACTTAGCCATTTGTGTATATTCTTTGTGTAAATGTCTAAATTTGTCCATTTTAAAATCAGGTTATTTTATTACTGTTGGGTTTAGCAGTCTTTATATAACCTAGAAACTAACCACTTAATGAAGATATGATTTATAAATGTTTTCATCTATTCAAAAGGTTGCCTGTTCACTCTGTGGATGTATATTTACTTATTTTTAGAGAGAGGGGAAGGGAGGGAGGGAAACACCAATCAGTTGCTTCTCACATGCACCCCAACCAGGAACTGACCTGCAACCCAGGCATGTACTCTGACAGGAAATCAAACCCATGACCTTTTGCTTTGTGAGATGATGCTCAACCAACTGAGTCACACCAGTCAGAGCTGATCGTATTCTTGAATGCAGGAGTCCCCAACCCTGATTCTGGTCCACGGCCTGTTAGGAACTGGACTGCACAGCAGAAGGTGAGTGGCGGGCCAGTGAGTGAAGCTTCATATGATTTACAGCATTCACCTATTGCTTGCGTTACCACCTGAGCTACACCTCCTGTCAGATCAGCTGTAGCATTAGATTCTCAGAGGAGTGCAAACCCTACTGTGAACTGAGCATGCGAGGGATCTAGGTTGCACATGCCTTATGAGAATCAAATGCCTGAGGATCTGAGGTAGAGCTGAGGCGGTGACGCTAGCGTGGAGGAGTGAATGCAAATACAGATTATCATTATCAGAGAGGTTTGACTGCACAGAGACCATAATCAACTGCTTTCAGATTCATATCAAAACCCTATGAGTGAGTGGTAAGTAACATATGTTCTGGATTAAAGTCAAGGCAGAATATCCTGAGATTGCCACAAAAGCACTGAAAAGCTGCCTTCCATTTCCAACATCTTACCTTTGCGAAGCAGGGTTTTCTGCAAAGACAGCAACCAGAACGAGATTATGGAGTAGACTGGACATAAGCAACACATATTGGTGTTACTGTCTCCCATTACCCCAAGATGGCACTGTCTGGTTGCAGGAAAATAAGCTCAGGGCTCCCACTGATTCTGCAGTATGGTGAATTGTATAATTATTTCAATGCATATTACAATGTAATAATGATAGAAATACAGTGCACAATAAATGTAGTATGCTTGAATTATCCTGAAACCATTCACACACATATACCCTGGTCCGTGGATAAATTGTCTTCCACGAAATAGTCCCTGGTGCCAAAAAAAATGGGGACCGCTGCTTTAATGTACAGAAGATTGTAATTTGATATAGTACAATTGCTCTTGTTTTTGCTTTTGTTTCCTGTGTATTTTGTGTCAATGCCAAGAAGTTAATTGTTGAAAAGATTGCCTTCTCCCATTGGATTCTTATAGCACTCTTGTCAATTTTCTGATCAAATATGCTGCCTTTCGTTTCTGGGTGGTTTGTTCTATATGTTGGTCTTTATGCCAGTAACACAGTGTTTTGATACATAGTTTTATGAAAATACTGCATTGATCCAGTTTTGACTTCCTGGCTTGATGTTGGTCATTTTCCCTTTTGGGGCAGCTGATTAAGTGCATACCCGAAACCACTTGTCTTTATGATGGACTCACACTCTGGACTGGTATATGCCATCCCTCTTGTGTCAGAGCCAGATACAGGCAACTAAGGACAGACCCTGTGCTCCTGAGCCCATGAAATTATTCAAATGAGGCCATCCTTAAAGAGCCTGGGAAACCTAGCTAGCCCCAGGTCACCTCCTCTACATAGGGTGCCCCCTACAGCTCCGAGCTACTTGCAGTGCCAGCCTGTACCACCTGCTGTATGGCCCTGCCTAATGCTCTTCTCTCATTCCAAGCCCTGAGTGTCCTAGTGTCATTATGTTGTGTCCAGCCATCAAGAATCTTTAAGTTCTATAAGACAACCACAAGACTATTATAATAGTCATTACTAGGTAAGGTCCTCACACCCACTCCAGTGTCCTGGGTTGGGCATTTTTTCTCCCTTCCCCCAGGATGCATCTGGATTTACTACATCCAGACAAGGGGTACTAATTCCTTTTTGGCATATTCTGGGTGCCAGGGCTTGGCTGTGTGCAGTGTACAGCTTGTCCCCAAGCACCCCATCCTCTGTTGATGAGAAGCCTTACAAGATACAGCTCAGGAACCAGGAACCTCAAAGTTTGTCAAAGAAATCCCAGTGGCCTCTTTTGTCTCCTGTCAGTTTAAGCTTCCTGCAGCCTGCCTGGCAAAACAAAATGAATGCCAAGGCAGCAATACCATGGAGTAGCTTAGCTACACTCTTGACACCCTATAAACGAGACGATGGGCACACCACAGAGGTCCACACAAAACTGTGTATGTACAGGGAAGAGCAGGTGGGGGAGTAACTGAGATTATGCTTTTATGACTAAAGTGCCTGGGAGTACCTAGGTGGGGACGTCCCCTATTCAGAAATAAAAACACACATCATGGTTTGTTCTTGGGGTGTTTGTAATATGAGTTTCGTGAGCCTGTGAAACTGACTTGCACATCTTTGACTTAGTTTGGCCTTGTAAGGTGAACCTGATAACCACTGCACTGTAGAAACACCTTAATTTGGCCTTATGATGAATGAATGCTAAATAGACAAATACCAAATCTGAGAAAACGACAGTCCTGTAAACACAGAGCAACTGGTAGCTACTGTAGTGCCTGAAACCCAGTAGGTGCTCACTGAACATTTTTTTTTGTGGGGGCTTTGAGATTTTATTGGATTATAATTGGATTTAAATTGGGTGGGGGTGTTGTTGTGTGGCCCCTGGGCTGTTGTTATCTTCCATCTGTGGCTGTAGGGAGTGGTTAGTTCTGTTCTTGCTTTCCAGTAATTTCCAGTCCTGGGATGACTGCCATGAACCACATGAACAAGCAAGGTACCAGGCTGTTTCTCCAAGGGCTTTTATTGGCTTTCAACGTCAATCTTAATTCCTTAAGGCTTTCTGGTGACATCCAGAGTCCAGACATGACTTTATTAAGAGTTGCTGAATTCTAGAGGGATTAGGTAGGGAGAAAATATATAGATGCTTCAAGATTGCTTGTGAGGGTAAAATTTACCGGTTGTTCTAGAGAGGAAAAAAAAAGTTTCTTTATATCAATCATTGGCCATGAAGATGAGTAAGGAGGAGGCTGTCTTCAGAGTCCAGAAAGATGGAGAAGGTTTAGAATCCTTTCTCCAAACCTCACAGACAGGGTTAGGGGGTTAGCCCCGGTCGAGCTTCCGCTGCCCACTGCTCCCCTAGTAGCAAATCTCAGGAGGCTGGAGGAGAGGGAGAAATAGAGGATGTCCCCATACTGGCCACTGAAATGTTAGGGTGGTTGGTGACACAGGCTGTGAAAGAATTCACAAAGAGAAGAAAATGTAGAGAATAAAGCTTATTCACTCTCCAAGGAGAGGGGCATGGTGTGGAGAGATACACCAGCTCACTGGACATTTCTTACATAAATACCACAGCACAGCTTCCCTGTTTTTTGTCACTTTTCTGTCAAGTCTTTTAAATATCATCTGCATCTCTTCAGTTCATTTTGAAGTATGAAGAAGAATCACATTTTGGAGATGAAAACCTTGTGCTGGACAAGGTTTCAGCACAGCCACAGGCTCAGCTTCATTCTCTGGCTTTTCAGACTTAAATTTCACTGAGGTTTTAACCTTTTTTTTTTTACTTGTCCATGTCACAGTTGTTTCCCTAGAATTATTTCTGCTACTTTCTTTTAATAATAAACATTATTAACACCTTTCACTAATTGCCATTCACAAGTGTTTTTGTGAAAAACATAACTCCCTATGAAGACATCACTTAAGCAGTTTGAGGTGAAATACTGAATCACTTCCCAGTGAGATGAGATCATAGCATCCCACACCTTTGTCTTGGGGACAAGGTGCTCCCTTTTTACACATGCTCTGACTATTTAAGAGCACATATTATCCTGACAGAAAAACGGCATGTGATAAGTCACCTTTTTCTCAAATTGGTTTCAAGTTCTTAAAAGAATTGCAAAAATTTCTGATATAGAGTAGTAAATATTTGAAAATATATGCTGCTCAATGAGTTCAAATAATCACTGACATATGCCCAGGAAAGACGTTTTTTGTGGGGGGAACCAGAGACACAGCATCACCCTGTTTACCAACTTATGTGCCTCCTGCCCTCCTTGTCTTCCCTATCCTGCCTATGTCTGAAGTCTTTTCCTGGGCCAAATATACTGAAAGATCTTTAAACTGATTCCAGAGCATGTGTATTTAAAAAGTAGTAAGATAGGTGACAGCTAAGAGTGGACGTAGCCTCATTATGCCATCGTTGTCCTCTCGGCTGTGTAGTCTTTAGGAACTTGCTGTGCTTCTGAAATACTTCCTGGACTGCTTTTCGGGAAATCTGGGTAAGTCCCCTTTAAGAGCAAGCGAAGCCTGCCTTCTTTTTGGAGCCCTTTAACTCAATTTCCAACGCCTAAGACCTAGTCACTTGGCCTTTATCATCCACTAAAGAGTTACTTAACTGAGACTTGAGAGGTGGCGGAGGTAGGGTAAACTACAATACCCAGAAGTCTTTATAGTGCGCCTCAGCAGAGGCGGCGGCCAGTGAGCCAATGAGGGCTTAGGAGAAGCGCATTTCTGTGCGTAGGGTGGGACTTCCGGCGTCCCTTCTGGTTGTCATTTTGGTTGCTCTTGGGTTGTTCACCGGGTCGGGTCGGCGCCGCAGAGGTGAGGGATAGGAAGGCAGCTGCAAGGAGGCCCCGTGAGGCTGGACGAGCCCGTTATTGACTTCGGTGCCCTGTTCCCGCCCCATTTGCCCGTCTCTTTCCACAGGCTGGTGGGGCTGCGCAGATGAGCCCGACTGAGGTGGGTGCTGTGTCCCTCCCCACCCGCCCCCAACCCCCGCCCCCGGCCTCCCCGCCCAGCTCCCACCTTCGAGTCCTGATGGAAGGGCACCGCTCTGCAGTGTGAGAAGCGGGCAGCGTTCCTTCGGGGGCGCCTGAGCCCTGGGGAACTGGGGTCTCTGTGTCCAGGGGACAGGGCAAGGAGTATCGCTTCAAGGAACGACCTGAGTGGCTAGAAGCCGTGGGAGGTTCTGAAGGGACGGTGGTGTGGAGGGGTGTGTCTCGAGCTGGACTTTCCAAGTGGGTCAAACCACAAGGCCTGGGAGGCAGTTGACCCCAGGGGAGTGACAGTGGAGGCCTGACCAAGTTGATGGCGGTCAGGGACCATGTGACGAGATTCTGGAAAAACTTCATAAAGCAGACTGAGTTGTCTGTTGCAAAAATACATATTTGCAATTCGAAGTAAGGAAACAAGGATAGCAGGTATTTTTTCCTGAACATCTGAAAGTGCGGAGATGAGCAAGTTAGAGGAAGGAGCAGGTTTGGGGCGGAGGGGGTCGGGCGTTGGCAGGGGAGAAAATGAGCTGGAGTTTGGACGTGATGATCTCAAGATGTATCAGGATGGAGATGTCACATCATGGCGGTGTCCTATGTGTAGGTGACCATAAAGGTCTGTAAGCTGAGGAAGGGGGCAGGGTTGGAGACATCAAAGGGGTAGAGGGTGCGGATTGGACCAGGTCGAGGCCTGGGGACCATATGCAGGAGGGAGAGTCTTAAGCTCCTTATTTCCCACCAGCCCTGTGGTGAGGGTGGGGAGGGCATGGGGAGTGGGTCTTGGCACCTCTGATGCTCCTCCCAGAAAAGAGCAGACCTGACATAGGAATCTGGCTTGTGTCTGTAGAACTGGCAGGGTTCCGTACAGTGGGGACTGCCATTGTGTGCTGAGGATTCTCCGTTAGGGGGCTCCACTAACTCCAGGGCCACTTCCTGTGAAACAAAGGCAATGTTCACCAGGCTGATGGAGCTGCTGGGTCCTAGACCAGAGGACTGCACCTCACCTCCACCCTCAGAGCAAGCGGAATGATGCGCTGCTTCAGTCAAGAGCCCCCAACAAACTCCTTTCAGAAGATCATGTAACAGGCAGGCCTGGTTACTGAATGGACTAACAGCTGACATGCCTGCTCAATCTGTCCCTGTAGCACATTAAGAATATATGAAAAGTTTTTGATTGAACACTAATGGTCCTGGCCAGGTGACTCAGTTGGTTGGACCATTATCCCGTATACCAGTGGTCTGCGGTTTCAGTTCCGATCAGGGCACATACCTAGGTTGCAGGTTCAATCCCCAGCCAGGGGGCATACGGGAGGCAACCTATCAGTGTTTCTCTCTCTCCCTACCTCTCTCTAAAATCAATGAACATATCCTTAGATGAGGATTAAAAAACATATAGCCTTGCCTGTGTGACTCAGTTGGTTGGAGCTTATGCATGTAAACCAAAAGGTAATGGTCTGATTCCCAGTCAGGGCACTTGCCTGGGTTGTGTTTCAGTCTTGTATAGGAGAGGCAACTGATTTCCCTTTCTCTACCTCTCTAAAGTCCCCAGGTGAGGATGGGTAGGCAGATGAACTTATTCAGCCCCTGGCCAGGTGGCTCAGTTGATTAGAGTGTCCACTTGATATGCCAAGGTTTTAGGTTTGACCTCAGTCTCCAGTCAGGGCACATACAAGAGTGAATGCATAAATAATTGGAACAACAAATTGATGTTTCTCTCTCTCCCCCTTCCCTTCTCTCTCTCTAAAATCAATAAGTAAAATTGTAAAAACATTAAAAAAATAAACCTATTCAATACACTCAATTTATGCAAACACCTCATAATTGGTTTGGCATTAATTTACCACTAAGTATTGGTGTACAATATAGTTTTAGATATGGATGCCCTGAAGTCTTAAAAAGCAGTAAAAATAAAGACTCCAAATTTCAAAACTCTACCACTTCATTTGCACTGAAAATATATAGAAACTGTTGACCCTATGACAATAATAGGGGGTCATCATATATAATCCTTATATTTGGTAGCAATGTGAGCCCTGTGGAGTTGGAAGCATTCTGACCCCGATAAGCATTTTATTTTCCCTGAGTCCTTCTCCAGGTCACCCAGCTGGTAAGAGACAGCACTGATTTCTGAGGAGCTGAGCTTAGACCATAAGGCTCAGATGGTCCAAGGCTCTAGGGCAGCACAGGGGTGGTGGTCCACCTCAGCTTGTAGGATCCTACCATGGTTACCCATCTCTCATGGCCTCCTTCTTCCCACAGGGTCCCAGGGCAGTGGCAGAAATGCTTATGGACCCTGCACAGGTGAGTGGAGGGTGCATCCACTTTCAGCCATCCCAATTACCACTCCAGTGGTTTTGGCATCACAATATGTATATATATATACCCTCAGAAAGTGGGGGTGCCCTGAAACTTCTCCCATCCTTCTCATTCTCTTGAATCTGAAGACCATGTGCTTTCACCAGGCTTAGAATTTTATATCTAGTCCCAGATTATATGGATCAGTTCCCATTTCTGACAACCAATGGCTTAAGATGTGGCAGGGAGTCCTGGGCACAAGATTTAGAGTGTGCAGATGCCAGGAGGTGAGGTTTAACTGTGATGTTAAGGGAACTGCGGGTTTCTGTTATATCCTGTGGGACCTGGGGAGCTGGATAAGGGTTGGGAAGGGGTGCATAAGTTTCTGGCCTTGAATGACAGCCTGAGGTCCTGGGCCTCTAATCTGAGGTTGGTGGGAAGTTTTGAAGCAGAAAAGGAAGGTGGTGTGACCCAGATTTTAACAAGCTCCCTCTGGCTGCAGAGTGAAAGACAGATTTGGTGTGTGCGTGAAGGCAGGGAGACCTGGCAGGAATCTCTTGCAATAGTCCAGGTGAGTGTCAGCGGTGGCTACACAAGAGTGGTAGCTGGTTTTTGGATGTGTTTTGAAGTAGAACTGCCCGTTGTTTTTTTTCATGTGGAGGACAAGGGAGATGAGGAGGTGAGAGAAGGAAGGAAGAACCAGGGATGGCCCCAGATTTTGACCTTGTTAGGAAGGAGAGGTGCTTCATCAGCTAAAAATGGGAGAAGTCAGTGAGATGAGGAATTTTCAGGTGGAACATGAATAGTCACTTTTTGTCCTTGTCACAAATGTTCCAGATACTGGAAGGGAAGGTGTCAGTGGGCACTTGCACACAGAAGTCTGGGGTCAGGGGAAGGATTCAGATTAGTGGTGGGCACAGCATAGTGGTTGGTATGTGGATTAGGATGAAGCATGTAGCTGTGGGCTGGATTTAGGAAGTAGTATCTCTACATTATGGTGGCAGGCCATCAGAACACAAGTGATGGAAATGAAAGGCCTGAATACTAGATCTCTTGACTGGGCACCTGGGTGGCGTGGTGGGCATCACAGACAGATGAGAAAGCAGAGCATGTGTGTGGGTGTGTGAGTGACAGTGGTGTGGAAGAGTGAGAAAGTCTTCCAAGGCCAGCCCTGACCAGTGAGTTGGGCATCATTCTGCAAAGCAAACGGTCCCCAGTTCAATTCCCAGTAAGGGCACATGCCTGGGTTGGTGGTTTGTTCCCTGGTCGAGCTATGTACAAGAAGCAACTAATGGATGTTTTTCTCTCACATCAATGTTTCTCTCCCAGTCTTTCTCCCTTCCTTCCCTTCTCTCTCTTAAAGAAAGAGCGAAAGAAATTTTCCCAAGTTCACTGCACATATGCGATGGATGCTGAGGGGAGAAATGGGCTCAGCTAGGAGAGCTAGGCCGAGTGTGGAGTGAGAATGTGGATAGGAGATCAGTGTAACTGGGCTCTCAATGAGGAGAGAAAAAGGTTCTGACTGCTGAGGGGGCAGCTATTGCAATGCAGAATGGGGAGAGGGCTGAGCTAAGTGATGTCCTCACATAGGAAGGGTGGCTGAGGCTGAAGCAAGGAACAGGGCCAGGTGAGGAGACCTTCAGGATTGGGTTAGCCCTGGCAGTAGGGGAGTTAAGCATTCAGGGCAGGAGTGGGGATGAGATGGATGCTGAATGTGTTTCCCATGCGCTGCCTGGATTCCACATGGTAAGTGGCATGTTTGGAGGTGAAGGAATGCCTGTGGGTCGACTTGGAGTTCTGGTGGAGTTGTCACCTTGGAGGAGTCAGAGCCATGAGGGTGGTGCTGTCCAATGAGTGATATGCAGGTGAAGGGAGTGTGAAGGATTGGCTCTCATCCCTGGCACTTGGCACTTATAGAAGGACAAGACTGAGTTTGGTTTTCTGAGAGGCAAGATCTGGGGAGACCCCAGGGAAGCTGGCTGGCAGGAAAGGGGTAGGGTCCCACATGTGTTCTGCTCTGTGCTGGACACAGTGATCAGTGGCCATGAGGAGAGAGCAGGCACCAGTGCCACCACACTTGTTAACTGTCACACTGGGAAGACGGGAAGGAGGAGAATGGACAGGGAAGGACTGGAGATCCCGGAGAGAGAAGTGGATGAGTGATTGTGTCCACAGGGTTTTAAAAAAGATTTTATTTATTAATTTTAGAGAAAGGGGAAGGGGAGGAAAAAGGGAGGGAGAGAAACATTGATGTGCTGTACAAGGAAAACAGATCAGTTGCCTCTCACACTCCTCCAACTGGGGACCTGTCCCACAACCCAGGCATGTGCCCTGACCAGAAATTGAACCCATGACATTTCAGTTTGTGTGTACCCACAGGATTTTGATTTATGGATGTGAATGAGTAAGTGACAACATGGAAAGACCAATGCATAGAAAGGAGGTTTTTATTATATTTCCTGAGCGGAGGAGGCACTGGGTCCACATGGGGAAGCAGGAGTGAAGGGAAACCTTAGGTCAGAGCCTTTATTGGATTGTCCTAGGGAAATGCAGGGAGTGTGGAGTGGCAGATTAGGGATGGCTAGTTTGTATAATCCTAGTGCCCTGGGGTACAGTGGCTGTCCCTAGCAGTCTGAGACTTCACCCTGGGCTGGTTTGGGGCAAGGGAAATATTCATTGTCCATCTGTGAGTTAGCTAAGGAGCTGGTTCAGACAATGGGCTCCGAATCACAGGGGTGATGTAAACAAATTTGGCCATTAGTTTAATCCATAATTAGTGGATAGCAAATAGGTAAGTACAGAATCCACAAAAACACAGTGAAAATAAGCTGCTTGTGAACCAAATTGTCTCCACTTTTACAGGGTTGTGTGGTCTTTGAGGATGTGGCCATATACTTCTCCCAGGAGGAATGGGGGCTCCTGAACGAGGCTCAGAGACGCCTGTACCATAATGTCATGCTGGAGAACTTGGCACTGTTGTCCTCCATAGGTGAGGCCCTCACATCCATCTCAGGGTCCTGGGCTGGGTCCTGTTCTTGTCCTCTCCAGGGGCAGCTCTGTCCTTCCCACCACAAGACTGCGGGCACTGCTTCCTCTCCTGGTTTTCTGGCACGTGTGTTGTTGGTGTCAGGGATGGGCTGTGTGCATTGTCCCCACTGTCCCCAAGCAGCCCATCTCTGCTGCTTTGAGTACTCACTAAACAAGGCTGAGGAGTCAGAAATCTTGAAGTTTGTATGAGAGGTCCCTCAGACCTGGCCTGTCCCTGGGTGGGTCACTCATTCCAGATGCTGGAATCTCAGTGCCCCAAGATACCCCCTCCTCTTGCTGACATTTCTTAGGGTCTGCCTATGCCAGGAATTTTAAGTACCAACATAATTACTAATTTTAGGGACTACCAGGTTGTTCTACTCTCTGTCCTGTGAAGTTCTTATAATTTTCAAACGATGGATGACCCATGTTGGATCACTCTGGGTGTGTACTGGCCACACTTTTTTCTGTTTTTCACCCGGAAGTGGCCTCTTTCAGGTGCCACATCATTGTTCACCTTGAGCAATGAAAGGACCCTGGGTGCCTGATAGGATAGACATTGATACCTCAATGGCAAGAGATGCTCAAAAGTACACGCTCTGATGCAAGGGAGCTGGGAACATGTACTTTGTTTATTGTTGTTGCCTGCCAGCTCCAGTGGCCACAGCTCATTTCTATGCTCTTATAATCCATTTCCGCCACACTCCAGCAAACTATGTGGCCTTCATGTCCCCCCATTCTGTTTCACTACAGTTCCCTTTGCATTCAACTACTTTTAAGATGTCATGAGGTTACATGCATCCTTAAATAGTCCTTGAAAAGCGGTATTTCTGTTGTAGTTGGGTATTTCTAGGTCTGGATACAACTTCTACACAGTGCTCTCTAATCACCAGAGGCCATGCCCTTAGTGACATGGAGACCCTGCCTCTCCTCCCTGCACAGTACCTTCTGTGGTCTGAATGTTTGTGTCCCCACAAAATTCGTATGTTGGAAGCGTCATGCCCAAAGTGATGGTATTAGGAGATAGAGCCTTTGGGATGATATAGGTCATGGAGACAGAGCCCTTATGAATGAGATTAGTGCTCTTATAAAAGAGACCCCATGGAGCTCCATAGGCCCTTCCACTATGTGAGGAACCAATGAGAAGTCTACAACCTGGAAGAGGGCCCTCACCTGGCTATGCTGGCACCCTGATCCTAGAATTCCAGCCTCCAGGACTGTGGAAAATACACTTCTGTTGCTTATAAGATTATTGTGGTTGTTAAAATACCACCAGTTGGTGGTATTTTGTTATAGTAACCTGAATTGACTAAGACACTACCTCTGTCTTCAGGCCTTCCTCTCACTGGCTCTAGGCCCCCCTTGCCTATCAGCAGTTTCATGGACTATATCGTGGGCATCTCTGATGCTCATTTCTGGTGGTCTTCCCCCTCCCACTAATGTTAAGGTGCACTTCACTGGTATTTCTCTGCTTGCAGGTTGTTGGTCTGGAGCCCAGGATGAGGAGGCACCTTTGGAGCAAGGTGATTCTGGTGGAGGTTCACAAGTCAGGACTCCAAAGTCAGCTCTGTCCACCCAGAAGACCCAACCCTGTGAGATAAAAGACATGTTGCAACAGGCTGAGCACTATGGAATGTACCCTGAGCAAGGGCTGCACATTCGTGGGACAGATCTTTACCAACCCCAGGTGGAACAGATAGGAGACAAGGTGTCTGGAAGAGATGAGGAGAGGCCTTCACTTGTGACAGATGGCAGCGTTCACATGTCACAGAGGCCCTTCATGTGCAGCGATGGTGGGGAGGACTTCCTATCCAGGGCAGGCCTCCTCCAGCACCTGGCTCCTCACCATGGGTGGAAGCCACCTGGAGACACCAAATGCAGAGAGGCCTTTGAAACTGGACAAAATGATTACAGTTGCACTCAGTGTGGGAAAAGCTTCAGCCGAAAACAGATACTTGTTCAGCACCAGAAAATCCACACTGGAGTAAGGCCTCATGAGTGCAGCAAGTGTGGGATGGCCTTCATTAGAAAGTTCCACCTTGTTCAGCACCAGAGGGTCCACACTGGAGAAAAGCCTTTTAAGTGCAGTGAATGTGGGAAATTCTTTAGGTACAAGTCCACACTCATTGGTCACCAGAGAGTCCACACTGTATCAAGCCCTTATGAGTGTAGCAAATGTGGTGAATTCTTTAAGTACAAAGCAAACTTCACAAAACATCAGAGAATTCACAATGGAGAATGGCCTTATGAATGCAGAGAATGTGGAAAATTCTTTAGGTACAACTATAGACTGATAAGACATGAGAGAGTTCACACTGGAGAAAGGCCATATAAGTGCAGCGAATGTGGGAAATTTTTCAGGTACAGCTCCACATTCATCAGACACCAGAGAGTTCACACTGCAGAAAGGCCTTACGGTTGCAGTGAATGTGGCAAGTTCTTTCGGTACAACTCCACACTCATCAAACATCAGAGAGTCCATACTGGAGAAAGGCCCTATGAATGCAGTGAGTGTGGGAAGTTCTTTAGGTACACTTCCACACTCATTAGACATCAAAGAGTTCACACTGTTGAAAGGCCTTATGAGTGCAGCTTATGTGGGGAATTCTTTAGGTACAAGTCCAAGCTCATTAAACATTGGCAAAATCACACTGGAGTAAGGCCTTATGAGTGTGGCGAATGTGGGAAAGCCTTTAGGTACCACTGCAGACTCATTAGACATAAGAGAGTTCACAGTGGAGAAAGGCCATATGAGTGCAGTCAATGTGGAAAGTTCTTTCGGTACAACTCCAACCTCATTAAACATTGGAGAAATCACACTGGAGAGAGGCCTTATGAGTGCAGTGAATGTGGGAAAGCTTTTAGCCACAAACATATACTTGTTGAGCATCAAAAAATCCACACTGGAGAAAGGCCTTATGAGTGCAACAAATGTCAGAAGGCCTTCATTAGAAAATCCCACCTTGTTCATCACCAGAAAATTCACAATCAGGACAGGCCTGTGAAATCCGTGAATGTGGGGAATTCTTCAGATATGACTCCAACCTCATTAAATACAGTTAACACTGGCAAAGACCTTATGAGTGCAGAGAATATGGTAAACCTTTTAGATACAACTCTAAAGTCATTACACTGGAGAAGCGCCTTATGAGTTCACATTGGATTAGGGCCTTCTGAGTACAGTGAATGTGAGAAAGTCTTTAGATGCAACTCCAGCCCCGTTACACATCAGAGTTCACACTGAAGAAAGACCATGTGAGTGTACCAAATATGGGCATTAATGTGTTCAGCCAAGACTCCAACCACATTGTGACACTAAAAAGTTCATGTTAGAGAGAGAATTGCAAATGATGAGCCATATGTCTGCTCTAATTTACCCCTAGGAACTACTGTAATATAGATTATTTTATATTTTGAATTGTGGTAAAATACATATAACAAAGCTTATCCTCCAGCATTTTTATTGTACAGTTTAGTAAAGTTAAGAAGTCACATATTTGTGTAACTAATCTTCAGCTTTTTATCTTACAAAACTGAAACTCTGTACTCATTTAACAACTCCTGCACTTACTCTACTGCACCAGGCAACCACCTACATTCTGTCTCTCTGAATTTGACTAGTCTGGATTCTTCATACAAGCGTAATTATACAGTATTTGTGTTATTGTGACTGGCTTACTTTGCTTAGCATAATATCCCCATGTTGATACATTTGTCAGCATTTCCTTCTATTTTGAGAAGGAATCAGAGTTGATTCACTTGCAACGTGGGGAACGGTGCCGATGGAGTCAGTACAGCTTTGCCAGATGTTAGGATATTTCTAGAGGAAGAGGAGATCTAGATTTTACATGGAATTTTAATTTAACAACTTTATTGACACATTGAAATAAATTACATTTATTAAAAGTGTAAACTATATTTTCATATATGTGTGCACAATGGGACTGTCACCAAAGTCAATGTAATGAATATATCCATAGCTTCTAAAATTTTCATTGGCATCTTTATATTCTCTCTTCCAGCCCTACCCAACTTGTTCTCCCCAAATACACACTATAGTTTGCATTTCTAGAATTTCGTATAAAAGAAGTCCTACAGTTACTCTTGTATGGCTGCTTTTACTAAGCACATCTATATATTTTTTTAGTATTATTCATGTTGTGTGTCCAAAAGCATGGCATCAAATAAGAATAAGCAAGGCTCTGTACTACTTATGAAAGTGATAATTGTGTATAAACCACAAAGGTGCTTTTACCTTCTGACAATCAGTCTGAGAAACAGTTGTTTAAAGTGGGAAAGTGAAGCTTAAACTGAACAAATTTAAGTTCAGTTTCATATGAATTCACTATCAATAAAAATGTTTTAATTACCTGCCTCATACACAAGCATATAGATTTGTGTCTTATTTGACTTCATTTTTCTACTGTCTTTAAGCTGTTAAATTCTTTAGAGGAAAGGAAAATGATCTAGGTTACATACTCATTTGCAATACAAAATCTTTATTTCTCCTATTCTCAATTAATGTGACAGATTACAGTTTGTCCAAGAAAATAGCAACAATATATTCAAGTATGTGTGTGAGTACATATATGAAATGAATAACAGCAATGATACAGGGACCAGACAGAGGAATTAGGATTATTTTGTTATGTTAAGGTGCACACAATACCTGTGCAGCAGTGGAGTGTTATTTAAAAGTGGATTTGGATTAGCTGTAGATGTATACTGTAAACTCTAGGGCGACCACTAAACAAAGTAACAATGGACGTGTAACTGATAGAGAACGAAGTTAAAAATAATTAAAACTACAAATGCAACTAAAGGGTAGCAGACAAAAACAGGAATAAAGTATAAGGACAACAAATACAAAATAGTAAATATGGTAGATATTAATCCACTTATATCAATAATCACTTTGTCTAAATGTATCATCAAAAGACAATGTCAAAGTGGATCAAAACACAAGAACCAACTACATGCTGTCTACAAAAAACAAAAAAATGGTTTTAATATATATAATATCTATAGATACAAGGGGGGACCCAAAAAAACCCTGGAATTATCTTCTGGAGGGTGGACCCCTTCTAGTACATGCTTCTCCCACTAAGTGAGTGTTTTAGGAACCCATCTGTATCAGTGTACTAGCTGGCATTGTGAGAAGCTGTGTGAAGTTCAATGAATTTTTTTTTTAAGACTCTTTCAACGTGTGTTTGCCCATTTCATGATGGGTGATTTACAAGTGCACCTGCCCACACTGCGCTGAGTGTTCAGTAGTTTTGGACCACAAATGGCATGACCCGTCTTCCCCATCTTCTGTATTCACCTGATCTTGCCCGGAGTGACTTTTTATTTGTTTCCCCAATGAAAAAAGTCCTCAAAGGGAAACGGTTTGCTAATATGGAAGAGGTGAAACAAAAAATGGCAAAAGCACTAAAAGGCATCAAAATTGACAATTTCAAAAACTTGAGCAGCGGAAAAAAGTCTTGATAGGTGTATTGCATCAAATGGAGAATACTTTAAAGGTGACTGAGTTTAAGAATGCAAAGATAAATACACAATTCTTTTATAAATTCCATATTTTGGGTCCCCCTTGTATATATTTAGTAAATGGATAGAGAAATATATACCATGATAATGCTAACCAAAAGAAAGCAGGGATACCAGGGTGCATTGTGTAATGATGAAAGGGTAAATTCTCTACAATTTCTTTCAGAAAATAGAAGCAGAGGGAATACTTCCCAACTCATTCTTTGAGACCAGCATTGCCTTAATATGAAAAAACAAAGACATTATAAGAAGAAAAAAATTACAGACCAATATGTTTCCTGAACATGGGTACAGAAATCTTCAAAACATTACCTTATTGCATCCAACAGTGTATAAAAAGAGAGGGAGGAGCAGGGAGAGAAGCATCAATCTGTTGTTCTACTTATTTATGCATTCACTTGTTGATTCTTGTATGTGCCCAGGCCAGGGATCAAACCTCCAACCTTGGGATAGTGGAAGGATGCTCTTACCAACTAAACTACCCAGACAGAGCCAAACTTCACTGAAATCTTAACTTTTCCCCATCCGTAACAGATATGTCTCTCTAAAACTATTTTGCCTATTTCTTTGGATAATTACATAACCATTATTACTAACTTTCTGTAACCTCCATTTCACAAGATTTTGTCAGAGATTATTTCAACTTTGTGTGCACTCACTGTCAACGCAATTTCATTTGAAACGATAAACCACTTCTGAGCAAGGAGATGAGATCACGGGAACACCACACCTTTATCTCAGGGATAAGAGGCCCCTTAGCACCTGTGCTTCAATGGTTAGAAAGGCGCACACTATCTTGGCAGGAAAGGGTATGCAGTAAGTAGCTCTCCTTTTCAGATTTTCAAAAGAAATGGAAAATATCTCAGATATGGAGTAATAATATCATCTCGATGAAAAAAAATTAAGAATATTCCAATAAAAGTATTGCTCTCTAGGTGGGAACACAAATCAGTCTGGCCGAAAAGATAAACCTCCTCCAACTTCACATCATATTCTCTCTGAGGGTTCTTTTCCTTCTTGTCTTTGACCGAGATTATTGAAGATAATTAACCAGTCCCCAGAACTTTAGCCGACAGCTATGAGTGGACGCTGAATGCCATTATGGTGTAGCGTGTCCCTTTGGCTGTGTAACCTTTGGCAATGTGCAGTGCGTCACAGAATCTGTAATAACAAACGTCTATTTCTGACACTTGTGCTAGACTGCACCACGAGGAAATGTAGGTCTATCCCATTTAAGAGCCACGAAGCTCAGTTGGGTCCTGGCAGACCGGGGACTCCACTTCCCAGCATCCCCTCACGCAGTCCGTTGGCCTTCTTCCCGAAACCCTAGCAACCGCCGCAGCCTCAGTGGGGAAGAACGGGAGAACTGCAGTACCCAGAAGGCTCTGCGACAACCAAAGACGGCGAGCAGAGCCAATGAGAGCTTAACGTGGCGCCGTTTACCTGCGTATGCGCATTGGAGGCGGGGCTTCCGGCCGCGTCCCCTCAGGATTAGCGTTCTTTCGGTTCTACGGATTGTACTCTGGTTCTACTCTTTTGCCTTGGGGTTGGGAGTCTGGGGCGGGGCGGAGGAGGTAAAACTCGCTCCGGGACGGCGTCTCCGCCGCACGGAGGCGGCTGTGAGGCCCGACTGAATCTGTTGGCGACAGCGGTGCCCTGTTCCCGACCTGTCGCCCTTGCGCTTCCTGCAGGCGGGTGGCGGGGCGGCGCCCACGAGCCCGACTGAGGTAGGTGCTGCGTCCTCCGGCTTTCCCGCCCGTCTCTCACCTCTGGATTGGAGCCGGGTGTAGGGGCGCTGTCGGGTCCCTCGGCGACCGCCGTGTGAGAAGGGGGCAGCGTTCTCTTAGGGGCATTAGAGCGCTGGGAAACCGACGTCTCTGTGCCCAGGGGCGACGAGTGTCGCCTCGAGGGACGACCTGAGCGGCTGGAATTCTTGAAAGGTTAGGGTGATGTGGTTTCTAAGAAATATGTACTTGGGCGCGCAGGTTACCAAAATGTTTTCCATACTTGGTCTTGTCACAGCTCTTCAACCCCTGGGAATTTCCCAGGTGTTGAGATTAGTAGCGGTATCGTTTGTTTTGGGAATGGATGACTTTTGGAAAGCATCTGAAGACGCGGACGGGCTGTCAGGAGAACCAGACTGTGATTGGAGGGTTGGAACTTTAAGTCCCACGCTCTGATTTCCGGGCGGGGAGAGGGGCTGGAGGTCAAATCCATCGCCTCTGGCTGTGATTGAATCTATCCTGTCTATGGTGTGAACCCTCCAAAAATCTCCTGAAGGACGGGGTTCAGAGAGCTCCTGGGTTGGGGAACACGTGTAGATTTCGAGAGAGTGGCACCTGGAGAGAGCGTGGAAACTCGGTGCTCACTCCTCACACCTTGCCCTATGCATCACTTCCATCTATTCCTGAGTTATGTTCTCTTACAATGAACTGTCAATTTAGTAAGTATTGTTACATGTTTCTCTGAGCCCTGTGAGCAGTCCTAGGAAATTAAGGAGGGATCTTGGGAACCTCTGATTTACAGCCCGTGGATCAGAAGTACAGGTAACAACCTGGGCTTGCGACTGGCATCTGAATTGAATTGCCAGTGAGGAGGGACGTTGGAACTTCCAGTCTGTAACCAGTTGGCCAGAAGTACAGATAACAGCCTGGGCTTTCAACTGGCATTTCGTGGTTAATGGGGGGCAATCTTGTAGGACTGAGCCCTACACCTGTGGAATCTGATGCTGCCTAGGTAAAATTGAGTTGAATATTTGGACATCCTTCTGATGTCTTGACAATTGCTTGGTGTTATGTGGAAAGCCACTTCCCTTCATATTGGAATTGAGTCCAGGAACCTAATTTAGGGACATATCCAGATTTGAAGTTTAAAGTTGTTAAGAAGTGGGTGGGAAATGGAGGTGGGGAGATGGGCAAGGAGGACCCCGAAGTAGATTTCAGGAGGATTATGGGAGGGCTGCACCAGAGGGGTCTCAGTAGAGGAGGGGTGTGACAAGAGTTTATATAGGTCATAAAGACAGAGCCAGCAGGATTTTCTGCTGTATCACGTGTGCTTTTGAGCAAAAGTAGGGAGTGAAGGACCATCCCAGGTGTTTTACCTGATTATTAAAGGAATGGAGATGAGGAAGTTAGTGCAGTGAACAGGAGTCAGTGAGAAGATCATGAGTTGTATTTGAACATGTGCTGTAAGGCGTTTCAACCTGACTCTGAGATGTCAGAACATGGAGACATTACCTAGGTAGATGTACAGAAATGTGTGGGGTCCCGGGAAGTGGTTGGGCTGGAGCTTCCGAAAGGGTGGAAGGTGTCGACTGGACCAGGCCATAGCCTAGTGACCACATTGAAGAAGGAAGACTTATGGTTATTCCAGATGGGCTCTGTGGTCAGGGAGGGAGGCAGGCCTAAGACTGGAGGGCAGGATGTAGAGGTGGGTGTGCATTCCTGATGCCTCTTCAGAGAGGAGTGGTCCAGGTGTAGGATGAATTCTGGTCTGTGTTTGCAGGAAGGAAGGTTCAGATGAGGTAAGGGGCTGACCTGGGGTAGAGGCTGAGGTGTGAGTTGGTATTAGATTCTCCCCACTGCAGGCTGAGCAGACCCTCAAGACCACTCCCTGTGGAACATGATAGAGGTCACCTGGGTTAGTGGAGCAGCTAGATCCCAGACCAGGGCACCTCCTCCAGTGCTCAGAGCAAGGGTGCGATCCACTGTCCAGTCAAGAGCTTCTTGCATGCTCCCTTCAGAGGATTACATTGCAGGCAGGCCTGGTTGCTGAAAGCGGTAGTATGCTCAGTGCCTCCATGCAACCTATTAACTGAAGAATACATAAAAATTACCGATTTAAACACTGATGAACCAACATCCCTCTAAATATGTACACAGGTAGGCAATTAGAAACTGAACATACTGGATTAGTTAAATTTATCCAAACACTTCATAATTGGTCTGAATGTTAACTCACCTTTAAGTATTTGTTTATGATGTAGGAGTTTTATGTATTACGTCCTTTAAAGACTCTAAAAAGTGGGAAAAATATATGCCCAAATTTCAAAACCTGAACACTTCATTTGCAATGAAAACATCCAAAACCATTGATCATGGGGACAGTACAGCTGATACATAGTGTGTACCCCTTATGTTTAATATCACTATCTGCCCTTTGAGTTGAAACCATTCTGAAGCCCATTTTACAGATGAAGGCACTGAGATTTATGGATGTCTGTTCTCCATGGTCACTCGGCTAATAAGAGGCAGCACTGATTTCTGAGGAACTGAACTCAGACCATTCTGAGGAGCTGGGCTTAGAGCACTTTGTTCCAAGGCAGGGCAAGGGTGGTGGTCCAGCTCAGCTTGTAGGATCCTACCATGGTTACCCATCTCTCACAGCATCCTTCTTCCCACAGGGTCCCTCAGAGCACTTTGCTCCAAGGCAGGGCAGGGCTGGTCCAGCTCAGCTTGTAGGATCCTACCATGGTTACCCATCTCTTACAGCCTCCTTCTTCCCACAGAGTCCCACAGCAGTGGCAGAAATGCTTATGGACCCTGCACAGGTGAGTGGAGGTTGGCTCAGGCTCCCACGGACCCTAATCTCCCTCATGGTTTAGGCATCCCAACATAGGGAACAGTGATATTCTGAAACTCCACCTATCCTCCTTCCTCTCTGGGACCTGAAGACCCTGTGGTTCCACATAGCCAAGGTCCTGAACTCAGTCCTGGGTTATATGTCTCTTTCAGTTCAGACACTGACAGGGTAAGATGTGACATGCATCCTGGGCACAGGATCTAGAATGTTCAAATGCCACAGGTGAGCCCTGGCCAGGTAGCTCAGTTGATTAGAGCATCATATGCTGTTTCCTTCTCTCTTTCTTTCTCTCAAATCAGTAAATTAAAAAAAAAAAAAAAAAGAACTTAACAAATGCTGGCACATGTGACTTAGCTGGGATGTTTAGGAAATTGCAAATCCCTGTTCTGTCTGATGGGATAGGGAGTAGGGTGGCAAGAGGTTGGCCATGCAGGGACCAGGCTTAGAATGGCAACTGATTGTTCCAGGCTTCCAGTCTGAGGACTGTGAGAGCTAGGGCAGGTGTGGAGCAGGGGAGAGAGGTGATCTGACCCAAGTTTTACCAGGCTCACTGTGACTGCAGAGTTGGAGGATAGATGTGGGGGCGAGGGTAGGGTGACTGCCCCAGTACAGGCGAGTGCTGGTGTCAGCTGGGCAGGAGTGGTTGGGTTTTGAATGTGTTTCATAGAGCTGCTGCATTTCCTGCTGTGGAGAGTGAGGTGGAAGTGGGGAGTCAGGGCCAGCCCCAAGATTTCTGGCCTTGTTTGGAAGAATGGATGTTCTATCAGTTAGGAAGTAGGAAGTCAGCAGTAGAAGGAATTTTCAAAGGGAAGATGAAGAATCAGGTTTTGGGCATGTCACAAGTGTTCTGGAGGCTCCGAGGGGACACACCTGGGGTTAAGAGGAGGAGCTCAGGCTGGAGACAGCGCAATACAGTGGCTGGTGTGTGCGCCCCAGTGGAGCTGCAACTCAAACTTCAGAGCGGTGTCCTTCTGTTATTGTGGTAATGATGTTAGGGACATGGGAGGGAGGGACAGGCCAGATCCACGTCTCAGGTGGTCACTTGGATGTGGTGGTGGGCGCCACAGACATAGAAACTAGAGTGTCTGTGGGTGTGTATGTCTGTGAGGGGAGAGTGGGGGTCAGAAAGCCTGAGGGGACAGTGGACCTGAGATGTATGCCGAGGCATCTCCGTGAAGGTCAGTTGTCAATGAGGCCAGCGCAGGACAGGGCTCATTACCCCTCTGGGGACTCAGCAGGGTTTTGTGGTGACCATTGCCTGGATTGTCTCATGCAGGCTGGTAGTTAGTTAAGGGGAAGTCTCGCTGGTTTGAGGCCCTGGGTGAGGGTGAGGTGGAGAGGGTCGAGATGGCTGTGAGACAGCATGCACAGTGGAAGTGGGTGAGGGCCAGGCACCTTGAGGTGCTCACATAGGTTTCTGCAGCTGAGTAGAAGTGGGAATCAGGGCTGGGGGAGGCCTTGCCTGGGGGCTTGGTGCTCTCTGGTTTGGGGGACGTTGGTGTTCAGGGCAAGACCAGGATGGTTAGGATGCTGGATGCTCTGCCTGGATTCCACATGCAAACAGGTATGTTAGAAGGCCAGAGGAAAGCCTATGGTTGGGCTGGGGGAGTCTCTGGGGTTGCCACCTTGTAGGAATCAGAGTCATGACAGAGGGAAGGAGAGAAGTGAGTCCAAAGACTGATGTGTAGGTGAGGGGAGTGTGAAGTGCTGGCCCCCGGCCCTGGGCACTTACAGGAGAAGGGTGAGTCTGAGTTTTGTTGTCTGGGAGATCCCAGGGTAATTGGTTGGCAGGAGAGGGGTGGGGCCCCACATTCCAGGCCAGAGTGTAGCTGGCACTTTTCTGCCACCTCCCCCACATGTGTTCTGCTCTGCTGCACACAGTGATCAGTGGCCATGGACAGAGAGCAGGCACCAGTACCACCATACCTGGTAATTTTCCCACACGGGGAAGTCAGGGAGGGAGGAAGATTTGTGGGAAGGGACTGAAGATCCTAGAGAGAGACATGGATGAGTGATTGTGTGAACAGGGTTTTTATTTGTGGATGTGAATGAGTAAATGACAACATGGAGAGGCCAATATCATTGAAAGAGATCTTTATTCCTTATATTTCCCTAGTGTACAGTGAACCCCATGCCACTCAGGGCCAGGTTAGTGAGCACCAGATTAGATCAGGAGGCAGGAGGAGTGAGGGGAAACCTTAGCCAGAGCATTTTCTGGGGTTTCCTTGGAAAAGATGAGGAGAGTAAGGTGAGTAGTTTAGGGTTGACTAGTCTAGAAAGTTCCAGTAGGTCTTCCAGCTTAGGGGCTGTCCCTAGCCATCTGAGACCTCACCCTGGACTGCTTTCAGGCAGGGGAAATATTCACTGGCTGTGTGGGAATTAGCTAAGAAGCTGGCTCATGCAATGGGCTCTGAATCACAGGGGTGTTATAAACAAATTTGGCCATTAGTTTAATCTGTGATTAATGGATGATAAATAGATAAATACAGAATCCACAAAAACACAGTGAAAAGAAGATGCTCGTGAACCAAACTCTCTGTTTTCACAGGGCCGTCTGGTACTTGAGGACGTGGCCATACACTTCTCTCAGGAGGAGTGGAGGCTCCTGGATGAGGCTCAGAGATGCCTGTACCACAGCGTGATGCTGGAGAACTTGGCACTGTTGTCCTCCGTAGGTGAGGCCCTCACATCCACCCCCAGGTCCTGGGCTGGACTCTGTTCTTGTCCTTTCCAGGGTCCTCGGTCCTTCCCACCCACAAGACTATGGGCACTGCTTCCTCTCCCAGTTTGCTGGCACATGTGTTGTTGGTGTCAGGGCCAGGCTGTGTGCACTGTCCTCACTTCCAATGTGGTCATTACTTGTGAATGGAGACCACTGGTTCTGCATGACCCTACTGTGAATTGCTCATGATCTTAGAATGTGGGGTATCATGAGCTGGATCAGTCTGCGACCGTGCTGGCTACCCTCTTTCCCTGTGTTTCACCCAGGCAGGCCTTTCTTAAGTCCCATGTCAGTGCTCACTCTGAGAAAGGGGGAAGGCCCCAGTTGCCTGTAGAGGTAGACAGCACTATTAGTGGCAACAAGGAATGGCTGTGGTGCTTGGGAGCTGGGAAAGGACGTGTCGTCAGAGCTGTGTCTGAATCACACTGGGCACCAGCCCTATACCCACCCTTGTGTGATGCCCAGGACAGAACCCACATACATTCTACCTTTTCTTTTCCATTGTCATTTCTAATCTTCCAGGCCCCAGCTTCCCTGAATTTTGTGGCTTCCACCTGTCACCTGTTCTCTCCCACTACTCCCTTTGCAGTGCTCTCGACATTTGGCCTACACTTAAGGCGCAGTGACATCTGCGCATGTTCTTAAATAGTCCTGGAACACCAGCTACTGTGCTCCAATCAGACATATCTGGGTCTGGACACAACCTACTACACAGTGCTCACCAGTCACCAGTAGCCATGCCCTTGTTGAAAGCCATTTGCAGAGCAGTGACCTGCATACCCTGCAACTCCCTCCAGCCCTGTCCCTTCCTCGTGTTTTTTCCCATGATCAGAGCACTCCCATCGTGAGCTCCCAGGCCAGCTCTGCACAGCAGGCTTCCTCCCACTGTGTCTAGGCTCCCCTACCTGTCAGCAGTCCCTTATTCCTGGGTGTCTGATGCACATTTCTGGTGAGTTGGCGCCTCCCACCAAAGCCAACATGTACTTCACTGGCATTTGTCTGCCTACAGGTTGTTGGCCTGGAGCCCAGGAAGAGGAGGTCCCTTTGGGGCAAGGTGATTCTGCGGGAGTATCACAGGTCCAGACCCCAAGTCAAGATCCATGTGCCCAGAGGTCTCGTTTTTGGGATATGTGTGGTCCAGTCTTGAAAGACATTTTGCATCCAGATAAGCAGGATGGAACGCACCCTCAGCAAGAGGTGAACACACATGTGGCCAATCTTTCTGGGTGCTATAGGGAGCAGAAAAGAAAGAAAGTGTCTGGATGGGTTGAACAGAGGCCTTCATTTGTAAAGAACTTCATTGTTCACCCTGCAGAGAGGACCTTGCCATGCAGGGAGGGTGGGAAGAACTCTCAGGCCAGCTCTGGCCTTTCCCTGCACCAGACCCCTCACAGTGCAGGGAAGCCACATAACACTGAAGGCAGGGAGACTCTGGAAAGTGGGCACAATAGCTACAAGTGTGACAAATGCGGAAAAGCCTTTAGCTACAAACACTTATGTGTTGAGCACCAGAAAGTGCACAATGAAACAAGGCTCAGTGAGCTCTTCGACTGTGGGGAACTCTTCAATCAAAAGTCTGGCTTCACTGAACACCAGAGAGTTCATACCAGGCCAATGCGTTATGAGTGCAACCAGTGTGGAAAGTGTGTTAAAGACAGCTCCACGCTCATTATTCATCAGAGAGTTCACACTGGAGAAAAGCCATATCAATGCAGTGATTGTGGGAAATCCTTTAGGTACAGCTTTACACTCAAAAGACATCAGAGAGTTCACACCAGAGAAAGGCCATATGTGTGCAGCGTATGTGGGAAGTCTTTCGTGGACATGTCTATGCTCATTATTCACCAGAGAGTTCATACTCGGGGAAGGCGTTTTGAGTGCAGCAAATGTGGGAAGTTCTTCAGGTACCGCTTCACACTTGAGAGACATCAGAAAGCGCACAGTGGAGAGAGGCCTTATGAATGCAGTGAATGTGGGAAACTCTTTAGGCACAACTCAAATCACATCAGACATCGGAGAAACCACACTGGGGAGAAGCCTTATGAGTGCCCTGTATGTGGCAGACTCTTCAGCCAAAACTCCCATCTCATTCGGCACCAGAATGTTCACACCAGAGAAAAAACTTACAAATGTAGTGAGTGTGGGAAATTCTTTATGGACAGCTCCACGCTCATTATTCATCAGAGAGTTCACACTGGAGAGAAGCCTTATGAATGTGGTGAATGTGGTAAAGTCTTTAGATACAACTCCAGCCTCATTAAACATCGGAGAATTCACACAGGGGAAAAGCCCTATGAGTGCCGCAACTGTGGGAGAGGCTTTAGGCAGAATTCCCACCTTGTTCGGCACCAAGAAGTTCACAGCAAAGAGTATTGCAAACCAGAATTGACTTCAAAGTAGTGTCTGCTGTAATTTAGCACTGGAAGCACCGCTATGCAGTTGTATGTTTTTTTAATCGTGTCTTAAATACTTGTAAGTTAAAATTTGCAATTTTAATCATTTAAGGTTAAGGTTCAGTAGTAATAATACATTCATGTTACTGTGCAACAAACATCCAGAAGTCTTTATTTTATAAAACTGAAACTATAGCTGTGGAGCAACAATTCTTTCCCTCCTCCCTAATCCCCTGACAGCCATCATTTTACTTTCTATCTGTGAGTTTGACCATCAATGGACACAAGTGGCTTCCACCTCTTGGCAATTGTGAATAATGTTATAATCACGATTGCACAAATACTGCTTCAAAATCCTGTTTTCGATGCTTTTCAGCTGTGCACCCAGAAGTGGACTTGTTGGATCATATGGTAATTTGCTCTTTAATATTTTTCGGGAACTGAGGGGCTGTATTTCTTTTTTTTTTTAATGTATTTTATTGATTATGCTATTACAGTTGTCCCATTTCCCCCCTTCTCTCCCCTCCACCCTGTACCCCCTCTCCCACCCACGTTCCCCCCCCTTTAGTTCATGTCCATGTGTCATTCTTATGAGTTCTTTAGCTTCTACATTTCCCGTACTATTCTTGCCCTCCCCCCTATCTATTTTCAACCTACATTCTATGCTATTTATTCTCTATACCTTTTCCCCCCTCTCCTCCTCCCACCCCCCCTGCTGCTAGCCCTCCATGTGCCCTCCATTTCTGTGGTTCTGTTCCTGTTCTAGTTGTTTACTTAGTTTCTTTTGGTTTTGCTTTAGGTGTGGTTGTTAATAATTGTGAGTTTGCTGTCCTTTTACTATACATGTCTTTTCTTTATCTTCTTTTCTTAGATAAGTCCCTTTAGCATTTCATAAAATAAGGGCTTGGTGATGATAAACTCCTTTAACTTGACCTTATCTGAAAAGCACTTTATCTGCCCTTCCATTCTAAATGAGAGCTTTGCTGGATAGAGCAATCTGGGATGTAGGTCCTTGTCTTTCATGACTTGGAATATTTCTTTCCAGCCCCTTCTTGCCTGTAAGGTCTCTTTTGAGAAATCAGCTGATAGTCTGATGGGAACTCCTTTGTAGGTGACTGTCCCCTTATCTCTTGCTGCTTCTAGGATTCTATCCTTCCTTTTTACCTTGGCTAATGTAATTATGGTGTGCCTTGGTGTGTTTCTTCTTGGGTCCAACTTCTTTGGGGCTCTCTGAGCTTCTTGGATTTCTTGGAAGACTGTTCCCTTTGCCAGATTGGGGAAGTTCTCCTTTATTATTTGTTCAAATACGTGCTCCATCTGTTGCTTTTCTCCTTCCTGTTCTGGTACCCCCTATAATTCGGATGTTGGAACGTTTAAAGGTGTCCTGGATGCTCTTAAGCTTTTCCTCAATTTTTTGAATTCTTATTTCATCATGCTTTCCTGCTTGGTTGATTCTATCTTCCTTCTGGTCCACTGTATTGTTGTGAGACTCAGATTCCTTCCTTTCACTATTGGCTCTCCTCCGCATATCTTACTGCATCTCTTTTATGGTAACCTGCATCCTTTCATCTAAATTGCGCCCAAAATCAACCAATTCCGTGAGCTTTCCGATCACCAGCGTTTTGAACTGTGCATCTGATAGATTGCCTATTTCTTGGTCGCTCAAAAGGATGAGTCCTGGGGGACTGATCTGTTCTGTTGGAAACATGTCTTATGTCTTTCCCTGTCTCTGGTCGCTCTAGTTACGGTGGGAGGCGGAGCCTTAGGTGTTCACTGGGGCTGGGCACCCTGGTCGCTAGATTGTGACGTTATATGTGTGGGCAGGAGCGGGCAGGGACAATGGCGGTGGTTCCGTTCTCCTGGGCTCAGGCCCTTCCTTGGGATCCTGGGCTGCGAGCTCTGCCCTGGTCCACAATCGCTGCCTCACAGGGTCCGCCAGCCACAGCTTGCGTACTCAGGGATCACCGCTGCGTTCTTGCACCCCGATGGCTGTCGCGCCGATTTCGTGCCAAATTTTCCCTGACCTCCGCGCACCGCCGACCCACGCCAGCCCCACGCCTGCCCGGCTCGTTGTCTCCTACCAGTCTGGATGTACGGGTCTACTTCAACTTCTTGTCTGTCCGACTTCCATTCAGATAAATCCTGTCAGTTCTGAGTGATATTCTATCTGTAAATTATTGTTGTTCTAATCTTGGTTGTGCGAGGAGGCACGGTGCGTCCATCTATTCCTCCATCTTGCTGGAAGTCCTCGGGGCTGTATTTCATAGTAGCTGCACCATTATTTAACATCCACACCAGCAGTGCTTAGGGGTTCCAATTTCTTTACACCCTTACTTGTTTTTCTTGTTTTATTTTTTATAGCACTATCCTAAGGAACATGAGGTGTTATTTCACTGTGGTTTCGATTTGCATTTCCTTGAGGATTAATGATGTTGAGCATCTTTTTATCTGCCTGTTGGCTCTTTGTATATATTCTCTGGAAAAGTTTATTCAGATTTTTGCCCACATTTTTATATTTTTATTTTTCTAAAGATTTTATTTATTTTTAGACAGAGGGGAAGGAAGGAAGCAAGAGAAGAAGAGAAACATCAATGTGTGGTTGCCTCTCATGCACCCCCCACTGGGGATCTGGCCCACAACCGAGGCATGTACCCCGACTGGGCATCGAACCAGTGACACTTTGGTTCACAGGCCGTCATTCAGTCCACTGAGCCACACCAGCCAGGGCAAGTTTTTGCCCACTTTTTAATCAGGGTTTTTGTTATTTAGATGTAGTAGTTCTTTTTTTAATTTACTGATTTTCTGTTTAAAATTTTCTTAATTTTTTTAACTTTTCAGCTACAGTTTGCATTAGTACCATTCCATACCAGTTTCAGATATAAAGCAAAGTGGCTGGAAAACCATGCACTCTACAGAGTGGTCACCCCACTGCCCCCAAAACACACCCAGCCCCATACCCTGTTATCTCAACATTATTGACTACATTCAATGAGGAGTTCTTTACATATTCTGGGTGCTAATTTCTTATTAGGTACATGACTTGCAAATATATTTTCCCATTCCGAGGGTTGCCTTTTCACTATGTTCATTTATTCCTTTTTCACACAGAAATTTTACATCTCAGCATCATCCAATTTATTTTTATTCTCTGTGCCTTTGGTGTCATGTCTAATAAATTATTGCTAGATCCATTGTCATGAGGCTTTTTTCATGTTTTCTTTTTTTAACATTTGTTTTTAGATGGAGGGGAGGGAAAAAGGGAGAGAAATATCAATGTGTGGCTGCCTGTTGTGTGCCCTTAACTGGGAACCTGCCTGACCTGCAACCCAGCCATGTGCCCAGACCAGGAATTGAACCAGTGACCCTTTGGTTCATAGGCTGGCACTCAATCCACTGAGCCATACCAGCCAGGGCCCTATGTTGTCTTTTAAGAGTATTATACTTTTTAAATATTTAACATTTAGATGTTTGATTCTTTTTGAGTTCATTTTTTTTTTTTTACATTGTGGATGGTAAGGGTAAAAGTGCATTCTTTTGCATGTGGATATCCAGTTCTCCCAATACCATCTGCTGAAAAGCTTCACTTCCCATTGGATGGTCTTTGCACCCTTGTCAAATTCTGAGCATATGTACGGATTATTCATCCTAAATGTATGCCTTTAAGTCAATACCACAGCATTTTGATAGATTCTTTTTTTATTTTTAAATAGTGATTTGACCCAGATTTGAAGTACTGGCAAGTGGACTGTCAGTTCCCCTTCCAGAGCAGCTGATTAAAGTGCCAGGTACGTGGGGAGCTTTTTGGGTGTTGCATTTTCATACCTGCCGGGGGGCCCTTGGCTGGAGTTCTGTCACTGCCAGTATCTGTCATAGAAGTTGTCTTGCCTCTCTTACCTGACAGGGAGCCTCTGTATTGCCTTGGCCTGTAAAATGCTCAGGGGGCGCAAAATACTATGCTCTCTCACTCTGGGATATTCAGCAGGCACTTGATTGAGCCCCTGTGGTGAGGCCTCATGCCCCCCCCCCGCCGCCCCAGCTGTTTTAGGTGTGAAGAACAGCCAGCTTGGACTAGAGGACTTCAGCTGGCTTTACCCGGCAGATTCCAGAGGTATTTCCTTTTTCAGGGCTTTACTTTCTCATAAGGATTTTCTAGTCACCATGTCCCCCTACACAGGAACTCCCCACTCACCCTGCTGGCTTTTTTAATAATAAAGGTCTTACTGGTTAAGTCACATGTAACTTCTTGGGCTTTTGTGCGCTGCACTGTGGGTATGAACAGAGCTTTACTCTGCCACGAGGAAGGGAGAGTGGGTATTGCTGGGCCCTGCACTTTGTCAGTTTTGGAGGGAATAGGGATATAGAACAGTTCTCAGTCCAGCTTTGCCTCCATTTGTGGTGTTGCACGAGGTCTGGCAAAATTCACAGGATTTCGCCCACATTTGGTGCCCTGGATGCAAAGATTAGTTTTGGTTCTGCAGTCAGCTGGAGGATGAGGCATTGGCCTGGATGATCTTCATCGCATTTGGCAGCAGCCTATGTTGGGTCATTTGTACTCAGAGGATGTGCCATAATCCCAAGATTGCTGAGGGATAGCGCTCTTCCCTGACCTAACTGGGAGCCTGTGTCCTGAAGTCAAAAGTCATGTAGTTATGTGTCCATGGACATAAGATTCGCAAGGCCCAGAGTGGGAACTCTATTCTGTACAGAAACTGGTTGGATTAGTAGCAAGTGGGGGAAGCTGCAGTAAACTAGAGTGGATGAACACCCCTAAAGGAGCATCCCTCTGTGTCCTAGGAACTGGCTGTGTGGGATGAGGGTATACCAAAGCCCTCAGGGTCCACAGGCCTGTGCATGTCATGGAGCCATTGTCACTGCCAGAGCCAGAGGTTTTATAGATTCCTGTAGCCTCCCTGGGCGTTTCCCTCAAACCAGAGCTGTACACTGAAGCAAACTAACTCCAAAAGATATAGAACCTATCAGATAAGTAAATTGTGATGGAATTGGGGGAATTGGATTGTTCTCCCTTTGGCTTTCCTGACATAAACAAAGCTGTTCAGTGTAGGAAATGGGTAAGCTAAAGAACCTAAGTTCAGTTACACATGAAATGGTTATCAAAAAATTAATGAGCCATCTACGTCCTACACAGGTTTCCACCAAAGTGTCTTTTGTTTTTTATATTTTGTATTTGAATACTTTTCCTAATAGTGTTTTCAGTGTGTGTGTGCTATGAAAATTTTTAAGGCATTTTTAAAAATTGTTAATTTTTTTATTGTGGTAGAATACACATAACATTAAAAAGTCTAACCACATTTCATCGCCACCATTGCTGATCCCGGTCAGAGCCACCACCCCACTCACCTTGATTCTAGTACTTGTTTTCTAGACGGTCTCCCAGCTTCTTGCATTTTGCAGCACAACAGTCATCATAATTTAATAACAAAATAGACAGGGCCTATTCTGTTCAATATTTTTTTTTCATGGCTCCCCAGTTCACACTTAGAGCAAAATGAAAACTCTTCCCCTGACTGGTGTGGCTCAATGAGTTGGGCATTGTACCGCAAACCAATAGGTAACCAGTATGATTCCCCATCAGAGTACATGCCTGGGTCACAGGCCTGGTCCCTGGTTGGGGGCGTGTGAGAGGCAACCAATGGATGTTTCTCACATTGGTGTTTCTCCCTCCCTCCCTTCTCTCTAAAAAAAGTAAAGTCTTTTTTTTATGATAACTTTTTAAATTTTATTTATTTATTTTTAGATATGATAAGGGAGGGAGAAAGAGAGAGAAACATCAATGTGTGGTTGCCTCTCATGTGGCCCCCATTGGGGGACCCAGCCTGCAACCCAGGCATGTGCCCTGACTGGGAATCGAACCTGCGATGCTTTGGTTCAAGCCCGCGCTCAATCCATTGAGCTATGCCAGCCAGGGCAAAGTAAAGTCTTTTAAAAAATGAAATTTCTTCAAGCCCTGGCTTGCTGTACGTCTGACCCCAGAATATCCCTCTTCCTACTCTCCTGCCTACACTGAATGTTGGGTCTTTGTTCTGACTTTCTCTGCCTGGAACTAATTCCCCAGAGTCTCCAAGAGGCTCAGATCTAAGTGAGGTCTTCCAAATGTTTGCAAGACTATAACCCCATTTAATAGCATCCTTAACTTCTGTTTTGTTTTGCCAATCACTTATAACTTGTAAAATCTTACATGATTGACTGTTGACATTAATGTTTACTGTCCATCTCCTTTGCCTGGAGTGACAGCCTCATGAAGGACTTTTTGACTCTGGACCCTGACATGTCCCATGCAGCCCCGATGTTGCCTAGAGTACAGCGAGCACATAACAATTATTTGTTTAGGAGGAGATGAGTGTAGTGCCGCAGATGCCCTGTTCTTAGCATTCTAGCTAAGCTCTCTGCTCTCTACATACTCCACCCCTTCAAGCTGGTGGTATTGCTTGGTGTACTCAAAAATGATTTAAGTAGCCCTGGCTGGTGTAGCTCAGTGGATTGAGCATGGGCCTGTGAACCAAAGGGTCGCTGGTTCGGTTCCTGGTCAGGGCACATGCCTGGGGGCCAGGTCCCTGGTCAGGGGTGTGCAAGAGGCAACCACACAGTGATGTTTCATTCCCTCTCTTTCTCCTTCCCTTCTCTTAAAAAATAAATAAAATCTTTAAAAATATATGATTTAAATAATAAGTCACAATTTAGAGAGTCATAACCTCAGGCTAGCTAAGTTCCCAGTGTTCTTATGTGCTCAGCTTCATTCCATCACTTCTTAGACTTGTGACCCTTCATACTCCACTGAGATCCCAACCTTGTTCACATGGGCAAGAGTTATTTTGTCACCAACTTCAAATAAGTAAGAAATCGCTGATTTCAGCAATGTCAACGTTTCGCAAATATTTCTCTGAGAGAGTCACAACTCCCCATGCATTGTCACTGCAGTTGCAGGTGAAATTGTATTTGCCTTCCTGCCAAGGAAGGAGGTCATGTCCTCCAATCCTGTATCTCAGGGTTCAGATGGCCTCTTTCTGCCCTTTCTGGATATTTTGATCACAGTGTCGCCTACCCTGGCAGAAAAACAGCATTAAATAAATCGCTCTCCTTTTAAAATAGGTCTTAGCTTGTAAAAAATTAAATAAATAAATAGTACATATGAAGGCATCAGGATATGGGGTGAGAAATACGGGTCTGTCCCCAGAGACACAGCGCAGAGCGCGCAGCGCCCCCACCCCACCCCGCCTAGTCTTTTCAGGACTGCTGCATCTCAGCTATCTGCTGTTTTGACGCAAATCTAACACAGTGAAACCCAGTCGATTCTAAGGTTTGTCTTCACGGATTTGAACAATACTAAAACAAAGCTAATCCTTCCCAGCTATGAGTGGGTGCACTTTGTGTCTGAGTGACACGTCCGTATATTTCTGCGACCAGGGCCAACTAAATTGCACAGAAATGCGGGTGCGTTCCCTTTAACAAGCGTGAAACCCCGCCCTATTCTCAGAGTTACAAGCACCGGTTTGTTTATAAGTTACGGCTACCTGACAGCCCCCCGCTGGGGCCCGAGGCTCTGAGAACTACGTTAGCCATTAGCCGTTAGCCATTAGCCGGAAGGCACTGCGTCTCGCCAAGGTGGCACTGGGCCCATAAAGGCTCAGCAGAGAGGTATTGTGCGGGTGTTGCGGTGTCGTCCTTCGGAGATAACCAATGAACTCTAATCTGTCCAAGATCTCCGCGTTGGTAGCGTTGGGCCGGCCCCAGGTAGCCGGATGGGAAGACGCCAGGCCGCTGCTCTGAGGCTGGTCTGGCGCTCGCCCCACAGGCTATGGAGGGGGCGATTCAAGTAATTACTGTGTTCCCCTGGCCCTCACCCAGCTGTTGCCTCTTCCTCATTAAAAATCCATAACTTGGGGCAGGGGGCGGAGACAAAGAGAGTAAAGGGGATCAAAGATACGGTGACGGAGGGAGACTAGGCTTGGGGTGGTGAGACATCATAATATGCAGACATCATAATATACGGTACACCTGAAATTTATATAATGTAATTAATGAATATCTCCCCAGTACATTTCATTAAAAAGATTAAAAAACAGGCAATTAACTCTGCTAACAAAATGCACGTGATCAAATAAAAGAGACAAAAATAATATTTTTCAAAAAAATTTTATTGATTTGAGAGAGAAATACAGTTTTTTAGTTCCATCTGTCCATGCATTCATTGGTTGATTCTTGCCTGTGCCCTGACTAGGGATTGAACGTGCAGCTTTGGAGTATCAGGATGATGCTCTAAGCAAATAAGCTGACTGGCCAGGGTGAGTTTTGTGAGGTTTTTGATGACTTTTAATTCCTTATAAGAATTTGTCCCCTCCTAGGTTGTTCAATTTGCTGGTATATTGGCTTTAACAGTATTTTTTTTAAGATCTTCTTTATTTATTTTTAGAGAGAGAGGAAGGGAAGGAGAAAGAGAGGGAGAGAAACATCAGTGTGTGGTTGCCTCTCGAGCATCCCCCTACTGGGGACCTGGCTTGCATCCCAGTCGTGTGCCCTGACCAGGAATCCAACTGGTGACCCCTTGGTTCACAGGCCTTCGCTCAGTCCACTGAGTCATACCAGCCAGGACAATACCTCACGTTTTCTTCTGTCTCAGCCGCATTAGTTTCATGGATGCTACTCAGCACACCAAGTGTGACTGACACAGGTGTTTATCACTTTTTTTTTTGCCAGTGAGCCACATGATATGGCACAACCCCATAAACATATTGTACTGTCTTAATGTGCTTTGTTTTCTCCTTCACCTAAAATACTGTGTTTCAATCACTTATCTTTTTTGTTTGCATTGCTGACAGGAATTAAAGTAAAGTGACACTGCTCTTCCCACAGGTTCCCCAGGTCGAGCTTTCAGCAAAAGCACTTATGGACCCTGCACTGGTGGGTATCAGGTGTCAGGAACTCCTTTGCCAACTCCCTCCCTGCCCTTGATGTCTGGCAGCCCTAGAGAAATCCTATCCTGGGGTTTCCTAGCTCAGGGCAGAGAGTGGGAGATCCCATTTTGGCACCCAGTGGAGTGAGCAGAATGGACACGGGTGCAGAGGTGAGACTGAGATGGGAGTGTTGTAGGTCTCTGTGTCTGGTGGTCTGAGAGTGAGGGCAGCCGTGGAATTTTTGGTACAGAGGAGAAAAGGGACCTGACCCGCACCTTCACACACTGAGCCATCAAGGAGGCTTTGGTTGCAGTTGGACCAGGGAGATGGGAGAAATATTTGGGATTTGGATTTTTTTTTTAGTAAAGTTCACCAAATTTTCTAATGTGGAGGGTAACAGAGAAGTCACAGAGGACTAAAAGTTTGGAAGTACCATCAACAGACAGGGAAGGTGGTAGTGCAAATACTACTTTTCAATGAGAGTATTAGGAATTAGGTTTGGGTTACATCAAGTCTCACATGTTTTGGAGACTCTCAAGTGCAGGTGAGTATAAACAGCTGGACATGAGGATCTAAAGCGCTGGGGAGGGAGGGCCTCTGGGTGGAGAGACCGAAGACATGGCATCCAGTGTATGAACCAACATAGAACTCCAGGCCTGCTGTACACAGGGGCATATTCAGGTCCTAGGGGCATTGCCACTGGGGACAAGGGAAAAGGGTATGGCGTCTGTAAGTATCACAAAGACAGATAAGGAAGAGTAGTGGTTGGTCCTCAGTAGGCAGGTAGGGGGAGGAGAAGGTCTAGCAGGTGACCCAGGTTTCCATGGGGGAATGGAGATGATAGTGAAGTTGAATTGGTGCTTCTAAAGCCTCCTAAGCCTGGTGGCTCTTGTGGGACTTGCTGTTAGAATGTCAGAGTAGCTTATCTCAGGTGTGTCAAGTGGGTACAGATTTTGAATGGGTGTTATATGGACAGAGATTGTTACTGCTAAGAGACATAACGTACCACCTAGGAGATGATCAGGGATGTATGGGTCTGCATATGGTTTTGGTGACTGAGGTTGGAGCCAGAGGACAAGGTGGGGAAGCCTCATGAAAAGGGCTGGAGGTTTGGAGTATATGGGATCCTATTGCACTGTATGTGAGGAGGCCAGAGAAATGCTTACTTTGTGGGTTAGGGGGTGAGGGGATCAGATGTATGCCAGGGGTCCAATGTGAGAACTAATTGTCCCGGGCCCTTGTACTAGGAACTTAAGAGAGAAGGGGACTTCAGGCTATTGTCTTGGGTCTGTCTGGCTACCTGTTGGATCCAATGATCAAGGCTTGAATGTGGGAAGTTACAGGGTCCTATGGAGAAGATGTTGCTTATAGGTGCAAGAGTCCTCTCATTACAGAGCTCTGTGACCTTTTGAGGATGTGGCTGTGTACTTTTCCTGAGAGGAATGGAGGCTCCTTGATGAGGCTCAGAGATGCCTGTACCACGATGTGATGCTGGAGGTCTGTGCATTTGTGGCATCTGTGGATAAGGCCCGCACTCACTCGCCTGCCCCAGGCTGGCTCCACCTTTCCCATATTTTACCAAAAGGTAGCTCTGTTCTCTTCAGAGCTAAACAATGTCAGTGTCCCTGGTCATATGTTCTTGTGCTGGTCATGTATACTGCCTCCTTCCACAAGTAGCCCCAGCACCAGCTGCCTTGAAGCTTTTTCAGAGAAGGCTTGTGGGTCAAAAGACATGGGGTTAGTCCTGTGGTTCCTCTCTGCCTTAGCTGCTTCCACATCATCTCAGTGCCCTAGGTACAGCCCCTTTTTAGTGGATATTTCCTGGGGGGCTGGAATTATACCAGGAATTATAGTTTCTGTGGGATGCTTCTCAGAGATGCAAATGTGGTTTTTTTTTTTCCTGAGGATTTTGAGTTGGATCACCCTGGGCTAGTGCTGACCACTCACCTGCCCTGATTTTCCCTTAGGACTTGCATCTTTTAGATCCCACATTGTTCAGGTGGAGCTGAGAGGAGAACCCTGGGTACAGGACAGAGTAGGCAGGACTGTAGGGACAGCAAGAGGGGCTCACAGTGGGCCTGGCCCTAGTGTTGGCATCAGGGGAGGATATGAGCTTGTGGCTGGGTTCAGCTCATATCGGAGACATGCCCTATGCCCAACACTGTTTTGCCAAGGTCAGTGGCTGTCTACCTCATTTCTCCAAACTCCCTGTTCTTAACACTTGTGTACCTGTCATTTCTGTTTTGACTTCTGACTCAGAGTGACCCCTTACCTCTCTCATCCTCCACTCCACTGTGCTCTCCAATATTGGCCTACACTCAGTGTGTCCTTATGTCTCTATCTATCCCTGAAATAGCCCTTGTATACCAGCTACTCAGTGGTACTCAGATTTTCCTGGCCTGGACATACTCTTCCCCATAGCACACAGGTGTCACGAGTAGCATTGGCTCTAGTGACGAGTGTACCCAGACGAGTTGTGGACCTGCCACCAACCTGTGTTCCTATCCTTGTGTTTTTTGCCTGCTGAGTCCCCCAATTCTGTCATGTTTAGAGGCCTGGTACTGCACATAATCCTTCTTCAACCCACCCAACTTCCTTGTTTGGGAATTCCCATGGACTTATCCTTGGATGTCAGACACACATTTGTGATGGGGCTGCCTCCTCCTAACCCCCATTTACATGAAATTCACTAGTATTTTCTCTGCTTTCAGATTGGCAGGGAGCAGAGGATGAAGATGCAGCTTCTGAGCAGAATATTTCTGAAACGTCACAGATAAATACTCTTAAGGCCGATCCCTGGAAGATATATGGCCTGGCCTTAGAAGGTGATTTGCATCTAACTGACAACCTAGAAAGAAGCCCCAAGAATCTCAAATGTAGAGCATCTGGGAAATCTTACCAGCTCTAGAAGCAGCTCAATAGAGAGAAACTCTTTAGAAGGACCACAGACAAGGCCTCCTGTGTGAAGAGCTGCATTGTCCACACATCAGATAAAGCATTCCCATGATGGGAGTCTGGGAAGGACTCCCCCTCTAACTTAGGCCTTCACCTGCTCCCTCACTGTGAAGGTACAGAGGCCTTTCATGCTGCACAGAAGCACTACACATGCAGTGAATGTGAGAAAGTCTTCTGCCAAAAGTACAGACTTGCTCAGCACCAGAGAGTCCACACTGGAGAGAGGCCGTATGAGTGCAGCGAATGTGGGAAAACCTTCAGCTACAAACGTACACTTGTTCAGCATCAGCTCATTCATACTGGAGAAAGACCTGACAAGTGCAGCAAGTGTGGGAAAACCTTTAACAACAAACCCACACTTGTTCGGCACCAGCAAATTCATACAGGAAAAAGGCCATATAAATGCAGTGATTGTGGGAAATTATTTAGCCAAAACTCCAGCCTTAGTGAACATCAGAGAATTCACACTGGGTCACGGCCTTATAAGTGCAGTGAATGTAGAAAATTCTTTACCTCTAATTCCAACCTGGTTAAACACCAGAGAGTTCACACAGGAACAAGGCCTTATACGTGTGGTGAATGTGGGAAATTTTTTAACCAGAGCCCCAGCCTCACTAAGCATCAGAGAATTCACACTGGGGAAAGACCCTATGAGTGTACTGAGTGTGGTAAGCTTTTCAGCCAAAGCTCTCTTCTCATTAAGCACCAGAGAATTCACACAGGAGCAAGGCCTTACAAGTATACTGAACGTGGGAAACTTTTTAGCCAAAGTTTTGGTCTCAGCACCAGAGTGTTCACATGAGACAAAGACCCTATGAGTGCAGTGAATGTGGAGAATTTATTAGCCGAAGCACCCAACTTAGCACCGAGAAGTTCACATCAGAGACACAAGCAGGCCTCAGGGGTACAGCAAATGTGGAAAGGTTTTTAGTCAAGGATCTGCTCTGATTGAACACCAGAAACTTTATGTCCCAGACAGACCTTATGACTGCCTCATATGTGGGAAAGCCTTCAGCTGGAGGTCTAACCTCACTCAGCATCAGAAAGTTCACAGTGGAGAAGGGCTTCACTCAGCATGAGATGGGATAGCAGGGAATGAGCTTTATGTCATACCACATATGACAACCTTGTGAGGGAGTCATCAACCTAAAGTTGACACCATATATTTCATAGGTGGCAAATACAAGGCCTGCGGGCTGAATCTGGCCCTCCACCTTGTTTTACCTGGCCTGGCATCTTGTTTCTACCCACCAGCAGTGCTGAGCTCTCACTTAACTGTTAAGGAATAGTTAACGTTTATACAGTCCTAAAATTATATTTGGCCCTTTGAAGGCAACCTCAAAGTTGATGTGGCCCCCAGTGAAAATGAGTTTGACACCCTTGATATATTTGAACATCCATAGTGTAGAGACTGCCTATAAGTAGTAGTTTCATGTCATATGAAACTATTTCTGTTAAAACTTTATTGGGTTATATTGGCACATCATGAAACAAGATAATTTTTAAAATCTACAGTTTTGGTAGCATTATGTAAACCCATGAAAACCATCATCACAACAAACTATCATCTTGTGATCTCCCCTGCATTCCCAGGCAACTTGATTTTTTAAAATTTATTTATTGATGTGAGATTTATTGATGTGAGAGAGAAGCATTGATTTATTCCACTTATTTATGCATTCATTGGTTGATTCTTGCATATGCCCTGACTAGGGATCAAACTCACAACCTTGCCATATCAGGACAATGCTCTCACCAGCAGAGCTACTTAGCCAGGGCAACTATTGATTTTTTGTTTTTTAGAATTTTATGTAATTAGAATCTTAAACATTTCCTCATATTTGTGTTTCTTTAGTGTGTGCACACACCACTATTACCCATTAATGGATGCTTTTTTTTTTTTAAGAGGGGAAGGAAAGAGGGGAGAGAGAAACATCAATGTGTGGTTGCCTCTCACATACCCACCACTGGGGACCTGGCCTGCAACCCGGGCATGTGCTCTGACTGGGAATCAAACCTGCAACTGATTGATTCACAGGTCGGCACTCAATCCACTGAGCTACACCAGCCAGGGCTAATGGATGCTTTTGTTTCCAGTTTGGCTCTCACAAATAAGCTTACATGATAACGCATGTATGTACACATATTTAAATTTGCCACCTGGGTGTCTTTTTTGATGAAATGTGAATAGAAATGTAACTTCATTATTTACCTTTACTCAGTGGAATAAATGTTTTTCAGTACTGGAAGAATGTTTCCATGTAAAGTTTCAAGTCCTCATATAGTCTCCCTTACAGGTCTAGACAGTTAATAAAGCAACTATTTCCAGCTGACCAAGAGGTTCACCAAATTTAAATTTGGAGAGAGATGTTCATCTGCACATCGTTGAGTGTTCCCTGTGTGCAGTGAAGGATTGTCAGCAGTTTTGAGTTGTCCAACCTCTGCACATTCCAAGGAAAGGTTTGGCACTTGCTTCTGTGAGGTAAACCTCTAAAGCTCCTAAAACATTCTATATGATTGATCAACATTAAGAGTCTTGCCCTGACTGGTGTGGCTCAGTTGGTTGAGCATCATCCCACAAAATGAAAGGTGGCTGGTTTGATTCCTGATCAGGGCACATGCCTTGGTTGTGGGCTGGGTCCCAAGTTGAGGCACATGCAAGAAGCAACCACTCGATGTTTGTTTCCCTCTTTCTCCCTTTTCCTCTCTGAAATAAATGCAATTTTTTAAAAAACAGTCTTTATCTGGGGCCTTGGACCATATGCCAGACCATCTATACTGATAATGGAGAGCCTTTGACCTCAGGAGAAGCTAGACACAGCCAACACAAGTGCTCCTTGTCTGTGTGCAAACTCAGGGAGTGAAAAAAAAAAAAACCACCAAGGCTTGGTGGCTTCCCTGGTTAGCATTGGTGGCAGGTTTAAGCTCTATCCTGTGACCCTGTTGGAAGCTAGCACATAGTATCTCCTGGACTCAGCCCTATGTGTTATCTTCCTTTGCTCTCATCAGTAGCCTTTCATAGGGATTAAGAAAAATCAAGATGTCAGTGGTAGGGGTGCAGTTTCTGGCAGCTCTATGGTTGAATCTTTGTCTTCAAAGTTCAGGACTGAGGACCTAAGTGGACATCTTTGGGGGACATCAAGCAGCTTACTACATTAGGGTAGGGCAGTTAATCCTCAATTGTCTTATTTGTCCTCTTGTAACTTGTTGGTGTGTCCTGGTAAGTTTCCTTAACCTGTAGCTATAGGACTGCTTTTTCTTATCCTTAACATTTGTGGAAGTTAGGATTTACTACATTCCAGATTTTACTTCTAGTCTAATAGAATCTCTAGTCTAACACTCTAACATTCCACGTTGTTGGAGAAATAAAACAATATCCAAAATCTCAACAGAGGCAGAAAAAAAATGAAAATTTTATTACTAAATTATAGCACAAAACTAGAATATGATGCACATCAGAGATAACCCAGCACAGATTGTAAACACGTGGAATCACGTGTTTCCCCCCTAGAGCCCCCTTACAAGTTCTCAAGATAAACAGCTTCAGAGAGAGAGGGGACTCAATAGGACCATTTGTTAGTTTAGCCTAAATTGCCTAGAATTTGGGGTCATTGTCGCTGGTTGCTATTTTTGCCTTTAATCCAAATGAATAACGGAATGTAATCTCTGTAAACATTAAGGTACAGTCTTCCCAATATTTTCTCCAGGCCTTTTGCGGGGCGTTTTTGGGGGTTGATTTATTGTGATTTTAGATACTGTGTTTGGCTTATTGGCATCTGTTATTCCTGTGGATACCTAACTCCAAGAAGGCCTCCTGGTGGCTAACTGGGCTCAAATCTGAAAGCGCATTCTAGCAGCCATTTCTACACAGAGGGCCTTTAATGCTAACTGCATTTCAGGGAGAAGCAAGCCTTGTAAAGGAGTTTATGGAATTGTATTCAACCAACAGGCCTGAGACATTTCCTGTCCAACTAGGAGCTGGCAGCTATAGCCTTCCTCATTAGCATAATCATGCCAACCAATCAGAGCAACTCCATTTTGACCAATCAAACTAAGGATTTAGAATCCTCATGAGGATTCTAAATGGACCAATTAGGGATGGGGCAGGGACTTCTATACAAAGTCAGTTCCCCTGTGGCTTGGGCGCAGCACTTTTCCTGAAGGCTACATTTCCCCAAGGGGACCTGCAACACTAAAGACATCTATTGCTAGAGCAGACGGGCCACCTCCCTGCTATGTCATAATAGAGCTGTTCGCACCCAATAGTTTGATCTTCAGCGGACCCCAAAATGCGCATTCCTCTTGGTGTTGGATTGGCACCAATGACGGACCGTGGTTGACTTTCCCAACTTCCGTGGCTCTAAATACTGCAAGTCACCGTCTGTCCAGCAGGTGGAGGCACCGAGTCTGTACAACCGCTAGCCGGCTGCTAGAGTTGGCGGTGGAGGGGTGAGTGTGCAGGGACGCAACAGATGACAGAACACCCCGCCACGCACCCTAGGGGCCACACAGTCTCAGAGTCGCCTTGGGAAGTAACTTGAAAGTGTCAGCACATATTCGAGTTTTATCGGTGGGTCCTCCTGCGGGAGCACCCAGTTGAGTGGCTCCCGGGAGTTGGTAAAACACCAGACTCCTGCCTGGCACAGCCTGGTGGTACAACTCGCGGCCCCACTCCCACCCCCGACCCCCGCGGCCAGCGACCAGGGGTTCCCGTTTCCATCTCTTAGAGGACAGGGGCACCAGGTGGCCCTCTCCCAGTAACAAGACCGTGGTGAGGAGGGGCAAGGGGTGGGGGCGGAGTCTGTGGGAAAAGGGCCAGGTATCCTCACTCCCCGCCTGCCTAGCCGCCTCGGGGGCCTCAGTGCTGGTTACCCAGATGTTGATGACGACGGAGCAGCACAGCGACGCCTCCACGCCGACTCCTGTGCGCAGCACCGCGCAGGACGCAAACCTCAGCACTGTGATTGTGATGGGCCCGCCTCCCCCTACATCGGTCAGGCTTCTCAAGTCCAAATCTTTCCTGTCCCTCCCAACAACCAGGGACCCTCACCACAGGGGATGGCACTATAGCGGGAAGCCAGCGGGAAGTACCAGATTGGCCCGAGGGGTGGAGAGGGTGGAAAGACCCGAGGGGCCCGGCTGCCCGTGTCAGCCTTGGATATAAGGGACCTAGGAGCCTAATCCTGGGGACTTGGGAAAGGGGTCCTATGCAAAGCGCATCGGGAGACGCACAGAGAGCTCAGGGGAATTGGCGACCGGAATCAACCAGCGCCCAAGTCGAAGGTCTGGGCGCAGCCCTGGACCCTGGACCCTCATTGATGGAGGTGGAGAGGTGCTGGGGGCTGTGGGGACGCAGTGGCCTCGACGGGGTACCAAAGTGGAGAATCCCGGACCCGCGCACGTCCCGGACCCGCGCTTCCTCCCGTGCGCTCTTCTCTTCCGACCGAGGGAACGCACTGCACAGGTGGGCGGCCCATCCATCGATCCGGGCCGCAGCTGTCCCTCCTTAGCGATCCTCTCACCGGTTCACACGTTTGGCTCAGAACAATTCTCACTTGCGCGCCGGGACAGGACAACAGCAGCACAGGAAGTGATGCTAACCCCGCTCAGGCAGATGGAAAGGCCCGAGTGGGCGGCAGGAAAGAGCCTGGAAAGCCTCAGTCTCAAATCACTTACTGGGACACACTGGACTCTCCCAGAAGCCACAGCACAAGGTGGCTCCCCACAGCCACCCCACGGTATCAGGATGCCAACTAGCCTTGATGAACATCTCACAGGGCTCAACCTGCTGCCCCAGTCTCTCCAACCCACGCTGATCCTGAGGGCTTGCAGGTTGGCGCAAGGGTCCAGGAGTCTGGTAGGTCATTTTTAATGTTAGAACATTGGCATTTTATTTTATTTAATATATTTTGTTGTTTATGCTATTACAGTTGTCCCATTTTTTTCTCGCCTCTATTCCCCTCTGCCCTGCACCCCACCCCCACCCCTCAGCATTCCTCACCTTAGTTCATGTCCATGGGTCGTACATGTACGTTCTTTATCTGCCCTCCCATTCTAAATGATAGCTTTGCTGGATGGAATAACCTTGAATGTAGGTCCTTGCTTTGCATGACTTTGAATACTTCTCTCCAGCCCCTTCTGGCCTGTAAGGTTTCTTTTGAGAAATCAGCTGATATTCTTATGGGAACTCCTTTGTAGGTAACTCTCTACTTTTCTCTTGCTGCTTTTAAGATTCTCTCCTTATCTTTAATCTTGGGAAATATAATTATGACGTGCCTTGGTATGTGCTTTCTTGGGTCCAACTTCTTTGGGTCTCTGAGCTTCCTGAAATTCCTGGAAGTCCCTTTCCTTTGCCAGATCAGGGAGGTTTTCCTTCATTATGTTTTCAAATAAGTTTTCAATTTCGTGCTTTTCCTCCCCTCCTTCTGGCATCCCTATGATTCGGATGTTGGAACATTTAAAATTGTCCCAGAGGTTCCTAAACCTCTCCTCATTTTTTTGAAATTTTTTTTTCATTCTGTTCTGGCTGAATGTTTATATCTTCCTTTTGCTCCAAACCTTTGATTTGAGTCTTGGTTTCCTTCCCTTCACTGTTGCTTCCCAGTACATTTTCCTTTATTTCACTTTGCATAGCTTTCACTTCTTCCTTTGTTTTGAGACCATATTCAATAATTTCTGTGAGCATCATGATTAGCAGTGTTTTGAACTCTGCATCTGACAGGTTGGCTGTTTCTTCATCACTTAGTTCTATTTTTGCAGCTCTGATATGTTCTTTCATTTGGGTCATGTTTTTTTCTCCACTCACCTGTTGTGTAGTAAAGAGCAGAGCCTTAGGTATTCCCTGGGGCAACAGCTAAGTTGCTGCCTTGTGGCGCTGTATGTGGGGGAGGGGCCTGACAGGGAACAGTGCATCTTGCTTGGCTCTGGCTCCACTGGCTTTCAGGGCAGTTCCCCTGCTATTCACAAGCAAACTGGGCCCTTCTGGTGCTGATTCCCGGGTGGATGGGTTTGTGTATTTTCTAGGACCCTGTGGGTCTCTCCAATGAATTTTCCTGTGAGGCTGGGAGTTTTTCCTGCCTCCACAACCCCCACAGGTTTTTACGATTAAAGATTTTGGGGCTTTACTTCCTGGCGCTGGACCCTAGGTTGCGTGGTCTGTCTTGCCCCCCAGTTGTTCTTCCTGGTTTATCCGCAATATAAATATGGGACTGCCTGGTCCACCAGCCACCACTGCCTCCTTCTGTCTGCCAGAAGGCCCTATCCTCTCCAACCTGGCTGCCCATCTCTGCCCTTCCTATTGATCTGGGTGAATGTTTTTTCTTTAACTCCTTGGTTGTCAAACTTCCATACAGTTCATTTTCTGGATGTTCTGGTTATTTTTTGTTTTTAATTTTTTTTGTTGTCCTTTTGGTTCTGCCAGGATGCAAAGTGTATCTACCTATGCCTCCATCTTGGCTGGTGGGGATCCGGACAGCTAGGGACAATTCTTGCCTTCAGCAAGGCTGCTTTGGGGCCTGGACAGAAGCGCACATTTAGGAGAGGCCCTCAGAAAAGGCCTCAATGCAGTCAGATCAACAGCAAAATGCGCTGGGATTCAACACCACAAACAAAAGAGCCTCGGCACAGCATCTGCCATTGGCCACCTGCCTGCCTACTCATCTTGTCTGCTCCAGGGTCACATCTTGGGGAAGCCCCCAAGTGAAGTGGCTGGGCCTGCACTTTTCAGCTGCATCTCAAGATGAAAAGGAAATTCACCACAGTGTGCATGGGGTTGGGAGGGCCCCCTTGGTGTAGGTCTGGGAAACACCTGGCAGAGAGGGTTGCACGCACATGCAAGATGGTCCCATCAGTGGCTATAGTGCCAAAGAGAGGTGGCTGGGATGTGGGACCCCAAGGTCACTTCAAATGCTAGAGGCCTCACAGGGCCTCACCCTTCCACCGCAGAGGTGCCTGCTCTCTGTGCAGGGCTGCGTTGGCCTGTCCTGCCTATGGGGCCCTAGTGATGCTCAGGATTAGCGTTTTCCTTAAGAAAATCAACCAAGAGAACTACAAACCTGCAAAGAGAGTTTTCAAAGATGCAGGCACCCCCACCCCTTCTCTGGCTTCACCCCCACACCAGCATCTGCCCGCAAGCACACAGAGCACTTGTGCTGTCGAGTCCCAAGAGGTGTCACCCTCTCTTCCCACACACACTGAGTGGGTCCAGCACAGATGCTGCGGCAGTGGCCAGAGGGGGTCAGTTAGGAACTACATGCCCACTTGACATTGAGCACCTGTGGGGCTACCTGGAGCCTCCATGGGCTCTGCAGAGAGCCTGGAGTAGGGCAGCCTCCCCACTGTGGGGGGACACAGCTGAGGCTGAGTGAGTGGCTGCTGTGTCAGGGGACCTTGGCTCCTGCTCCCTTGAAGCCAATTACAGAAGAGCGAGGCTAACAGGTCTGCACCCTTGCCTTCCACACACTATCCCTGGGCAGAAAGGAGAGGAGGGACTATGGGTAGAGCGCTGTACCCACTATGAACGTCCATCTCTGGTTTGGCATAGTTTAGGCGTGGGGAGCAATCATTAAAGAAAATCTCAAAGAGAGCCCAGGGGGGACAGCAACCTGGCCTGTCTTCCCATGGTTGTTGATCTCTTTTGCAAAAAGGCATCCCTCTGCAGGAAACCAACAGTGGGAGAGAACACTTCACACACGACAGAGAGCCTGTGGTGGTGGGGTTGCCACAACCATACCAGGTGTCTGTGGTGGGGAGCGCACAAGGTGAGGATCACACTGTCCTTGGATGCTCGGTGACCCAGGCACATGAGTCAGATGCAGAGAATCAAGCAAGAACAGAGCCGTGCATGTCCTGTTCAAGCAGAATCCTGCACATCCACCAGAGAGCCATCTTCTTTGTCTACAGTGACCAGGGGCTGTGTCCACCTATTTGGTAGCAGGAAAAGACCAATTTTGGGTGAAAAAATTACTGTGCCTGACAATTGGGCCAATGTATAGGCAACAGCAGCCTCAATTAACTGTGGCCTAACACCCTCCCCAACACACCATTATGGCCACAATGGAACCACTGGGGATCCACCCGGTCAACCCTGGGTGGAGTGTGGTGAGCTAGGCACAACTTCCCCCACCACAGTGAGGTGCTAGGTTGTCCATTTCTCAAAAAATGTGGACCCACTAAGGTTTATGCTTTCATTATCATCTACTTCTGTCTAGTCTTCATGTATGTGGTCACAAAAAAGTTTAAGAAGTAAAAAATAATTTTAATAGAAAAAAGCTTATAGAACAAGGGTATAAAGAAAACATTTTTGTACAGCTATACAAGGTGTTTGTGCTTGGAGCTGTTATTACAGGAACTGAATAGCTTTTGAAATTAGGTTTAAGTAAAAAAGGAATTGGGGAATCAGGGAGGGGGGTGAGAAGGGGAGGAATCTCCCTCCAGAAAAAAAAAAAAGTAAAAAAGTTACAGTGAGCAAAGGTTATTATTGAAGAAATCAAAGTATGTAAAAATAAATTTAGTGTAGCCTAACTATACAGTATATCAAGTCTATAGTCATGTACGGTAATGTCCTGGGCCTTCACATCACTCACTACTCACTCACCCAGACCAACTCCATGTCCTGCAAACTCCATTCATTGTAAGTGCCCCATACAGTGCACCATTTTTTTTTTACTGTACCTTTTCTATGTTTAGATACATACTTACCATTCTTAGAACTGCCTACAGTACCTTAGCAAAGTAACATGCTGTGCAGGCTTGTAGCCTAGGAACAACTGGCTGTACTATACAGCCCAGGTATGTAGTAGGCTAGACTATCCAGGTTTGTGTAAGTGCCTCCATGATGTTTACATAATGATGAAATCGAGGTGAAGTGCATGACTGTAAAATCCAATAATACATAAAAATAATACATTATGACCAACTGGGACCTGCCTCACAAATGAAAGGTTAGTTTCACCTTTTGAAAATCAATGTAATTCATCATCAAAGACTAAAAAGGTAAAGAAAATTCAAAATAACTATAATTATGGTCATCAATGTCAAAGAAATTGCCCCCGCCTCCCCGCAAATCCCACCTCTTGCATTTTCACTATTGTGGAGCCTCCTGCCACCTTGTAGCAGAATTAGTCTGTGTCAGCCAGAGATCATGTCATAAATGATGGCGCATCATTTTCAAGTTAAGATTATAATACATACTATGGTTTCATTGTTGTATGAGTCCTCCTGGATTGCTTGCTTTGGAATTATTTCCCCCAAAGGGAACACTTTCAGCAAATATGTGCATTAAAAAGAATTAACTACTGATACAGAAAAACACTGATAAATCACAACATAACCATGCAGAGTCAAATAAGTCAGATATATAAGTAAATATTAAATTAGTCCATATACATCATATATAAAATTCTAGGAAACACAAATCTAGTGACAGGAGTGCTTGCCTGGGAATGGGGTCAGGAGAGGGATTATAATGGGAATCAGGAACTTGGTTTCACAAGTGCAAACGCATTGGACCATATCAAACTGTACACTATAAATAGGTAGTTTATTGTAGAAAATGTTTAATTTCTCTGATAGTGACCACAGCCACAGTAGACACACAAATATGGGAGCCCTGAGAATTTCTGTAAGCCCTCATACCAATGCCATAGTGGAGGGAATGTTTGTGGATACACCTTTGGAAGTTACATCCGCTAGGTTTGCTGCAATCCCCCAATTCCATATTGGTATCAGTGTCTCTGTACCAATTGTGATTCCTACCTAGTCTTTTAGGGGAAAGTGACATTTGCCTACTGAATATTAGATTTCAGGGCTGTTGGCAAGCCCAAGGGGGTCAGGCTCTCCTCAAGAGGGCAAGAAAATATGAAACATCCCCTGGGAACAAGGGACTCAATGCATGGTGTTCCCAGACCGACCAGTGGTTGCCACAACAAATATCCACCAAAGTCTCACAGGTAATCTTGGCACACAAGACAAAAGGTTAGGCCCACACAGTCTGGTGTTCTTCCCTAGGAGGCCTTGGGCAGCAGTGCGAGTTAGGTGGAAATTAGAATGAGTCGTTGTGTCTGCTGTTGAACTCAGAACACTGAGCACTTCCTAAAGCTACCCATCCCTTCATGTAGGCTGAGCCTGCTTCTGTCCTCCACTCAGCCTACAGAGTAAACTGAAACCCCAAGATTAAAGATTAAGATCCCAGGTTTAAAAATTAAGGCATTTGCTGAAACACCACAATACTGGGGCAGGCATTTCCCAAGTTAGGGAACTTAGAGGATGGACAAATCTACCATGAGTGCCACATGACCCCAATAAAGTCCACAAAAACTGGAATCCTGCTCTGTAAGCAGCCAGCAAACAAAACTTGCATCCTCCTGGCTGAAACTGGGCCATGTCCATGCTTAAAGAAGCCAGGGCAGGAGGGACAGGAAGGACTAGGATCAATGGGCTCAGGATACTGAGGATTCCCTGTAGGAAAAGGAGCAGCACAGGTGTGCCTAACAGAGCTTGTTGGGGTGATATTTGCACAATGTGGCACCCTGCCATTGCATAGAAGGATGGCTTCTTTCAGAGACACTGGCAGTGATGGAATTTTGGCAGGGGTCCTGGGCAGGTGACAAAGTACAATATTGCTCTAGAAAGCTTACCATGGAAGAGGCCCTCAGAAGAATCTCCCTGGAATGGGTGTTCAGATTGACGGGGTTCAAATTCCAGTTGATGGCTACTCTCAAAGTCACAGAGCTTCTTCTCACTGGTGAACAAGGAGATGACTTATCCCAGTATCCTATGGCCTTTCTCCACTGTGAACTTTCCAGTGTCGGATAAGGGAAGCTCTTTGCCTAAAGGCTTTCCCACATTCACTGCACTTATATGGCCTTTCCCCAGTGTGAATCCTATGGTGCTGAACAAGCACATGTTTGTGGCTAAAGGCTTTCCCACACTCACTGCACTCATAGGGCTTTTCACCATTGTGGACCCTCTGGTGTGCAATAAGGTCAGAACTTTGGCTAAAGAATTTCCCACAGGATACGCACTCATAAGGCCTCGCACCAGTGTGAATGCTCCAATGTTTAATGAGTCTGTATTTGTGACCAAAGTACTTCCCACATTCGCTGCACTCGTAAGGCCTTTCTCCAGTGTGGATGCTCTCATGCTGAACAAGTGTGGATTTGTGGCTATAGGCTTTCCCACACTCACTACATTTGTAAGGCCTTGCTCCAGTGTGAACTCTCTGGTGTACAATGAGGTTGGAGCTGTGATTAAACACTTTCCCACATACGCCACACTCGTAGGGCATTTCTCCAGTGTGGATTCGCTGGTGCTGAGCAAGTATGGGTTTGCGGCTGAAGGTTTTCCCACACTCACTACACTCATATGGTCTCTCTCCAGTGTGGACCCTCTGGTGCTGGACAAGAGAGTCTTTGCGGTTGAAGGTTTTCCCACATTCGCTGCACTCATAATGCCTTTGTCCAGTGTGTGGCTTCCACTCACTGCAAGAGGCGTGGTGCTGGAAAATGCCTGAGTTAGTCGAGAAGTCCTTACAACCTTCCACAGTCATAAAGGGTATTTCCAAAGGCTGGCCAGAGCAGCTGTTCACAAGAAAGTCCTGGCCCTCGTCTCTTCTGAAGGATTTCTCTCCACCATGCTGTTTCTGGTGGTTAAGGTCTGCACTGAAGCAGAATTGTTTCCCCCCTGGTTTCTGCCCAGGGTGTGTTTCTTGGTGCTCAGCCAAGCGCAAAATGTCTTTCAAGACCGGGCCACATGTCTCATAGGGATAGGCTTCTTTCTGGGTAGAAGGGCCCGCCTTAGGAGTTCTGGCCTGTGATGCTCCTCCTGTAGAGACCTTCTGCTTAAACATTGTTTTCTTATCCTCCATTTTATGCCAAGAACCTGAAAGCAGACAAATGCTGGTGAAGTTAAACAGGTGGGAGGGGGCAGTCTCGTTACAAACATGGGTCTAACAGAACTAAGAGCAAGGCCATAGGACAAGAGTCCAAGCTCAAGTTGAGAGAAGGGTTGCTACACAGTGGTTGGCATCTAAAAGTCATGGAAGGGAAGGTGCTTTGGCTGGTGGAGGACACAAATGTAGGGACAGCCCAGGAAAGCCAGGGTCTCCAAAGAAGTCATCCAGATTTCAATGAGGCCTTGGCTGCTGTGGACAAATGAGAGTTGTGTGTGGAAGGCTATGTCCCCTAAAAAGGTACAATCAAATCGCTGGTATTTAAGGATGATTTGGGGCTTGTGCACATCTGACACATTAAGTACAGGTCAAAGTGGAGAGCACTGCAGAGGAACAGGGGAGATGTGGAGGCAGAGGTTAGGGACAGGCAGAGGCCAAAGGCAAGTGTATAAATGGGAAAGAGAAATGGAATGTGGCCAGTGGCCTTGGCTCTAAAACAACTGTGGGCACAAAGAGGTTAGGCAATGACTAAGACCCAGTCTTGACATGACACCTTGGCCTGTTCCCACTCACCAGGGTCACACTCACCCTGAGCCTCTCTGGTCATGGCTGTAGTCATATGTGCCCAGTCTGATAGCCAGGATTCATTGCACAGCTCCAGTGGAGCCACCCCACGGGGCATGGAAGATGCATATCCTAAGGAAAAGACAGGACAGGTAAGTGGGCAGCACTGGTCTGGGTGGCCCAACCTTAAACGGAGAGAAACGATATTATAAAAATAACCTCAGGAATAGTCCAGTGGTACTAGTGACTGACCATCCTGGTCCCTGCAATTTCTGCCGTAGGCAGGCCTTCAGAAATATCAGCTACAGGAAGGGGGCAGAACCTGAGGCACAGGGGTGCCATGGGCCTGGACAGAGGCACCTAGTTGGGGCAAGGACAAGATGGATATGACCCACTGGGTGACTGTAAGATCCCTCACTCCTGGGCCAGCCACGCAAGCCTTCAAGGCAGCAGGCGTGTGCATTGTTCTGGACTCAGAGGTGGCATCCACAGCACCTACTCTAGAGCACTACAGAGGGGAGGACATGCCCATGGCTCTGGTACAGGAAAAGGCCAGGATCACCCTGGAAAATGGGAAGGGCAGAGCCCACTCCAGGACCCTGGGGTGGGTGTGAGGGCCTTACCCAGTGAGGCTGTGAGTGCCAAGTTCTCCAGCATCACATCGCGGTATAGGAGCCTCTGAGTCTCATCAAGGAGCCCCCACTCCTCCTGGGAGAAGTGCATGAACACGTCCTCGAAGGTTACCTGCCCGTCACCATGAGGAGAACCAAGTACATGAGTGGCCTGTCTCCTGAAGACACCCATCTGTGCCCCTACATTCCTTCCTACCTGGACACCCATCTGTGCCCCTACATTCCTTCCTACCTAACTCCTCAACTCAGAAAAAGTATCAGGACTGAGTGCCACAGGATCCCCGTGCTGTCTCATGGTCCCTGTGATCACTGTGTCCACCTACAGCAAGGAGGGCTAAAAGGCACCACCTCAGTTCTGGGCGTGGTATGCAGGCTCCCACCCCCTGCCACAACACCTACCATGGCAGTCAATTCTCCTGAGGTTACTAAGATCATGCTCACCTTTCTCCCTTAAGCCCCAATATCAGGGCCCAGGGGCCATCAGTTATACTCCCTTCCACCTGCACATCACTCTTTTGGATCACTCTGTCTCACAAGTCTGGTCCCCACCATCCAGTCACTAGCCCTCCTGGCTCACTGACTGCACTACCATTGTGATGCACAGACTGCCCCTTCTAAGCCTGTTTCTATGCCATCATCTACCCTTTAAACATTCCACCCTGAACTCCTCCATAGAACTTCCATCCTGCGTCCAGTTCACTCAACACCTCCATGCAGTATTCTCTGGAACATCTTAGCCCCTTCACATGGTCACAAGTAAACTTTGGATATCCACGTTGAGTTATTTCTACCACTAACTTGACCATCTCAGCTGATGGAGCGTCTACCCTTCTGACTGATAAGGCCTAAAACCTGGGGATTATCTCTCACACACACACACCCTCCACCCCAGAATACTTGATCCACCGTGACCAGGTGGCTCAGTTGGTTGGTGCATTGACTGGTTTGATGCTGTGCACTAAAGGGTTTTTGGTTTGATCCCCTGGTCAGGGCATGTATGAAGGAAACCAACAGATGTTTCTCTTTCATATTAACGTTTCTCTTTCTCCTTCTTCCTAACAATCAATGAGCACATCTTCAGGTGGGGATTTTAAAAAAAGCATCTGATCCAATCACTTCTACCATCTACACAGCCACTCCTCTAGCCCATCCATTCTTAGCACTCACCTAGAATATTAAAGTAGCCTCCTCCCTGGTCTGCACTGTAACTCCCTGAACCCTCACCCTACACAATCTGTTTGCCACGTGGCATCCAGAGGGAGCCCGTTAAAGCCTGGATCAGATCAACTACCTCCTATACCACCCTCAGAACAGAGGTTTAACTTGTGCCCACCCGCTCCTGATTCCTACTGGACATGATGGAGACATGTAGTTGTTTTTTGTTTTTTTAATTAAACTTTTTTTAAATTCTCACTCAAGAATAATGTTTTACTATTATTATTTTTATTTTAGAGAGAAACAGGAAGGGAGGGAAAGGAACACTGACGTGAGAGAGAAACACCAACTGGTTGCCTCCCATGTAAGTGCCAACTGGGATTGAATGTGGAACATTTTGGTGCGTGGAACAATGCTCCAACTGACTGAGCCACCTGGCCAGGGCTGACACTTGTAGTTTCTTGATAACACCAATCTCAGTCTCACCTCCAAGTACTTGCACGCGCCTGGTACAACCTTCCAAACCTTATTCCACTGGCTACCAGAAATGGGAACCCTTCCATTTAACCTCAGGCCTGGACTCAGAACCCTGGGCTTGAGCTTTCTCCAGGATCTTTAGACTCAAGAGCTGGGAGAGTACAAGTTAAGTGTTCTATGATATCATAATCCTGGAGACTATGTGGGTGGGGGTGGGAATGGGATCTATGAGAGCACCCACGTCCTCCCCTCACCTGCATAGGGTCCACAATTACTTCTGAGTTCATGGGAACCTGTGGGAAGAGTCTATGAGATACAAGCAACCACGAAGGAGTCTCAAAGTCTCATGCCTTCCCCTTAGGCCTGCCCTGCCACTAACACCCAGGGGTGACTGTCAACCCTCTGTGCTCAGTCCTCAGGCCTACCCAACAGCCATGACCCCAGACTAGGCCTCCACCTTCCTGTGCCTCACTGTCCTCATCATCTCCCCAACCCCCCACCCCAAGTCTGCTCTTCCCTGAGCAGCCAATGGTCTACTTTTAAAACCCTCAGATCGTGTTCCTCTGTTCAGAACCTTCCAGGGCCCCCATCGCCCTCAGAATAGCGGCAAAACTGGTCAAGCGGACCTTCCAGACACAGCTGCTCCTCACATTCTCTGATCCTATCACACAGCGGCCCCCCCGCCCCCGCGTGCCCCCCAATGCTCTGGCCGCGTCTCCCCTCCAGAACTTCCACATCCCATCATCCTGGCTGTCAGAACTGGGACCCCACGAGAGGCCCTCCCCGCCGCCCCTGGTCCGGACTGGACAGCCCATATTCGAGTCTTCAGAATGAAAGGAGAGAACCTGGGGGCGCAACACCTACCTGCGCCATCTGAACCTGTGGACGGGAGAAGGCGGGGGAGGAGAGAGGATAAAAGGCGGGAGACAAGTGCGAGGAACCGGGCTTTGGCAGCCAGGGGACACGTGAGGCGCCACAGCCGAGCCTCAAGCTGGCCTCCGTTCAGGGAAGAACCACCTCTTCTCGTGTCACTCGGGTCTTAGAGTGCGTCCACGAGACTGAAGAGGAGGACTAATCAAAAACCAAAAAAAAAAAAAATGTCCACCCAAGAAGGAAACAGGAAATCCCGCCCCAACATCGTCCTCACTAACGGAAACACCCCTTCACTGGGCCTTCATTGGCCGAGAGTCATGGAGGCTTCTGGGTAACGTAGTTCTCAGAGCACCAACCTCGAAGAAGAGCTGCCACTGCACCACCTCCAGGACAAAGGGCGAATCACAGAGTTGGAAGCACCTTGGAAGCACCTTAAAAGCACCTTCTGCTTAAAGGAACCACACCCATATTTCCAGTGTGTGTAGTCTGTAACTTATCCCAGAAATGCTTACAAGCATATTATTTTAATTTTCTTAAAAAAAATCAAATGATCCCATGGGTTAGAGAGTTGTCCAGATATGCCAAGGTTCCATCCCCCATCAAGGCATGTATAAGAATCAACCAATGAATACATAAATAAGTGGAAAAAATTGTTGTTTCTCTCTCCCCTTGTCTCTCCCTCTCTCACTGATAAATGAAAAATAAATTCTTAAAAACCAAGTGGACACAACATATGCTAACATCACTGAGACCTCTACAGTTAGAAGTTCAATATTTTGTTGTCATCAAATAAACATATGTAGCTTGAAGCTCTAGAGTTAGTCTTGTGATCCTCAGTATTTTGGGCAAAGAAGAAGAGAGAAAAGATTCCAGACACAACATAATCTGGAAAATGGAGATGGGATGTTGGGCACCACTGAAGTCCATGGACAATGCTTGTTTCTCTAGTTATCTCAGAAAACATTTTCCTGTGTGTATAATCAATGATTGTGTCAAACCCAGTGAATAACATTATTTTTACAAGATATTTCTTTTTAAGACATTAAAAAATCATTTATTTAGCCCTGGCTGGATTTATTTAGTTCAGTGGATTGAGCTCAGGCCTGTGAACCAAAGGGTCATTGGTTTGACTCCCAGTCAGGGCACATGCCTGGACTGCAGGCTTGGTCCACATTAGGGGGCGTGCTAGAGGCAACCACACATTGATGTTTCTTTCCCTCTCTCCTTCCCTTCTCTCTAAACACAAATAAATAAAAAATATTTTTAAAACATTTATTTATGTTTAGAGGGTGGGGAAGGAGAGAGGGAAAGACAGAAACATCAGTTGGTTGCCTGGAGACCTGGCCCACAACCCTGTTATGTGTCATGACCTGGGAGGGAACCCATGATCTTCCAGTTCAGAGGCCAGTGCTCAATCTACTAGCCACACCAGCCAGGGCACAAAATATTTCTTTCTCTATATACAGAAATGTATGCAATTCCTTTAAGCTATCTTACAAATATCTGACAAGAAGGATAATTTACAATACTAAATGTATTTGGCAATTAAGAGGGCAAGAACAATTTTTGTGCAGAAGAAATAACTACCAAATTACGTTTCTATACACAGTAAAAATATCTTAAGAAACTGTGACATAAGAGTATTCAAGGTCAACAGTGATGAATGTAGTGATCTAAAAATGCACAGAAATAAAATTCAACACATATTATTTAAGTCCAAAGAAGGATGAACCCAGATGAAAGGCCTACAATGAGAGAAGGTATGAGGATTGAGAGATGGGTGCATCTTTTGATTAAAATAACTGCTCATTGGCTGTGAAGGCATGAATATATCTCCTCATGGAGTTAAAATGATGAAATTCCTATGCATAACATCTGAACATATACATTGAGAGGTACCTAATTGTTTAATGTACTAAAGCCCTTATATTTCCAGGTAAGTGACATGAGACCAGGGATGTATTTTGTCTTTTCATTGTCTCAGAAACATTAGCCTTCAATGCTATTCTCTAAATACATGTTTTCTGGGCACCAACCAAGAAATCAAAACAGGAAAAGCCCTGTTGGCTGACAGATACAGGGACGATTGAGGGGAGTAACTGTCATTGACTCAGATTTGCCCCATCACTCCAACATCCACATGTGCTTTCACTTCTGCTTTCAACACCCCCAACTCTGCTCCCTTGGGCCAGTCTACCCAAAACACATTTCTGGACTACCCAACTCTGCCCTGCCTCCAACATCAGTTCTTGCTCTGCCTCACCTCATTATTCACACATCAGGAAGGTGATTTCAAAACAAATCAGGTTCTACCTGGCACATTCAGGTGGTTCAGAAGGACATCGATGACCAAAGGGGCAAGGGCCTCAGTCCTCGTGTTACTAGCCCCTCAAACTTTAGCCTCAGGGTTAGTAACATGCTCCCTAATGTCAGTTCCCATCATTCATGCATAACTGTCTCATTGTATATATGGTGACAAAATCCAGGAGAGGCAAAGCAGTTTCCTGAAGTCCCGCACAGCCAATAGGAGGCAGACTGGGACATGCAGCACATGTTCCCCACTCTAGTGCTCTCCTGCAGGCGAGGGCAGCCTCTTTCTTTTTTGAGGGATTGTAAACGAAAAAGGGGCCATATACAAAACCTGACAAGCTCAGAGGAGGCCTGCATAATGGGCCTTACAAACATAGAGTCCAAAATTAAGCACATAGGATGATCTAAAATTAAAACTTCCTAACTAAAAGTGAGTCATGGCAGATAGCCACATCCTAGGCCTGTGTGTAGCCTCCTTGACAAAGTTCAGTCTTTAACCTAAGTGTGTCTGCCTGTTGTCTTTTTGCATCTAAGAAAACATACATTTGAAATGTCAGGATAATCTCCTCATCCAGACTCCTCAAGGCAGAAATCTTCATTGTTACCTGGTTGCCCAAATACCATCTTTATGTGCTGTAAATGTTAAGTATTAACTATGTTCTATCCACAAATGCAAAAAAAGTATGTCTCTGTTTTAATTTTTATCTAATCCCAGTGATTCCCTTCCTTTGCTTTCTCCCACCGTATTTATCTACCACCAATGGATTTCATGTAACCCTGCTTACAGGTCCTCCTTTTACTCTAATGTATAAAATAAGCGGCAAAACTGCCATTCTCCGAGGCATTTTTTCAATCCAAAGAAATGTTGCTTCCCAGCAATTGTAAGTTTGGTTCAAATAAACTCATAAAAATTGTCTGCAGTTGTGGAGATCTCTCACCTGGACTGAGTAAAGCAAACACTAACTGGCTTACAGGAATGGAGACGTAGGTTTCACCCAGGAGCAACAGTTGTTGAGCTTTTTCTCACACATCAGGTGAGAAATGCTTCATCAGCCTGGTGTTTGACATAGGGCGCCCCGCTTGGCAGGGGAATTTAGAAATGGTAACTGGCGCAGACGGAGGAAACCGCTTTATTGAGCCTCTCAAGATGGTAAAGAAAAAACTGGACTCCCAGCTCCGCAGGTAAATTTGAAATCCAGGCCTATCAATAAGGTTAGTCTCTGGACGACAAATAGCTGAGCTTTGGACCCTGATTTCTCCTCCACTGCCATCTCAGCAGCTCTACTTCCTCTACGTTTCGCGCTATGGGAACTACATTGCCCAGAAGGAACTGCTCACCACCGTGCTGGTGCTCAGCCAATGAAAACGGTCGTGCGGAACCTCCGGCGTCGGCTCAGGCGAGTTGACTTTGGGGGTGTCTGGGGCCGTTTGTTCCCTCAGTCCGACTGGCTGGTTTGGGCCCAACTAAGCAAGAAGGGGCGGTGCGAGGAGGCGGAGGCTCGGCGACGCCGCCCGGGCGATCCCGATTCTGGGCCAGGGGACGGGATGCCCGGGCCCGACCTGGTCCTCCGTTCCCCGCCCCGCTCAGTCCACCGAATCCGATGGCCGCTGCCAAGCTGAGGCTCCCGGCTCAGGTGAGGGCATGTCCCCTGGGCCCTCCTCATTCTCACCCCACCGAACCCCAAAGCCCCGAGTGAGCGTCCCCTCCTCAGGGAAGTCAATACAATGGACTAATAGTTGTGGTACGAACTGGACCATACTGGTGGCAATGGAGGGGCGAGCAATTATTAGATCTGGGGTGGATTTTCAAAACTGGACAGGCTTTCTTGCTCTACCAGATGTGGCTGTGAAGAAAGTAGGGAATGAAGCACCATCCCCTGCCCCTTTTTTGGGGTTTGCGGTTTTTGTCTGTTTCCTGAATATCTGGAAATATTGTAGATGGGGAAGGCAGCACGTTTTCAGAGATAGGAGTTCGACTTCGACATGGTAACCCTGAGTTATCCCACAGTGGAGGTGTCATATGAGTAGCAGTTTGCTCACTCACATCTGTATATCTGAGGAGGGATCTGGGCCTGGACCATATTTATGCACCGGTGCTCATAATTAGGAGGGGGAATCTTATCTCTCTCACTTTCTTTTTTAGGCTTTATTTTTAGAGAGAGGGGAAGGGAGGGAGAGAAACATCGATAAATCGGTTGCCCCCCGCATGTCCCCAGCTGGGGCCTGGCCTGCAACCCAGGCATGTGCCCCGACTGGGAATTGAACCGGTGATCTTTCAGTTCGTAGGTGGCGCTCTATCCTCTGAGCCACACCTCTGGAAGGAGAATCTTAAAGTTCTTATCTTAGATGAGCCTCCAGAGCGGGGGCGGGGGTGGGGATAGGGAGGTTCCTGTGGCCCTACCTGGTTCTGGCTGGTGTGAGTGGGAGCGGATGCCTACAGGGACCGGTGTAAGGACCAAGAGATTGTGATGTTCAGTGGTGTAGAGGGGCCACTTCAGGCTCGGCAGACCCCCATTGTCCACTCCTTGTAGAGAAAAGAAAATGCTAGTCAGGCTAGTGGAGCAGCCCTCAGGGTAGGAAGGATGACCGACTGCTCCAATGGAAAGGCCCCAGCAGGGTTGCCTTCAGGAGTATACAGCAGGCAGCGAGATCTCGAATAGGACTAGTATTACTCAGTTTCCTTAAGCTCAGTCCCCCACTTCGTTAACTTATGAGTTTATTAAATAAGTATTTAAGCACTAGCTGATAAAAAATACAGATGTATACCTATATACACATACAGAGTGGGGCAAAAGTAGGTTTACAGTTGTTTGTATGGAAAATAATACAATAATTAATAAACTGTTTCACATATTCACAACTGTAAACCTTTTGCTCCACCCTGTATATGCATACGTATGTGTATACACACATAGACACACATACATAGGCAATTAAAATAATAGGGATTTGACAAGTAAAAGTGATGTAGGCATTTAATACTTGGTTGGAATCATAATATACTGCTAAGCATTTGATTAAAATCAAATGCCTTAAACATCACATTCTCTTAGTTGAAAGGTGTGCACAAAAATCCACATTTTCAATGCCTCCCAGTTCATTTGCACTGAAAATGTTGACAGAAGTTAGTTACGAGGACACTAAGAGTTGATACTACTTGACGCACAGGAATGAGTTTGATACAAACCATAGCTGCAGTGGGTGTGCACCATTGTATTCCCATTTTACAGATAGCAACACTGAAGCACAGGGAGGTCTAGTCCTTTTCTAAGGTCATGTAGCTGGTAAGAGGCATCATTGAGGACTAAGGCCCAAATGGTGTGAAAGCGCTTAAAGAGCCTTTGGGGCCCAACATTGTTGCCTGCAGAACTTATTCCAGACCATGCAGAGGTAAAGGAGGGTATCCCAGATACTCATCCTCTTCCATTCCCACTTGCATGGGCTCCCAGGTATCCTAGGACTCTGCCTGCTACTCTCTGTATCCTTCCATCTGAGGTCCCTGGAAGGTGATCGATCATCCAAGGTTAGGGCTTTGAGTCCTGACCAGGGATTTTATGGATTGGTTCCCATTTCTGGCAACCAGTGGCACGATACTGTACTCACAGTGATCACAAAATGCTGGAGGTGAGGTTAGGCTGGGAATGCTCAAGCAACCTTAGGTCTTCATTATGTCTGGTGGAAATGGCAGGAATCAGGAATTGGACCTGGAATGATAGCCTGAAGAGCTGGTCTCTGTTCTGATGGTGGTGGCAGCCAGAAAACATTTGGAGCAGAGGCAGGTAGTCATCTGACTCAGATTTAACAAGCTTTTCTGCTGCAGAGTAGAGAGCAGACTTGGGTTTCAGGGAGACCAGGAAGGAGGCTACTGCAATAGTCCAGGTGAATGTTGGTGGCTAAACTAGAGGTGGCTATGGAGGTTAAAGGTGTGTTGGAGTCTGTATATGGATTTTAAGTAGATCCAAGCTGACTTTCTGATGTGGTGGACGGGAGAGAAAAGTGGGAGAGTCAGGGGTGACTCCAAGATGTTGGGCCTTAGTAGCTAGCAACAGGGAAATACTACCATGTCAACATTGGTTGTAATAGTAATTTTTTCTTTTAAATTAAAAGAAAAAGATTGATTTGAGGTGGGGAGGAGAGAGAAAGAAAGAAGGAAGAGAGAGAAAAACATTGATGAGCTGTTCCACTTATTAATGTATTCATTGGTTGATTCTTGTATGTACCTTGACCAGGGATTAAACCCACAACATTATCATATCGGGATAATGCTCTAACCAACTGAGCTGCCCACCAGATGTAAGAGCAATTTTCAGTGGGAATATTAGGAGTCAGGTTTTGGTCATATTGAACTGAGGTGTTCTAGAGACCCTTGAGTGGATTTGTTGAGTGGGCACCTGGAAACACAAGCCTGGAGTTCAGGTGAAGGGTTCAGGTTGGAGACACTCGCACTCACGGTGTGTGGGCCAGGACAAAGCTGTGGGTCAGAGTTGGCAGCAGGCATCATCAGTCCTGGTAGCAGTGCTGTTAGGTAATGAAGGAGGGGAGTGTGGGACCGAGGACTAGGTCTCTTCCTGGACACCTGGGTAGGGTGGTGGGCTTCACAAAGACACACAAGGGAGAACAGTGGCCATTGGGGTCGCAGGAGTGAGGAGGGTCTAGCTGGTGGCCAGGGTTTCCATGGGGAGTGGATATGAAATGGATGTGGAGACAAGGCAGTGAGATGACAGTAAAGTGGATGGCTCACAGGCTCTGTAATCAGCTCAAGATCCAATGGGACCCTCTGGGAGAATCATAGGCATGATGTGCAAGACATGTGGGCCTCAGCTTCCTGCAAGCATCAGAGAAGCTGACATTGTTGAGGGGACACCTTTGCATCAGAGACACGGAAGAGGGATGAGGGTATCTGAAGTCTGCGTGTGGTTCTGGGTGGCTGAGGATAAAGCGAGGATAAGGGTCAGGTAGGGGGCCCTTCAAAGCAGGCCTGGGGGTTGTCGCTGGTAGTCGGGGCCATCACCACAGAGGCTGGGGACATGAAGGGAGGTGTGGTACAGAGTGACGTGCACTATTGGAGGGACTATAAACTGATGGCCTCAGGCCCTTGTCCTGTGGGCTAATGGGAGAACAGTGACCTGAATTTGGTTGTTTGGGAAACACTGTCTGGGGGCCCTCAGTTGAAATGTCTGGATGGAGAAGGGTGAGGCCCTATAGGCCAGGCCTAGAGCTCACATATCTGTCTGCCCAGCTGTCTGGGGTTGCTGTGGGCTGAGCAGTAATTAGTGAGACTGTGAGGAGGAAGTGGGCATCACTGGCACTGAGGCCTAGTCTCTCCTCTGAAACAGGGAGCCCGGGAGGAGGGTGGATGTTAGGGTAGATGCCCAGAGTCCTGGGAAAGAAGGCTGCAGTAAACTCAACTGTCCCCATCCTGGCAGGGCCATGTGACCTTTGAAGATGTGGCTGTCTGCTTCTCCTGGGAGGAGTGGGAGCTTCTTGATGAAGCTCAGAGACATCTATACCGCAGTGTGATGCTGGAGAACTTCTCACTGATGGCCTCTCTGGGTAAGCACCCTGCGCTGGGCTTGCTCTTCCCTTTTACCCTAGGGGCAGGGTTGCCTTTCCCAAAGCTGTTCCATGGGTACTGCTTCCTTCCCCATCCTGGACTGGGTGCTGTGAGCATCTAGCCCAAGCCTGGGTTGTGCACTGTTCCTTTGGTCCCCAAGCTGCCCCAAAGCCTTGTGGGAAAAGGTTGGCGATGAGGAGTCTTTTTTTTTCTTTAAATCCTCACCTGAGGCCATGCTTACTGATTTTAAAGAGAGGAGAAGGGAGGGAGGAAGGGAGATAAGGAGAGAAGACACCAATGTGAGAGAGAAATATCAGTTGCCTCTCGTATTTGCCCCAACCAGGGACTAAACTACCATGTAGGCATGTGACCTGACCAGGAATCAAACCCATGCCCTTTTGGTGTATGGGACAATGCTCCTACCAACTGAGTTATACCAGCTAGGTCTGGAGATGAGAAGTCTTGCAGTCAGCCTAATGGATCAAATTCTTGGCCTCTTGGTGACACTGAAGGTCCATGGCAGTTCTACCCCTAGGTGCCACCCTCTTCCTCTATGTGGGATATGCCTGTGGCAGGAATTGAGGCACCAACATGGCTACCATTTGAATGGGTTGTTCACACAAGGCCTTCCTCCAGGGTTCTTTCTGTAGTATTTAGTTTTCTTTCCTGTGGTCTGTTATGGGGTGGGTTGCTTTGACCACCTGTTTTGTCTCTCCCTTAGGACTTGCATCTTCCAGGACTCGTGAAATTACCCAGCTGGAGCAGTGGGGAGAGCCCTGTTTACCTGCCCATGGAGTCATTACTGCAGCCATGCCAGGAGGTACTTGGAGGGAGAAACAGGAGAGGTGTGAGCTCAGAGAGGGGTCAGATAGTGCCAGAATCTCTGCAGTGGGCCCTGATGTTTTGGTGTCAAGGCAAGGGACCCTGACTGATTGCATCTTTTCTTTCCCAGTTGCCCATTTATCATGTCTACTCTGATTTCTGACCCAGGGCTGTCCCCCACCTTTCTCTCGTGTGTCTCACCTGATCCTCTCCACTGCACCCTCCACAGTGCTCTCCAATAGAAGCCTTGTTCTATATTCTGAGATGGTCAGTCCAGTGTGGCCACAAGAGGATACACAGAGTAGTTTGTTGTGTTCAACAGCTTCAGAGAGATAGTCACTGCATGCCAAGGGGGTGGGGGGCATATGGGAGGGTATGCCCATAGGGTGGACCCAGTCAAGCAGGGGGTGGGGAGCAGAGAGTGAGCAAAGACATTAGGGGTTGGTGAAAACATGAGAAAAGGTGTGAGAGGATGCACTTGGAACATTAGAATGTCTCTAGGTCAGTCACGGGAGGGCAAGAAAGGGGACTTGTGTCAGAGGCTCACCTTATCAGTAGGGTCACCTGGTCTCCAGGTATGCTGTCAGCCTGTTTGTGAGGGGACGTTGAGGCAGCAGAAGTTTTAAAATTATACAATACAATTGACCCTGTGGTGTCTCAGCATCATGAACAGCGCTAATAGGGATGGATGACACTTGCCAGTTGGGTTGTGGAGAATTAAAGGTGACTGGATAGTGTGGTCTAGCCACCGAAGGAAAGCTTTGACAAAGGTGACAACTAAGAGGAGTCCCACTAGGCATATGATGACGAGGTGAAATGGAGGCAGCAGCCAGCCACTGTCCTTAAAGGGGAAAAGCCACCTCTAAAGGGGGTCAGGTACCTGTGGGTTTAAGGGAATCTGCCGGAAGGTGTTGGTTGTTATGAAAGATATTTTTTACCTTGTAGCCTAATCCTAGTAGCTTTGCTTGTACCTGTCCAGAGTTATTAATGTACACACAGCAAGAGGCACCCTAAGTGGCACAGATTCCCCCATTCCTGGCTAGTAAACAGTCATGAGCCCATCTGTTGTCCATGACTGTTTGGGCTTAGAGACTCATAGGTTTGTCACAGAGGGACAATATTTTGTGCTGCCTTTGAATGTCACCTGAGAGGACCACCAAAAGGTGCTGGTTGGCAGTCACGGTATGGTCTTGATGAAGGCTGCTGTAAGGGTGCCAGTGCTGGCGTTTCTTGTAGCTGTGGTAAGTCCTATTAAGATGACAATAGCCCTGGCTGGGTAGCTTGGCTGGTTGGAGCGTTGTCCTGATGTGCTAAGGATGCAGGTTCGATCCCCAGTCAGGGCACATGCAAGAATGCATCTATAAGTAGAATAACAAATTGATATTTCACTCTTTCTCTCCCTAAAGTCAATAAGTTTAAAAAATAAATAACTCACAGACAGCTCAAAAAATGTGTGTTGGGTTCTTTAAAAGGTAAAGGCACACTAGAGCTGTGACTGATTGGTAATAGGTGCAGAGTAAAATATACTGGCCAGGTGCATACAACATGTTAAAATAACTGCTGGGCACACTTTGGAGAGAGTCATTTAATTCGATTATGTGAGGTCTTGGAGCCTTGATGGGGGACTTGAGCTTGGAGGTGCAATAATCAATAGTTAAGTGCCACTGTTGGTAGAAGACTTTAAGATTGGCCAAATTGGACTACTGAAGGAGAAATAGTGAGGATAATTGTCCCTTCTTTTAGATCTTGAACAACCAGCAAAAGGCCTGCAGTACCTTGTTTCAGGCAATACTGTGGTGTTTACTACATTCATTGGTGGGGACTGCCCCATAGGTCCTCACTTTGTGATTCTGACGAGCAGGACCAAGACACTTACGCTTGTTCCAGCATTGTAGGATGCATACAGCAGCATCTCTGTCTATAGTGGGAAAGCTCTAAGCATTAGGAGTTCCCATGATGGGCAGCTGTTTTAATAAAGATTGCTGCAATATCCCTGTAGTTTAAAAGGGGTACCTCCTTGAAATTTGAATGGGTTGCCTACAATAATGGTAACTTTGGCTCCAGTATCCAGTAAAGCTAGGCGATGTTAGAGAGAGAGAGAGAGAGAGAGAGAGAGAGAGAGAGAGAGAGAGAGAGAGAGAGAGAGAGAGAGAGAGATTTGTTGTTCCACTCATTTATGCATTTTTTTTGGTTGACTCTTATATGTGCTCTGACTGGAGATCAGGTTCGCAACCTTGATGCATCAGGACGATGCTCCAACCAAGCTACCTGACCAGGGCTTGTGGGGGCACTTGAATGGCACTAGGTCCAAGTCAGGGGAGGGCATCCTTATAGTTCTTGAACACCAGCTATTCATTTACTTCAGTTTTTCTGATTCTGAACACACCCTTCTGCACTGTGTTCCTGTTTAATTAGCACAAAGGCCCTGCCAAAAACCGTTTGCATAGGAGTGTGTTGAAGCTGCACCCATTCATGTGTCCTTTTTGCTTAAAAGGCCCACCCCACAGATCTGCGAGCTTGCCAGGTCCAGCACTGCACAGCAAACCCTTCTTCATTCTGATCTCTGGCCCTTCATTCTACCACCAGTCCTAGGAATGCATGGCTAGATGTCTCAGATGCATATTTGTGAGGGTGCTGCCTGGTCTCACTGAAGTCTACATCCACTTCATCAGCCTTTCTCTGCTTTCAGGTCGTTGGCATGGAGCAGAGGTTGAGCAGAATGTTAACATAGGAGGAGTGCTCAGCATAGACCTTCACCAACACCAGAAGCTGCACTGTATAGAGCAATCCTTAAGACAAGAGGGGGAGCAGAATGAGAAGGACATCCTGACTAGCTCTGGTCTTAACCATCAGGTGACTCACAGTACAGGGGAACCACACAGGAACATCAAAAGTTGCCCTAACAAAAGGCATTATAAGTGCAGTGAATGTGGGAAAGCATTTGGTCAGAAATACTTACTTGTTCAGCACCAGAGACTACACACAGGAGAAAAGCCTTACAAATGCAATGAATGTGGAAAACTATTTAGCCACAAATCCAACCTTTTTATACACCAAATAGTTCACACTGGTGAAAGGCCTTATAGCTGCGGTGAATGTGGGAAATCCTTTAGCCGCAATGCCGACCTCATTCAACACCAGAGAGTCCATACTGGGGAAAAGCCTTTTACATGCAGCGAATGTGGGAAAGCCTTCAGGCATAATTCCACACTTGTTCAGCATCACAGAATCCACACTGGAATAAGGCCTTATGAGTGCAGTGAATGTGGAAAATTCTTTAGCTTCAACTCAAGCCTCATGAAACATCAGAGAGTTCACACTGGAGAAAGACCTTATAAGTGCACTGAATGTGGGAAATTCTATAGCCACAAGTCAAGCCTTATTAATCATTGGAGAATTCACACTGGAGAAAGGCCTTATGAGTGTAGGGAATGTGGGAAATTTTTCAGCCAAAGCTCTAGCCTCATGCAACACCACAGAGTTCACACTGGAGAAAAGCCCTTTAAATGCAATGAATGTGGAAGATTCTTTAGTGAGAATTCCAGCCTTGTTAAACACTACAGGGTTCACACTGGAGCAAGACCTTATGAGTGCAGGGAATGTGGGAAGTTTTTTCGCCACAGCTCCAGCTTGGTTAAACATCGAAGGATTCACACTGGAGAAATGCCTTATGAATGCAGTGAATGTGCAAAATCATTTAGCCAGCGTTTCAACCTCATTCAACACCAGAAAGTTCACAGAGGAAAGAATTCTTGAATGCAACTAATGTAGGAAAACCTTTAACTAAAAGTCTGCTCTGATCCAATCATACGAACTTTACAAACCAGGTGGGCCATAGGAACACAGTGAACATGAAGAGAGGCTTCAGCCACAGGCTTAATTAACCTTTTTCAACACCAGAAAGCTCAGAGTGGAGAAAGGCCTTAGGAGTGCAGGGCACATGCTGCCCTTGGTCAGCCTAAGCTAACACAGAGAGAAGTTCTGAGAGTAGCCTTTATCACTAAGCCAGCAATTGAACATCATCTAGTTATGCATCCTGAGGGCAGGATGATAAATTGCTGACATCCTGACCCATCTGAAAGATAGCCCTTCTGCCCAGGAGTTCTGGAGAGGGGGAGCCCTGAGTTCTCGCCTGTATCAGTCTGAAGTGGCCTTTTCATTTCTCTGAGTTTGGAAGGGGCAAGAGGAAGTGACTTGGTTCAGATATGACTGCTTCCTGCTTATTCTTATTGAACATTAGATTTCCTTGAATAAATGTTTCTTCATTTGCTCTACACCCTTAGAACTATTTCCACAGTTTTATTAAGCAGGTGAGAAGCAGGTCCACAAAACTCCTTACACTGCCAAGCTGGAAGTTGATCCACATTTAACTTCTTAAGAACTCACCAAATTGTGTTCTAAATGGTCATGCCTTTTCACATTTCCTCCTGGAGTATATTAGATTTCAAGTTTCTTCACATCCTGCTGACCTTTATTTATACGACAGAGGCCATTCATTTTAGCCATTCTAATAGGTGTGTAGTAGTATTTCATTGTTTTAATTTGTATTTTCCTAATGACTAAATGTTAAGCATTTCCCTTGGGTTTATTTGCCATCCATTTACCTTCTGTTCATATCTTTTGCCTATGATTAAAATACTTGTTTGCAATTTCTTAATATATTCTGGATACAAGTTCTTCATTTGATGTGTGCTTTACCAATATTCTTGTAGTATTTGGTTTTGCTTTCCATTTCTCTCTCTCTCTCTCTTTTAGATTTTATTTTTAGAGAGAGTGGAAGGGAGGGAGAGAGGGAGAGAAACATCAATGTGTGGTTGCCTGTTTCATACACCCTACTGGGGACCTGGCCCACAACCCAGGCATGTGCTCTGACTGGGAATCGAACCGGTGACCCTTTGGTTTGCAGGCCAGCACTCAGTCCATTGAGCCACATCAGCCAGGGCATGTAGGAGAGTTCACAAGTACTTCTGGCTCTGTGTGAGTAGTTAAGTTGGTTAGAGCGTTGTAGCCAAGGTTGTTGGTTCAGTCCCTGGTCAGGGCACCCAATGAATACATAAATAAATGGAACTACAAATTGATGCCTCTCTCTAATTGATCAAAAAAAATTTTTAAAGACTAATGATCATTCATTAGTCTTTATGTATATTGTTCTAGAAATGTATATTGTTCTAGATTAGGTTGTGGACCAGGAAAAATACCTAGGAATAATATTAGGATGAAAGATAGCCTTTAAATGTGGATTTTGCATTAAACAATACTATTTTACCCATATTGAATGACCTCATCATGCTAACACTCTGATAATTCTGAATACTGTATGCTCTTAGGGAATACATACTGAAGGATTCACTTGTACTGAAGCAAAAATATTTCTGAACTAAACTCATTGTGCAAAAACACATGTATGTGGGGCAAGAATGAATGATAAAGCAAAAGGTGCAAAACAAATCGTTTAATCTGGATTAAATTTATACAAGAATATCTTGTACTATACTTTCAACTTTCCTGTAAGTTTGAATACATCTAAACAATTTTAAATGCAGAAATCACTGTTTCCCCACTTCACAGAAAATATCTGTCACATTACAACTCAGAAGATGCATATGATAGATATAACTTCATGCTTGGCATTTTTTTTTAAAGTGTAGAATGGATTGTCCTTAACATCTTAAAAAGAATCTACAAAAAAATTCTACAACATACTTGACATAATGTTATTAAATATTTCCCCTAAGATCAAGGACAAAAGACAAATTGGTATCTCTTCTTGTCCTTCATCACTCCACAGGGACTACTTAGGATTGAATGGCAGGAAAAAATATAAATACATATATGCATTAGAAAGAAAAACATAAACTCTTCTGACCTCTTTAAAAGTATGTGCTAGAATAGTAGTATCCTTATCAGTTCAGATATGAGCACACTGTGTTGTCATTTGCCTATCCCACCATGTTTTTCTTGACCCATTGTGGTCTGTTTTCTTTTCCATAGAACTCATCACCTTCTAACACAGTATGTAACTTAATAACTTAGAAACATTGCTGATTGACTCTTTCCCTCAACTAGAATCTTAAATTCTATGAAGGGAAAACCACTGTAACATTTTATGCACGTGCATCTTATATAGCTAGAAAAATGCAGGGCACTGAGTAAATGTCATCTTAACTTTTCTATCCATTTGTACCACTCTGTCATTCGTCCTAACGGTACTAATTCACTACTCCCCTTCAGGTGCAGTACCCTGTGTACTCTCAAGAAATGATCCCTGGCCGTGTAGCTCAATTGGTTAGAGCGTTGTCCTGATGTGCCAAGGCTGCAGGTTCTGTCCTCCCTCAAGGCACATATAAGAATCAACCAACAAATGCATAAGTAAGTGAAATAACAAATTGATGTTCCCCCCCCCTTGCTCTCTCCCTCTCTTTCTAAAATTTAAAAAAAAAATTATGAATGAAAATCATAGCCTGAATGGTGTGGTTCAGTGGTTTGGGCATCCATTGTCCTGCAAACCAAAAGGTCATTGGTTTAATTCCCAGTCTGGGCACATGCTTGGGTTGTAGGCTAGGTCCCCAGTTGTGGGCATGTGAAAGACAATTGATCAATGTTTTTCTCACACAGTATTACAATAAAAATCAATACCTCCTTGGACATTGGATAATGACAGTACATGCTCCAATCTGCCAAAATCCTACCCAGTGGGCTCCCTGTAGGAGTCAGCACAGAACTGCCCTTATTGGCCCAAATGTACGGGCCAAAAGTTGTAACTAAAAATATCCAAACTACCTGAGAATGTATAAACAAAACTGGTTTCCATGACTGCATTATTCCAAAGAGTACTCACAAGCAAATATTTACCAACCAATCTCACAAACCGTGGTCCCCATACAATGGCTTCCCCAAAGCAGTCTTCACCTGGACTTTATTTCACAGCCCCCTCCCAGACCCGTTTCCTTTCCACCTGCCAGATACATTTAGGCAGCCAGCACCTTGAGCAGGCATGCAGAGGAGCAGCAAACTCCCAGTGACTGGGAAACCCCACAGTCCCAGTCTTGGGGTTGACCACCACCGGCATATAGGGTCCCACCAGAGTCACCACTGCTATTACTGAACAGCAAGTGGGATCCTACTTCCTGCTGCCACCTTCTAGGCAAAATTCCAGAGACAAAGGTTTCATGATAAAGGAAAGGAGTATTTATTCCAAAGCTACACAATTTTGGAATAGCAGCTTTCCACATGCATTAGTGTCTTAAGCCTATCAATTAAGGCTAAACTCTTTAACTGCTATGTTCTCCTATTATCCCCCCTGTTCTTAATCATCTTATTTTGATAGGATTAGTTTACAAACTAAAGATAGAATAACTACACAATTTTGGAAAAATGGTAGGCTTTTGCCTTGGAGCCCACTCCTCTAGGACACCCAAAGAATAACCTTGCCACCCTCTGCCAAGCCAGCCTGACTCTAGGCTGTGCCCAGTTCCTTCTACTGTCCAAAATACCATCTGCAGGCAGCTGCAGCACACTAATCTGGGCATCTTCTCATCCAGGAATCTTGGAGGAAGAGAGCCAGTCTCTGCCCTCCTTTTATTACATGTTCACAGGAGGCCCTCAGCTTCTCTGCCTACCACACCCTAGTCTGTTTACCATTGCCTCAGCCAACCTCCTCCTGTGGCCTCTGCCTTCTCCTCCCCAGTGATCTGATCAGATTTCTCTGTATCAGAGTGACCTGTCCCAGAAGGTATGCTCACAATGACAATTATGTGGCTCTTTGCTATGAATTCTCAGATAGCAAGTAAGATTTTTCCTTTTGGCTTAAGACTGTCCTTCGTAGTTATACCCAGCCTCTCTCCCCAATAAGTTCTCTGATGCTAACAGAGGCAGAACCACTGGTGACCCACCTTCTCTCCTTTCTCTCCCACCGTGATGAGAGCAGGCTGACCTTCAGCTCTAGGTACAGTCACTGCGTTCACAGGGCTTCTCGCCAAGGCAACTTCTTGTGCGTTTCAGAGCTGACAAAAATCCCCCTCCAACATCTTTGCACTGAGGGAGATTTTTCTCCCACGTGGAGCCCCTTAACGGGCCAGGAAGGAGCACTGGGTGAGGCCTTTCTCCAGCCCCTGCACTGGCAGGGCTTACCTCAGGTGTGGACCCGCTCGTGCTGCAGAAGGTGGGACCTGCGCTTGAAGGCCTTCCCACACAGGCCGCATTTATAAGGCTTCTCCCCCGTGTGGATGATGGAGTGCTGCAGCAGGTATGTGCTGCGGTGGAAGGCCTTTCCGCACTGTGCGCAGACATAGGGCCGCTCCCCGGTGTGCACGCGCCGGTGCTGCAGGAGCTCTGAACGGCAGCGGAAGGCCTTCCCGCACACGGCACATTCAAACCGCTTGGCCCCAGTGTGCACAGTGTAATGCTGGGTAAGGTGCTCTCTGTTGCTGAACGCCTTCTCGCAGTCCTTGCACACAAAGGGCCTTTCCCTGCTGTGGGTCCTTTTGTGCCGAATGAAGGTGGAGCGGTGGCTGAAGGCCTTCCCACACTGGGCACACTCATAGGGCTTCTCCCCAGTATGGATCGGGTGGTGCTGCACCAGGTAGGACCTGCGCTTAAAGGCTTTCCCACACTCCGGGCATGTGTACGGCTTCTCCCCGGTGTGGATGAGGTAGTGTCGGATGAGGGTGGAGCTCTGACTGAAGGTTTTCCCGCAAGCGTTGCACTCATAGGGCTTCATCCCCGTGTGAACCCGCTGGTGGCGAGCAAGGTACCATTTCCTACTGAAACCTTTCCCGCACTGCTTGCATTTGTAGAGGTTCCTCCCGCCCTGGATCCTGGGGCCTTTCCCTGGTCCGTGTGGGTCGAGTTCATAGAGAACATCTCCCCGGGAGACTCTCTCCTGTAACATCCTAGAGTGCAGATTGTCACCTGTCCCCAGACTGTTATCTTCAAGGCTCCTTTTCCTGGGATGGGTCTCCTCGTGGGGGTCTGTCTCTGGCCTCACTTCCAAAAGCCCTTCCCGTTCCCTGGCTTGCTCCAATCTGGAGTCCCTTGACAATTCCAGAGTACAGCTTCCCTGAAGCAGGGCTCCTTCACACAAAACTGGCTGAATGGTGCTTGGCTCTCTGGTCTGAAGTTTTGCTCCATCACCTGAAGAAAATCCAAGGCACAAAGGGTGACTTTTAGTGACACAATTTAGAATATAGGCAATGGCTCAATGGGCAAGTAAGGACAATAATGCCACCTCTAGTGTTTGCTGTGTTTTCACGTCCCTATAACCTAGGTTTCCAATGACCTTTTATGGTCCTTCTACTCTTGACATCATTAAAGGGAAAATCTGGACAGCAGGCTGGACCACGGAACATGGGACCTGGCGTGGAGACCCCTCCTCATAGTCCAGAGTAAGTGAGGGCAGTTTTGATAACACTGGCGGGGTTAGGGGAGGAATGTGCCCCAGGAATTGAGGTTGACGTCTCTTAGTGCTCTATAGGCAAGTGGCACTTAAGACTGGGGAGAAAAAAAGGTCACCTTCCTAGAGGTGGTGTCCCTGAGCTGGGTCCTGATGGAGAAGTCAGAGATGCCAGGAAGAGGGAGGGACACTGGGTTGAAATGGGGAGATTCACCCATGAAAGAGGAAAAGGGCACCAGATACCTGGTGAAGCCGACAGCAAGGGGTGATTTCAGGAGAGGGGACAGAGGGACATGCAGGCCGAATAGTTTGAGACAGGTTTCTGCTCTGTGAGACAATCAGTGTGCTGGTTTAAGAGTGAGGCTCAGAAACCAGAATGCCTGGCTCCCCGAAAGCCCCCACCTTTGTCCAGTCAGCTGATCTTGGATGGATGTCTTTCGTCTATAAAGTCATACTTTCCTTATCTGAGAGACTGATGAGGAGACTCAGTTTCCCAGGCTGCCATGATGGTTAAAGGAGAAAAGTGTTCAGCACAGTTCTTAATGTGAGTGTTCACTAAACTGGGCCTCATCATCCTTGTTCTTTGTGATAGTTAATTTTACATGTCACCTTGACCAGGGTGGCATGCTGAGCTGTTCGGTCACCAGACACTTGTCTAGATATTGCTGTGAGGTAGTTTTTGAGTGTGATTAACATTTAAATCAGCAGACTTTTTAGAAAAGCAGACAACCCTTCATAATTATGTGGCCTCACTTCCAAAAACCCTTCCTGATTCCTAGCTTGCCAACCAGTTAACAGCCTTATGACTGAGCCCCCCAGGGAGGAAAGGAATTCGCCTGCGGACCCCAATCTGCAACACCCACTCTTCTGCCTTGCAAGACTTCAACATTGCTCCGCCCTCACAATTGCAAGAGCCCATTCATTAAAATAAATAAAATTCACACATCCTGTTGGTTCTGATTCACTGAAAAACCCTAACTAATCCAGGGTGGGGCTAAAGTAGGTTTATAGTTGTTCACATGGAAAATACAATAATTAATAAGTAATAATACAAGAATAAACTGCACTTTGCATACTCACAGCTGTGAACCTTTTGCCCCGCCCTGCGTGCCCCTCTCACTGTTGCCGTGGGCAATGAGGATGACAGCAGGGTCATCAGCAAGAACAATCACCTTGTTCTACAAGCCAAGGACAGGGGCCTCAGTAGAAACCAACTCTGACAATACCTTGATCTCGGACTCCCAGCTCCAGGAACTGGTAAGATAAATTTTGGTTGCTCAAGGCACAGGCATGTGCATACACACACACACACACACACACACACACACACACATACTGAAAAAAGAAAAAGAATAAAGTCAATCCACAGAGACAGTGGAGACCACCTCAGGAGGAGCTACTGACAGGGCTGGGGTACCAGGAACCTGTCACGGTTCTGGAAGTATTCTAAATGTTGACTGGGGCAGAGTACATTTCAGTTTATACATATGTAAAAACTTAAGCTGAACCCTTTAGATTTGTGCACATCACTGTACACTTCCCATATAAAAACAATTACGTAAGGAGAGTTTAAATAATAGGTATGGAGTCAAGTGTATATGTCTTTCCCAGAAATGAGACAACTCCTTCTAGGAACTTGGCTTTATAAGTAGAGTCTATGTTGGCTGAGGCTTTCATAGACTTAAAAACATTTGTGTTTGTCTTCTTCTTCCCCAAGTGAAGACACCCTGAGCATGTCACATGTTCAGCAGAGAGGATGAGAACAGACAAGGCAAAAAAACAAGTGAAAAATCAAGTTCCCAAGAAGGCAAAGGTGTGGCGTGGGCTCACTGGCCATGACTGCAGGTAAGACGTCATCCACAGAGGACGAGAAGGGAAGGCACAGGTGTGAGGCAGACACTGATGAGCCTTTGGGGACTGAGGAACAGGAAGCAGAAGCACATCGCCTCTACTTTTAACATGACATTGATAACGTGCAGAGACCCCAGTGACAGAGGAAGCAGTGAAGATTTGGAGCGTGTGTAGATGGCTGCAGGGGCTGGTGCAGAAGGAAGAGTAGATGGAGACCTGCTGAGGGGTGTGGCATCATCCAGGTGATGGGTGATGGGTGAAGATGGTGGAGGTGACAAATCCAGGAGACATAGATAATATCCAATGGGCTGGAGTGGGGAGGGGTGGCTGCTGGGTTTGATGGAGACAGAGATGATGAGAGGCTTCCTGTCTTACCTGTTTGGATGGCAGGACCTTCTCTGAACTTGGGGGTGGGGAGGAATGGGCATTCTCATAAGTGTCTTCTAAAGCAGGATGAGCCTCAGACACTTGAGGGGAGTTTGGGGGGTGGCACCTGGAATGGAGGGCTGAGTGTGGGGCTGGCCACAGACACTCACAGGCTGGCTGAGCAGCCTGAGGGCCACCAGAGAGGACACACCATAGCTCACAGTGGCTGACTTCAGCTACACTCAGAGCACGGATGTGGACCAAACGTCACCTTGCTGTTTCTTGGGGCAAATGGGACAGGAAGATACAGTGCAAGGGGCTGATTCTGAGTGTCTACAGGATGATGGATGAATGGATGGAGAAGGCAGGAAAGAGTGTGACAGAGAGTACACATGGTATAGATCGTACTTTCAGTGGGAAGAAAGGCCCCTTTTCCTCTGGATTCAGAAAGAAATGTGCAGAATCCCTATCACTCATGATTAATGTAAACATAGCTCCAATAGGAGCTAACTCTGTCCCCCTTATGCAGGCCAGGCACTGTACTGACATCTCACTACAACCTTAACCCACTCAATCATTCGGGAACCATGACCACTAGTTTTCTGAGAGTAGGCTGAGCCAATACAGACCCAGCGGTTGGCTCTGTTCCTGGAACACACTGCTACCTGCACTCTCCAGTCCTGAGTGCCCAGTGTGGCCAGATGCCCAGATCTTGTCAATAGGACACATGGAAGTGCAGCGCATGTGCACTCTGGGTGTGACTACCTACCCCGATTTCCCCTCTACTAACTGCAGTACTATGAAGTAACCTTAGAGCTGCATGGTGACATTGGAAGGTGCCTGGGTCTCCATAACGGTGTGGCTCACAGCTGACCAGCTGAGGCACACCATACCTTGATGTGAGAGAAACAACCAGAAGCCCCAGGAGGTCACAGAGAGTTTCACACAGGAGTTCAGAGGCAGTGAGGCAGTGGTATTCCGAAGGCTGCTGTGATCTCGCCTTGTTGCTCCTACCTGGACAGGTGTGCCGTGGGGAGCCTCTTTTCACTGTCCATAGCTCTTGCCCATGCTCCAGCAGGTGGACCAGCTCTGGCCTGGGAACCGGATGCCCTGTGGATGAAGAAACCAGACATGGGTGTTTTGCAGAGAAGGAGGAAACCCCTCCAGCATATCTGGGACTTCATGACAGGATAAGAAGTTGTTCCCAAAGTAAAGAAGAAACCAATATGTGACCTGGACACCACGGGGACAAACCCCATTCTTGGGCTGCAACTGCTGTGGAGGTTGATGCCATCTGTCCATACAATAGCACTGCCCTTGAACTTCACCAGCCTAAGCCAACATGGTTCAGGTGCACACCACTTGCCCACACAGTCAGGGGACACTGGAAAGCTGAGCCCATCTCATAATTCACGTAAGTCCCTGGTTCTTCAGAACCACCTAGGGAGGCATGATCGTCTCAACCAAAAGAAACCCAATCACTTGGGGTGAGGCCGAGGCATCAGTGTTTGTGCAACCCCCGGTAGGCAGGGGACCTGAGCTGGATCTGCATCTAAAGAGAAGGCTGGGAATCCTGTGCGGGAGGAGAGGGCTGAGCAAGGGGCCCACTGCCTCGGTCATAGCCATGGCCTCCAACATCCCTGTCTGGAGACAGCAGGGGCCAGTCTAGGGAAAGGAACAGAGAGAACCTTCACACCATTCTGTTACGTGGTGCCTAGCACATCTTAGCAGAGGCCAAGCGGTTCTGTGAAGAAGCCCATTCATACAGGTCTTAGCCATAGTTAGTCACTGACGTGTGCTGTGTGCCTGGCACCAGCCTCAGGGAGGGGCAGGACAAATGGTGACGCAGACATCCCCTGGCTCTGCTAGCTGAGCTCATTCCCATCTCAGGGCCTTTTCTCATGTTGGTCCCTTCACTTGGAATCCCCTCCTCCCCTACCCCTCCCAGTGAGCTCTTAACCTCCAAATCACTTCCCTCAGATGCCTTTCTTCGAGCGCCCATGACAGGTTATGACCTCCTGGTTACAAACTCCTAAATCCTCCTGTTTTTTTCTTCTACGACTCATTGCAATTCATCTGAGAACTGATGTCCACCCACAGTGTGCCATCATTACTGATGGTTTCTTGTTAAACTGACTCACCTTTTATTGTTCTTAAATGTTTTATTCTAAAAGGAACCCTGGTTTTCTCTGGCAAATGAGAAATGTCCATTGCATGTCCCACAACAGAAGGTTACCATCAAAATACAGCAATGAAATCAAAACAGTGCCACTAAGTCCCAGTGCGCTCGTGTAGACGCTCAGAGCTGTGAGCTGGAGGCTGCTTGCTCCGTTGAAAAGAGTAATTAGTCACAATTAGGGGTCAAAAAGACTCAGCACCGATGAGATTTTCTCTTGACAACGACCAGCATGCGGGACAGAGAAGGTAGAAAGGAGCAGCTTTCTCAGGGCATCCACCCGTGACATTCCCACACACCTTCTAAATCACCTGCTGAGTGGCTGGGTCTTAGGAGACATGATGATCATGTACACGCTAGGGGCCTGTGTACCGAGGTTGTGTTGTTTAGAGGATCCCTGGGTGGCACTGACGACAAATGCCATGTGGGAGTCTTCCTGATTTAACCTCTTTTGAGAACAGCCCATCTCGCCGGGCCTTGCTAATTGGGGACACTTGACCCAACCAGGTGGGGCAGTCAGCTCCCTTCCTGTGGAAGCTGGGATACAGACCTCAGACAGGCCCGAGCTTGCTGGACATGGGGGTGAGGGTCCAGAAGGACATTGTTTCTACCCCAGCGATCCCTGATGCAGACACAGGCAGACCAGGCAGCAAGAGGAGGGATCAGGAAACTGCAGGGACTGTCAGGAAAAGAGAAGGTGGCTTCTGTGACTTTGACCAGCCAGAAATCGATGCTGGGGTCCCCCTCAGGAATGAGAGGTGAGCACTCACCCAGAGACACCAGGATCCTGCAGGTCTCCAGCATCACCTGCTGGTACAGGGTCCTCTGAGCCGGGCCCAGCAATTCCCACTCCTCCCGGGTGAAGGTCACAGACACATCCTTGAAGGTCACTGGTGCCTGAAAAGTTAAACACAGTAGCATCATCACATGCTTTGGGGTTGTCCGGTGAGATCAGAGTCTGTCACTCAGTCACTGGTGAAGGTAGAGAGACCCAGGACTGGATCACCAAGGCTTTCCGAGGGCTGAGCTCTGCTGGGTGCAAAGGAGGGGCGGAGCAAGCCTTTGGACATAATGCAGCTGTGGCTGAGAGAAAAGACTGCCCAGGGGAACCCACTGCAGATGACGCAGACGATGCCATTCCCATGAGGACTGAGTAGCAGATGATGAGTGTTTTGGTGGAAATGAGCATGATAATAATTTCAACAATAGAAACAGCAGCAGCTAAGCCTCTGGAGTCCTCACTACCCACCTTCCCCAGGCTGAGAACTTTACATGCTGAGGTAGAGATTGTCCCAGTCTCTGGAGCCCGACTCCCAGGACTGAATCAGACTACTGACTCTGAACGTGAGAGGGCATCACATCACTTCTCTAAGCCTCAATTTCCCATCAGTGCAATATCGTACCCACCAACCAGGCAGCTCTGAGAACTAGAGGAAGTGTTCACTTGGCAAACAATGGGGGACCTGCCCAGGTTAGTGTTCAGTGTGTTTTTTGACCTTTACTAATCTTCCCACGGCACATGAGGTAAATGCCATTGTCACCCTCACGTCACAGCAGTTTGCAGCTCTGGCAACTCTAAAAAACCACCCACAATCTCACTATTAAGGAGCAGAGATAGGTTTTAAACATCTGACAAAAAATGGCAAAGAGCTGAGGCCAGGTCAGAGCCAGGGGTACCTTAGCTAGAACTAAAGCAGCCAGGAAAAGACTACCCTAAGAGGTGACACAGATGCACAGGAAGAGTGTAGAGACCTGGGGACTGGGCCCCAGAGAAAGGAGTGCGAGGGCAAAGACTGCCAAATGGGTAGGAATTTAGCAAGTTCAAGGCCGCCTGGGTGGGTGCCCTGAGCAAGGGAAGAAGAGCAGAGGCGGTCACAGGGGCACATTCAGGAGAGCCCTGCAGACCACAATGGGCAGTTTATATTGGTTATAAGAGTGATGGAAGCCCCTGAGGGGGAAACTCACTCATTCATTCAACCATTTACCCAGTACCTTTTACAAGCCCAGGCTGTTCTAGTCTTGGCATAGAGCAGCAACAGGAGCTTACCCTCCAGACCTGGAAACAGGACCTAACGAAGCAGCTAAAGAAATGACTAAGACAACCTCAGAGGGTCCTAAAAATACCAAAGAAAAGAAGGTAGAGGAGACAAGAGATCACAGTCCACTTTAAGTTGAGCAACACGGAAGACCTCCTTCCAGAAGGCGTACCAGAGTGAGGCTGACAGAAAGTGAGAGAGGGAGCCTAGGGATGGGAAGTTAACCAGTAAGACAGTCCTGACAGTGATCCGGCTCTGATGGAGACATTCAGGGTGTCTGCCAGTTACCCAGGGACTCTTGTGCATTTGTGTCCATAGGAACATTGCATTCCTGCACATTAACATTATTGAGCATTCAATGGGATCCCTTTTCAAACCCAACTCAATGTCCTGAACAGGAAAACGGACTCACTGCGTCAGTGGAAAGTCAGTTCCACACTCTGTCAGCCAAAAGGTGAACTTGCCCTTCTGGCTCCCAGCTGCCTGTCACCTATTCTGCCCTTGTATAACTGCAGTTCCAAGACGCTACTCCTACCTCCCTCCTAAGCAGCCTAGTTTGTAGGGGCTGAGGGTACAGGAGGCACCTCCGAGGAAGCACGGGTCTGCGCTGGACACTGGGCGCATATCACCCACGTGTCTCTTCTATTTCCCTCAATCTGGACGAGAAACCGTCAGTATCGCTACAATTTCATACCCGAGAAAACGAGCTCAGAGTAGTGAGGGGGGTGTTCAACATCACGGCCTCCGTTAGGGGTGCAGCAGGACCCACAAGGAGGTCTCCGCGGCCTGTGCTCCTCCTCGCGCGCCACCCGATGCACGCGGCGTGGGGTCCGGGGAGCTCCTGACACCGCATGACACTTCCATTCGGCATCCCGTCGGGGGCAGAAACGGGACTCTACTCCAAGTACCCCCTGGACGGGACACGGAGCAAAGAGAGACTCAATCCCGGAGACACAACGGCTGGGACAAGGCAAGCAGTCACCGACCCGGCCATCCCGAGAGGTCCAGGGGCTTGGGACCCGGCCCACCCACCTGCACTGATGCCATCAGGCTGTGCGAGGGCTCCAGGGCCCCGCAGGCTCAGCCAAACGTCCCCCAGATCCAACGAAGGCACGGCAGCGGCCGTCTCACTGTCCTAAATGTGCTCAGATCCCACAGACCGCCACGATATTTTCAGACACCCAGCTGGATATATCGGAAGTCTCCCCATGCCAAACGGGGGCAGTCACGCCCCTTCCCTTCATAACAGCGGTCAGGCACACACGCGGGGACCTGCAGCGCATTGCCTTCTGGGTAATGTAGTTTTTCCCTGCATCCGACCAAGCAAGGTATGCTCTGCTCCTTCTAGGAGCTAAGCCTCAGGAAGCCAGGCGAGGAAAGCTGGTGTAGGCTCCAAGGAGGGAGGACCTTAGGGTATTCTCAAAAGGGATATACCCAGATATCCCGGTTGTATGTACACGTCCTAATAATAGCCCTTCTAGGGGTCCTCTCTCTCTCTCTCTGGGCTCTCTTCCTGATTGTTTGAGCCCCATCCTTGGGCACCGATCCCATCTGGCCCCCTGCGGTGGCGTGTGATGTCCTTATAAGAGACCCTCAAGAGTCCCCTTGCTCCTTCTTCCAGGTGAGGACACAAGGAGAAGGAGACTGTCAGGCTGTCAATGAACCTGGAAGAGGGCTCTCACCAGACACCGAATCTGACAACTTGATCCTGGATATTCAGCCTGCAGAACTGTGAGAAATAAATTTCTGTTACATATAAGCTACCAGTCTAGGATATTTGCTTACAGCAGCCTGAGCGGACTAAAATAGATACAATTCATTTTAAAATCTTAAAACTTATCTTAAGAGCCTCTTACCAAATGCTTTTTTCCTCCTATGATTGTGGCCGCTGTGATTAAAGCCTGTGTGCAAAACAGACAGCTTTATCCCTGAGATAAACATTTTGTTACTGTTTGAGGATATCAACGAACCAAATAATTATTCTGAAAATTGCTAACTACAGTGAAGGTATCCAGTTCTATCCTCCCTTTTCTCTACAGACCGAGTTTTGAGGTAACCATATAGAACACTGTGGAAAATTCTTTGTATAGGATTTCTTGCTAATAAATGCAGAAATAGCAATAGATGTAGGATTCAAATGTTTCAACAACTTGTAAAATAATCAACCACACCACATTGCATGCAGACACAACAGATAAAAGATGTATGGCAAATTGGTATTGGATAGAAAATACTAACAACATCAGGACCCATGAGAGACACTCAGACATCAGGGTGGACTTATGTCACGTAGTTACAATTCCTGTCACTGTGTGGAGTATACTAGCCAAAGGCTTAACCTAGATTTCAAACTCATTTGGATGGTTATACTGTTCACTAAAATTGGGGATGTTGAAGGAGGCAAGATGGTGAAATTGTTACTCATGGTGAACTCCAGGTGTGTTTGAGACATCGAGGGTTGACATTGGATTGAGGAGACAGGGGAGCATTTGGAATAGACTCAGGATCTGAGTAGAGGCTGAACACAGACACTGGCTGGCTGAGCAGCCAGATGGATAACTAGAGGGGAGAGGCCCCAACATAGCAGTGAAGCCAATCCATTCATGTGATGGCTTCAGCTGCCTCTGCAGTCAGATGTAGGACAGACAAGGCCAAATATTATAATAATATTTTTGGAACACAAAGGTCATGGAGATATAGTGCAAAGGAATGCCTTTGAGAACCTAATGGATGAAGAGGAGGATGAATAAATGGAGAATGTGGGAAAGGGTGAGATGTGGAATACAGTGAAAATAGTCATGTCCAAGAAGAAATATCTAACTTTTCCTGAGTCAGGGATACAGTCTACAAGAAAATATATGGCATTACTATTATTAATTAAGACTAATATTACTACATGGATATGTGGGAACATAAATGGGTACAACCAATTTAGACAAGTTTGGCAGTTTCTTAAACATGTCAACATTTACATCCTTTGAAGTATTTGCACAAGAAAAAACACATTCCTATACCGATTTATATGCCTATGTCCAACTTTGTTTCTTACAAGACTAAACTGGAAACAACCCAACTGCTCATTTTAACAGAAGAATGGATAAACAAATAGTGGCTTATCTATAGAGAAGAATATTAAACAATAAAAAGTGACTATTCACATAAGCAACATTTATGAATCTCAAAATAATTACACCATGTGAAAAATATCAGAATAGTAAACACTTTGATTCAATTCATTTAAAATTCTAGATAATGCAAACTAATTTTTTGTTAAAGAAAGTAAATTGCCCTGGCTGGTGTGGTTCAGTAGATTGAGTGCTGGCCTGTGTACCAAAAGGTCACCAGTTCAATTCCCTGTAAGGGCACATGCCTGGGCCTAGATTGTGGGCCAATTCCCAGTTGGGGGTGTGCGAGAGGCAACCGATCAATCTTTCTCTTGCACATGGATGTTTTTCTCCCTCTTTCCTCCTTCCTTCCCTCTCTCTAAAAATAAATATCTATAAAAATAGCTATAAATAAAATCTACAAAAAAGAAAATAGTAAATCACTGGATTCCTGTAGGCCCAGGAAGAAGGTAAGGTTATAAAAGGGCACAAGATAAGTCAGAGATATATTCAATATGATTATGATGACTTTATAAGCTTATATGTCTGGAAATCTTTAAATATCTATAGGTTATTGCATGTCAGTTATGCTTTAGTAAAGTTTCTAAAGAAAAGTTCAAAATAAAAAATCTGGATCTCCCACTCATTTAAGAAACCAGGTTTAACCACCCAATAGTGATTCTACTCTGTTTCTCCTTAAACTTGGGGAACAGCAGCCCTGAATCAGTGTAGGAAATATTGGTAAGTAATGGATCTTGGACAACAGGAATGCTAGCTGATCACAAAAGCCACAGACCTGGACAACAAGATGTCCATTCTTTGTCCTTGTTTCCCTGCCTTTACAGAAATGGACTTGAGGTGAACAACACAGAATGACAATGGGAATTCACATAACCTTTTAGATTATTTGCTATGACAGTGACCTCAGCTACAGAAGATACATAGCTCCGGAGGGCCTGTGGTTCCTCAGTCACTGGAAGATTTCTGGATGCACTTTTTGAAAAGGCACATTCCATAACGTCTGCAGCAAGCTCCTCTATTACTTTTAAATATACTCAGGATTTCAGTACCAATAATGGTTGAAATCTGGTTCCCATGATCTGAGGAGTGACACCAGTGTACAGAGTTGTAAACATCTGGACACTTGGCTCCTTTGTAGAACTTGGTGAAAAACTTCCCCTCAACAGTGCCGAACATAATGTGACACCCTCTGGGAACTTCCCAAAGGCACTGGAGTATGCCAAATGACCCCTCCTCGGGGTGATGATCTATTGTCTCAAAATATATGGAGGCCACAATTAGGATCACAAAGCATTGCACTGGTTTCTGGGACGTCTTGGGCAGCAATGTAAATTAGGCCAAAGCTGGAATGAGAAGCACTTTGTCATTACACTGTCCCTGCTGAGGAACACCAACCAAGTTGGGAGGCCACAAAAACAGTACATTAAAAATTAAAGAGTAAAAGCCCTGGCTGGTGTAGTTCACTGAATTGAGTACCACCTACAAACCCAAAGGCTGTCCGCTCAATTCCCAGTCAGGGCACATGCCTGGGTTGTGGGACATGTCCCCAGTTGAGGTGATTTGATCGATGTATCTCTCAGATATTGATGTTTCTCTTCCTCTCTTTCTCTTCCCTTCCCTTCTCTAAAAATAAATACATGAAATCTTCATAAAAATTTTAAAAACAACAACAACAACAAAATAAAACCCTGGCCAATATTGCGCAGTTGGTTGTAGCATCACCCCATGCACCAAATGGTTGCAGGTTCATCCCCAGTCAGGGCGGGTACAGAAGGTTTCTCTCAGGTCAGTTTCTCTTTATCTCTTCCTTCCTCTCTCTAAAAGCAATGAAAAAATGTCCTCAGGTGAGGATAAAAAATTTTTAAGAACTAACCCCTCCCCCCCACCAATCTTCCCATTTAAGAAAGAATGGATGGATATACAGGATACTGTGCTGAGTGAAGTAAGTCAGTCAGAGAAAGAAAAATACCAAATGATTTTCCTTATGTATAGAATCTAACGAAAGATGTAAACAAAGATGGACTTCCAGTCAAGATGGTGGCATGGGTAAACATGGTTCGCCTCCTCGCACAACCACATCAAAATTACAATTAAAATATACAACAACCATCACTCAGGAGTCAGAAATTGACCTGAATGGAAGTCTGACAACTATGGAATTTAAAAAAACACATCCATCCAGACTGGTAGGAGTGGCGGAGATGCAGAACAGGCCAGTCCCACACCCGCATATGGTGGATAAAAGTTTAGGAGAGATATCTCAGGAGTGAGAAATCCCAGTCCCACACCAGGCTTGCCAACCCAGGGTTCCAGTGTCAGGAAGATAAGCCCCCATAACTGCTGGCTGCAATCTCCAGTGGAGATTGAGTCAGTGGAAGAAACTACTGCAGTCCCAAGCAGTTCCTCTTAAAGAACCCATAAACAGACTTAATCAGACTCACTCCCTCAGAGATCTAGCAGCTTGAAAGGCACCAGTAGCATACAGGGAGAAAGTGAAGTGTCTGACATCAAGGTGAGAGCTAGGGGACAGCCTTCTCTCAGACAGGAAGGCGGGCCATTGACCCTTTTCTGAACCTTCGCCCCACAGAGCCACAGAGCCAGCAAGTGGGTGACATATTTGAGACTGGCTAATACTGTTTGTCCTGCCCTGGAGATCCCCAGAGACTCCATCACACCCAATTTTTGGGCCCACTCAAGCTGCTTTTCCCTATGAATGGCCAGTCTTGGCTCATACTTCACAACTTCCTAAATACTTTCTAACAAGCAATAGCCAGCCTCAGTGAGCCCCAGCCTTCCATACCTCTTGCTAAGAGGCCAGGCCCAGCACTAGCAGCAACCAGACTAGATTTACTGCTCGGCTTTGCCTGGGAGAGTAGAAAATTGGGAAAATCTTGAAAAAATAATGAGACAAAACTTCCCTAATTTTCTGAAGGAAAGAGACATGCAAATCTGGGAAGCACAGAGAATCCCAAACAAGATGGATACGAAGAGGCCTACTTCAAGACACATCATAATGAAAATGACAAAGGTTAAAGATAATCTTAAAAGCAACAAGAGAAAAGCAGCTAGTTACCTACAGGGGAGTTCCAAATAGACTGTCAGCTGATTTCTCAAAATAAACCTTGCAGGCTAGGTTAAGAAATATTGAAAATCATGAAAAGCATGGACCTACAGCCAAGATTGCTCTACCCAGCAAAGATAACATTTAGAATCAAAGAGCAGATAAAGATCTTTCCAGACAAGAAAAAACTAAAGAAGTTCATCATCCCCAAACCATTATTATATGAAATGTTAAAGGGACTTAATAAAAAGATCAAGACTATGAACAATAAAATGGCAACAAGTACATATCTATCAACAATTGAATCTAAAAAACAAATTAAGCAAACCAGGACAGAGAATCGTGGATACAGAGAGCATTTTGATGGTTGCCAGATAAGAGGGGGTTTGGGGAAAGTTTGAAGTGGTCAGGGGATTAAGAAGTACAAATAGGTAGTTACAGAATAGCCATGGGTATGTGAAGTACAGTACAGGGAATGGAGCAGCCAAAGAATCTATGTACGACCCATGGATGTAAACAAAGGTGTGGAGATTGCTTGAGGGAGTGGGGGAATTACTGGATGGAGAGGGGCAAATGGGGAAAGATTGGGACAACTGTAATAGCATAATCAATAAAATATAATTTACAAAAATGTCATTGCAATTTTAAAAAAAGAAGACAAAGACTCAGAGAGAAAAGACAGATGATTGTCAAGGGAAGCAGATGGGGGGGCTAGGTGAAAAAGGTGAAGCAACTGAGAAGCTAAATTGGTAGCTAAAAAATAGTCATGGGGATGTAAAGTACAGCAAAAGGAATATAGTCAATATTGTAATATGTATGATGCCATGTTGGTACTGGAAATATCAGAGGCAACACTTTGTAAAGTATATGGTTATGTAACCATTATGCTGAACTGAAAAAGTAATACAAAGTAATATTGAATGTAAACTGTAATTGAAAATTTAAAAAAAATTTTTAAAAAGCAGTCTATCCCTTCATACAAACCAAGCCCAATTCTGTTTTCCACCTACCCCACATGGTGAAAAGAACCCCCAAGATTAAAGGTAGGCTCAACAATAATACCTTTATTATCGCACAAAACAGAGCAATGGGAGGTAGGCAGTTACCAGTTGGTGACTTGGAGGCTGAAAAGATCAACAAATGTCATGAGAGACCATCAACATCCATGTAGATAGTAACATTCCCTTCTAGCCACCAGGAGAACCCACTTGTGGCCCAAAGTGGGTCAGTTTCAGTTAATCAGAAAAGGGAATTTGATGTAAGAGTACAGACCACTCAAGATTTCCTCTGTGGAAAAGGAGTGAGCACAGATATCCCCCTTGCCTTTGGCACATGGCATGACTGATATAACACTCTGCAAAGCAGTAGAGATGAGACAGGTTCTACCAGAGAAAGTGGCAGCGATGTAACTGGCAAGGGCCCAGAGAATTTAGAATGTGCTCTCCTGGTCCTGTAAGCCTCACATATGCTGGGAATTCTGTATGTGTGAAGTAGGAGTTTGAAGTTCAGGCAGATGGCTCCCTCATAAATGATAAGCTGTCACATATCATTAGAGTGAACAAGGAGACGGCACATTTCCTTCAGGTCTAAGGCTTTTCTCCAGTGTGGACTTCCTGGTGCTGAACATTAGATGTCGGAGTGAAGGATTTCCCATACTTCCTATGTTCATGAGGCCTCTCCATGGTGTGAAATTTTTGGTGGAGATTGAGGCTGGAGGGTTGGCTAAAGGCTTTGTCACATTTGCTGCATTCATAGGGTCTTTCTCCACTGTGAACTACCTGGTGTTGAAGGAGAACAGACTTTTGCCTAAAGGATTTCCCATACTGACCACACTGGTAAGGCCTTGCACCAGTGTGAATACTGTAGTGCTGAATGAGGCTAGTGCTTCGACTAAAGCATTTCTCACATTCACCACACTTATATGGCCTTTCTCCAGTATGAATCCTCTGGTGTTTTGTGAAGATGGCTCTTCTGCCAAATGACTTCCCACACTGGCCACACTCAAAAGGCCTTGTTCTACTGTGAATCCGCTGGTGTTCAATGAGGCTGTAGCTTTGTCTGAAAGATTTCCCACACTCAGCACACTCATAAGGCCTTTCTCCAGTGTGACTTCTGTTGTGCCGATCAAGTTTGGATTTGGATCCAAAGGTTTTCCCACATTCCCTGCACTCATAAAGCCTTTCACTAGTGTGAACTCTCTGGTGTGTAACAAGACTGGTTCTTTGGTTAAAGGATTTCCCACACTGAACACACACATATGGCCATGCTGTGGTGTGAATTCTCCGGTGTTGAATGAGGGTGAAGCTTTGTCTGAAGAATTTCCCACATTCATTGCACTTATAAGGTCTTTCTCCAGTGTGGGTTCTCTGATGCCGAACCAGGTTGGATTTGCACCCAAATGATTTCCCACATTCCTCACACTCAAAAGGCCTTTCTCCACTGTGAATTCTGCAGTGCTCAATAAGGTTGCAGCACTGACTAAAGGATTTCCCACACTCATCACACTTATAAGGTCTTTCTCCAGTGTGAACTCTCTGGTGTATGATGAGGGTGGCTTTTTGCCTAAAAGATTTCCCACATTCACTACACTCAAAAGGCCTTTCTCCAGTGTGGATTCTCTGAAGCTGAACAAGTGAGTATTTGTGGGGATAATGTGCGGACTCCTGAGGCTCAGGTTGAGTAAGGACAAGCAGCTGGAAGTCTGTGTCAGCCCTGGCAAACCAGGCGGCATCAGAAAGAAGGCTTTCTGAGACCGGACTCCTGGCTTGTATTACTCCCCCGGGCTAGTAGGATAAGAGCCATTATCTCATACCAGGAGTTGAATTTTGGGAAAATGAGTCTTGGGAAAAGAACAAAGATATAAGTGTACTCTACAAATATGTAAACTTGTTAGGAGCTGTTTTGAATAGGTGCAGCTGTGCTAAAATTCAATATACTTAGGAATACTTGCCAAATATATTTTTATAAATATCACTGCTAATAAAGCCTGAGCATGCATTTGCTCTTGATCACCCGCATTTGCATCCCCTGTGTCCTGATTTGCGCGAGCTCCGCCGCTCGGACACTCACCCGGGGTTCACGACGCACCGACGTTGACCACAAGTATTTATAGCAGAAGGTTTTTCCATATTTGCTAGACTCAGAATCCCTTTTTCTAGTGGAGACTGTCAGGTGGTAAAGACTGCATTTGTGGCTAGAAGCTTTCCCACATTCACGCAACCTGTAATGACGCTTTCTGCCATGAAGTAACTCCCCACACTTGGAGATTTTGTTTGGCTTCTCACTACTGGAAATGAACTGGTGGTGGAAAAGGTCAAAAGTGGCTGGGAACTCTTTTTTAACCTTCCTACAGGTGAAGGGCTTCCCTGACACATGGAATATGCAGCTCTTTACAAACGATGCCCTATCTACCTGGCTTTTCTCTGTACTGAAATGCTTCTGAAGCTCATGTAGGTTTGCACATGCCCCAACAAAGTATGGTTTGTTTCCAGGTAGATCAGCCAGATACAAAATGTCTTTCAGTATTGGGACACACTTCTCACAGGGGTGAGTCTTCTGGATGGATGGACCCACCTGTGACAAAGCTTCTACAGAAACACTCTGCTCAGGTGTCTCTTCATTCTCCATTGTATGCCAACAAACTGAAAGAAGAGAAATGCTGATGGGTCATGCTGACTGTGGTAAGAGAGTATTAACCATGTTTTGTTAAACTTTCTGTATAATATGATGTTTTGATATCTTATAAAACCTTGATGGCTCGGGAGATAGCAGACTTGAACAACACTATAGAACAAAGGGACCTAACAGACATGCCGTAAAATCATGCCAAGTAGCTTTTCTGACCAAAATATAATAAAATTAAAAATTAATAACAGGGGAATTGGAGAATTACTCCTATTATGTGAAAACACACTCTTGTGATTTCACAAGAAATTTAAACACATCCTTGAACAAGCAATGAGCCAAAGATGAAATCAAAAGGAGCACATATGGGAGGCAACCAATTGATGTTTCTCTCTCTCTCTCAAAAAAAAAAAACCAATAATAAAAATATCCTCCGGTGAGTTTTAAAAATATTTTTTAAAAAGAACAGTCTTAAATAAACACTCTACCGCCACACCTCAAGGAAGTATAAAAAAGAAGAACCAAGCCCAATGATAGCAGAAGGAAGGGAAAAAAAGATCCAAAAGGAAATAAATATAAGAGAATAGAGAAACAATAGAAAAAATAAAAACTAAGAGATTTTTGCCAGGAGGGTAAATCTTATGTTAAGTATTTTTACCACACACGCACACAAAATAATGAATTATAATAATAAAGAGATGGGAGGAAACTTTGGGAGGTAATGGATTAATGGATATGTTTATGGCCTTAATGGTGGTAATGGTTTCAAGGACATATACTTAACCCAAACCCATGTAGTTGTATCCATGAAATATTTACAGCTTTTTACATGTTAATTATTCCTCAATAATGTGGGTTGGAAATACATAAATTAATTAATTAATTAATTAATGACTTTTACTAAAAGGTACCAAGTAAAATTTCATAAATTTAATGATTACTGGGGACCAAATTATACCTGGGGGTCCCAATACTTTTACTTGCTATATTCCTGTACTCTTAGAAAGTAACTAAATAAAAAACAAATAAAAATAGACATGTCTGACTTGAACTGTCACCTGTCCTAAATTCTTCAAAGCCACACAGCATCCGTAACCCAGCAATATCCCATACTGGGTACAGATGCTCTAACATGATGAATAATAAGTTTAAATTAATGTAAGTTGTTGAAATAAACTGGTTTAATAAAATGGTACCCCACCGTTCACCCAGTTAAAGTAGTCAATGGCCTAATATGAGTGAAAGCAGGGCCTTCAGGGATTAACACTTATTATATAATATCTAATAAACAAAGGGGTTATCCTCAAGGCTTCTCCATCCTACAGCCCAACTGTGCCTGTTTTTGTTTTTTTTTAAGATTTTATTTATTTATTTTACAGCGGGGAAAGGAAGGAGAAAGAGAGGGAGAGAAACATTGATGTGTGGTTGCCTCTTGCACACCCCTTACTGGGGACCTGGCCTGCAACTCAGGCATGCACCCCGACTGGGAATAGAACTGGCAACTCTTCAATTCACAGGCTATTTATTATCCAGTCCATAGAGCCACACAAGCCAGGGCTCAACTGTGCCTGTTCTTAAATCTGGAAAAATTAAAGGGTGCCTCTAGTGGACCCTATATACAATATCAACATTATTAAAATTACAGACTCGCCCTGGCCAGGTGGCTCACTAGATTGGAGCATCATCCTATACACCAAAAAGGTCATGGGTTTGATTCCAGGTCAGGACACATACATATGTTGCAAATTTGATCCCCATTTGAGTGACTGTTGCCTCCCATACACTCCCTTCCTGCCCCTTCCTCTTTCTAAATATATCCTTGGGTAAGGATTAAAACAATTATTACAGACTCCACTAGAACTTGAAACACAAGGTGCCATGGTTCTAGGCACAGTTGTTCTCCTGTGAGAGGGCAAACAAAGTAAGATGCATTAGGCTGACTAATGACTCCTCAATCCCAGACCCTTCCTGCAAGCCTGGGGCAAAAGGACTTGGGGCTACTTGGGGAGGTGTACACAACTCGGCACTGGCAGCCACAGCACACCTGCCAGGAAAGTGGGAAAAGTAGCGGAGACAACGGTCTGGCTATAGAAAGGGTGGGGCTACCTCTGGGGGAAGGAGGACAGACAGGGATCAGGATACTGGGGTAAGTGTGACGGCCTTACCCAGTGACACTATAAGTGACAAGTTCTCCAACATCAAATCAAGGTATAGGCATCTCAGCCTAATCAAGGAGCCCCCACTCCTCTTGTGAGAAGAGAATGTCCACGTCTCCAAAGGTTACACAGCCCTGCCATCACAGGGACAGATCATTCCATGATCAATTTCTCTCCTAGGACCCCAAGTTCATCCACCCAGACATCCATCCCTGCTCACCCTCCTACCAATGTCCCCACCTTAGAGCAGACACCATGCCCTGGTGTCATAGATACCTACTGTCTTCTCATGGTATCACGATCACTGTGTCTTCCCACAGCAACTACAGGGACAAGGGCAGGGAGAAGCTGTTCAAACTCAGCCTGGCATTAGGACATACGCCCTCAATGTTAAGGCCTGACATCCTGCAGTCCACGCTCTCTCTCCGCATCACTCTTTCTCCCACCCTTCTGTCTCAGTCTCACTCCAGCAAACCACTTATACCCTCCTGCCCACACCACAGGCATCTCCCTGGACTCCCTGTATGTTCCTCAGCACATGGAACCCAGACTTCCAATGGTCCTCACTGCCAGAGGGGAAAAAACCTGCTCTGAAGGCCTCCCTGCCTAATGCTACCCCTTACTTCAGCCTCAGCCACTGAGAACTACATCAGATCTCAGGGACCCACACCCCTCCTCCACTAGTGCTGCCCCTGATGTCCCCTCTCCAATCACAGCCTTCCCCTCTCCACCTCATCATCATTTGAAGCCCAGCCCCAGAGGTCCTCCAACCTTAGGCCCAGTGACTATATCCCAAATGGTGACTAGTGTCCCTGTGCTAATCTGCCAGAGTGACTGAAACACCAAGATACACCAAGGGTCACAACAGAAATCCCGGTGAGTCCAAAGCATAAATAAGTAATAATTGGGGCTTCATAGTTGTCTGTCTCAATTATTCCTCTGCTTTTGCATTCCTGTTATGTCTATGCTTCTCATGGAAGCCCTGGCCACCTGACAGACCATCAACTCTCCCAGACCCCTCCTACCGCCACCTCATGCTCTGGCCAGGGATTGAACCTGCAACCCTGGTAGTATGTACCCTGACTAGGAATTGAATCCACAATCTTTTGGTTCACCAAACAATGCTCTAATCACTAAGCAAGCCAGCCAGGGAGCATCTCAGATTCTTCTGATAGCCAAAAACAGATTTGACTTCTCAATGAAAATTAATCTTACTATTCTGGTTAATGGAGTATCCATCTTTCCAGTTGCTAACCCCCAAAACTTTGGAATCACCCCTGACTCCTACCTTTCTCTCTCTCTTCCTTAAAATCTGAAATTCTGGGTGGCCCTAATTAAAACACTGATCTAGAATCCAACCAGTTCTGTTACCTCTATGGCTACCACACTGGTACAACCACCACCACTCACCTGAAGTATTACAGTCACCTCCTCCCTGTTGCTCCTATCGCCTCCCCACATTCACGGTCTGTCCTCCAGGCTGCAGCCACAGGGAGCCTGACCTCCAGTCAGGTCAACCCCTCCTCTCCTCCATTCCAAACCTCCAATTTCTTCCATCACCTCCAGAACAGACAGCCAACTTCTCAAGGAGTCAGTGCAGGCCTGACATTATCCCACCCTATCTCCATTCTCCTTTCAGTCTCACTGGAAAGGAGAAAGGATCCTGCAGGTGCCTGAACAAGTTTATCCTCACCTCCCAGCACTAGCACAATCTGGGACCTATGTCTGCAACAATCTTTTACACCTCATCATATTGGTTACTAGCAGTAAGAACCACCCCATGTAACCTGGGTTTATAACCCTGGGTTTCTTCAGAGTCCCCAAGCTCCCAGGACACAATCATAGAGCCAATGAGTGGGATCGGGATCACTGAGGGCCTGGAATATCCCTCCACTCACCTGTATACAGTCTATAAGCACGTCCAGAGTCATGGGAATCTGGAGAAAGAAGAAATTCATTAAAGGGATGTGACCATAGCAGGGCTCCATAGTCCTCAGTGCTGACTCTGCAGCTGTGTGCCTTTGAACAAGAACTCAACTTCATCCTACCAGAGTGGCCCAGTTGGTTGAAGCATTGCCCCATACACCAAAGGGCTGCAGGTTTGATCCCCCGTCAGAGTGTGTAAGGAAGGCAATGGATTGGTGTTTCTCTCTCACATCGATGTCTCTCTCCCCCTTCCTCTCTCTAAAATCAATGAACATACCCTCGGGTGAGGATTTAAAAATATGTATGTACCATTGTGACAGGACATAGCTGAGCAGTAGCTATTCTTAGGTAGGAGCTGACCAGCAGCCCTTCTCAGGCAGCAGCCACTCTCAGATAAGCAGTTATCTCAAGGTCGTACACTAACCCCCATTTTAGTAGCTGCACTCCTTTCTCCTCCTCCTTCTGCCTGTGTAACAAGCAATAAAGAAAACTCCAGCTTGAGCTCATTGCTCAGGATTTGGGAATTTTAGCCCTCTGAGCCCACGAGTGTAATAAAGGATTGTGCCATCTCCCCCACGTGTGAGTTATTTTCCGAAACATTTTGGTTCCCTGATCGGGAAACGACTCACGCGAGCAGGCATTTCACCTCCAGTGAAGGCGACCGGGTGGTGGGGGTAGGGGGTCAGTGAGGGAGCCCTGCTGCAAGGGAAGGAGCACGTGCCCTGGATGTTTCAGGCTTCCCGGGGTGGAGACTCCTGTGCCACATCCCCTACCACTCTAAAACCCGGGTGGAGGGGGGAGAGACGAACCACGAACTGTCGGAGGCACCAATCGGAATCGGTAAGTGCCCCGGGGACCAGACCCGAGAGAGGCTGATCACCTCTCAACTGGAAAAATTCAGGAGTCCGAGCCAAGGCTCAGACCATTGGACTCCTACTTGGAGGAGGAAAAGTTGTAAACTCTGTGTGACTGTGTGTGTGAATGTATCTGTGACTCCATGAGCCGGCGAGGCTTACAGAGTCTGCTTGGGCCCTCACCTGTGGTGGGCGGGCGAAAGATCCCCTTTTCCTTTGTTTGTCTGTGCCGATTGGGAGAATTCATCATGGGGAGGGGGTGGGTTCTACCACAGTACTATATGGCATGTATGTTGGATATCGGAGAGCAAACCATGTGGGTACGCCACCATTTTGGGTAAAATGGAGGACAAGCCACGTGAGTGTCCCACGGTGGAGGGTGGAGCGTGCATGGTTGTCATCATCTTGGATGATGGGTCATGTGAGAGCCCCTCCATCTTGGAACTGGGCAAGGTGCCAGGCTAAGGGCTGTTTTCAGATTATAGGCTGTATGATGCTGCTGTGTGGGCACTGCATCAGTCTGGTTCTCTGTGTAACTGGTTCTGATAAGAATAGCTCTGGTCTGAAGGACATGAACTGAGGTCCAGGGGTTAACATCCGACCTATAGGGTGTTTGCAGGGTCTGAGCTTCAGAAAACTGCAAAATGTCCCTGCAAATCTAGGAAATTTTAGTGGAAGGTACCTGCAGTGCCAGGGACTTTAGGCTGCCACATGCTGAGTTTAAGTATAGTCCTTCCCAAAGTGGGAAAGGAACCAGGATTAAAAGAGAATGATGAAGCCCTAGCTGGCGTAGCTCAGTGGATTGAGCGCGGACTGGGAACCAAAGTGTCCCAGGTTCGATTCCCAGCCAGGGTACATGCCTGGGCTGCAGGCCATAACCCCCAGCAACCGTACATTGATGTCTCTCTCTCTCTCTCTCTGTCTATCTCCCTCCCTTCCCCTCTAAAAATAAACAAATAAAATCTTTAAAAAAAAGAGAATGATGGTTAAGTCTGAATGAGTAAAATTATGTATAAAGAATGTAAAGTTTTAAATCTAGAGTAAAGGAAACCTCAACCATTTGTTTTCTGGTTTTGAGGGAAAAGAGCAAATTTCTAACATGGGTGTTGTTTCTGATCAGAAACCCTCTGTACTTAAAGACTTGTTTAAGGTCACCTGTAAGACCTAAAAAAGGATGCCTGTAACCAGTCGGGGAGAATGCCTTTGCCACTCGGGACCTAGGAAGGGTCATTTGGGGCTGATGAGTGCTTCAGCCAGAAGCAAAGCAGCATGTCTCTGCCAAAAGACTGGGCCTGAAGGAGCATGTCTCTGCAAGGCACGCATGAACGCAATGAACGCATTGGTGCAAGAGAATGCGCCTACCAATGTATTGTTCTGGAACTCTGTGTTTTGGATTTTTGCTCTGTATCTGCTCTAAAAAGGAAATTGAGGATTCCAGGGAAGGTTGAAACTTCACATTCTATAGGAAAGCAAATAAAAAATATTATATATATGAAGGTCTGTGAGAAACTGCAAAGATAAATAGAAAAATAAAAGTTTTAAGAAGGAATTACATGGTGTTAATTAGTAATAGAAGATACAAGGCATGGAGATGCAATCTTGGTGGATATCAGAAGCTGTATGAAAGAATAAAGGGTTTGTGAATGTTGCAGAAAGTCTGTGGAAGTGAAAGTTTTAAGAAGCCTAATGGATATCAGAAGGAAAAAGATTTTCCTTCACGCTTTGTATTTTTCTCCCTACTTGATCTCTCCAGAATTTGGCATTCTGAAGGATTAAGTGATAACATAAGATTTCTTTGCATAAAACCAATAAGACCAGTCATTAATAGTGGTTTTGTTAACCAAGACTTTAAGTGGAATGTCACATCTGAAGGAGGCATGTATGGGTTCTGGTCATCACCAGAAAGCCCTGAGGAACTAGATTGACTTGCAAAGCTAGTGGAAGCCCACAAGAAAAGCCTTGTACTTTGGTTGCTTGTGCAGTTCATGGCAGTCTTTCCCAGGAAGGAATGAAGGTTGCTTTCCTGAAAGATGGCCAAAAAGAAACCTGTGGGCACAATGGAAGCTTCAAGGATCTGAGTGAAATAACTGGTACAGACGAAGCTAGAGGGCGGATGTGTGGCTCTGCTTCTGTTCCCCGAGGGGCGGACTGAGAAGTCAATCTAAAGTTTCCCTTTGTGAGTTCCAGCAAAGCAGAATTAAAGATCATAAGTAATCCAGGCTGCTCTTGGTGTGTTTATGCAAATGAACAGTCAAAATGAAAAGTGTAACTCAAAGTAGTCCCTTTAATAACAATGAGGGTGATCTTAAGGAGAAAAATGATGGTTCAAAGAAAATCACAATGCTTAGTACTGGACACCAGAATGAAGAAGCTAACTGTCTTAAAAGCGTCTTTTCATTTGAAAGTTGAAACTGGTTTTGTAATATCATCAAAGATATACAACTTACAGGTATGGAGGACCTATCAAATTGCCATTGCTAAATGTCATTGCAGGAAAGACCTTGCAACTGAATGTCTTCCCAAAAGAGTCTCACAGGCACAGAGACTGGTTTGGGGACTATTGTGTAAATTAACCTGTATGCTCTTCTGTTTTCATAAGACGTATGCCTATGACTTCATTACCTGAGTGATTAGTTGCAATATAGGCCTCACTTAAGGAGCCCATTCTTCATCATCACCCCCTGAAACTCAAGGGTTTGGCTGAACTGAGTGGCTGGGTTGGTGAGCAGTTTGGGCGATCTGTGGGCTTCACTTTAGAACTGATTTTCCCTTTTCTGTCTTAATGGCTTGAACAGGAAGGGTTCAGATATCTGGAAGGAGGGAAATCCTAATATATTCCCCTCAGCCCGAGTAAAGTATAATGGGCCACAAGAGTTTTGGATAGGTGTAGCATGCTTTGTACACTTTCCTCCAGATAAGCCCTTCTTTACCTAAGCCCCTGCCTTTGTCATTTAGTGGTTATGATTTAATTGTGCCTTCCAACTCCTTCCAAATCTGTCATCTCCAGAATATGACCAGGATGCCAATGGTCCAGTAATGCCAGTCTTTAAACACCAAGCCTGCGACTTCCTGGTGACAGCCAACTAACCAGGATTCTGTAAGGTCCTTCCCCTTACAGGAAGGACTCCCTCCATGCTGTACCCCCCTTCAGGGCACCCCAGACCCATGGGTAGGTAGAACAACATCCATTTCCAGCCGGAAGCAGTTACAAGAAAATGAGACCTTTGTCCATTGTCCTTTAAAAAATTTAAAGTGGGTGTATATTTAAAATAAGAAATTGTTACAGGGTGCAGCCAAGAGAGGGGACCCCAAATGGGCATTTAAAACGGGGTCCAGAACTCAAGGCGTCCAGGAAATTTTAAGATGTCTTCACCCCTTCCCCCACAGGTGTGAGTTGGGGAGGGACACACAGAGCGAGAACATGCAGGGCTATTTTGTACAACAGCAGCTTTACAGGTGATCCATGGCATAGTCATTTGACATACCTATAGCCTTCGGCTGGTCACTTAAATATGCTGAATAGCTGTGGCCATGCTCTGGGCCAGGGAGATAAAAGAAAGACTCCCCCTATCCAAGATGTGACTGGGAGGCAAGTTCCCCAAGTTACAGTGCCTGTGTGGGAGCTCGGAGAAGACTGGCTCCATGGCATGGGGCCACACCTGCCCAGACCCATGATGGCAACCAGACTGGAGTGGGTACCGGCCCGTCCAGGATCTGCGGGCCGTCTACGAAGCAGCCGTCACCCGCCACCCGGTGATCCCGAACCCGTACACCCTCCTGGGCCAGCTTCCCCCAACAGCAACATGGTTTACCTGCCTTGATCTGAAGGATGCCTTCTCCTGCATTCCTGTGGCACCTTCCAGCCAACCCATTTTTGCCTTTGAATGGAAAGATCCACACACAGCAGTCAAAACTCAGTTGACCTGGACTAAACTGCCCCAGGGGTTTAAGAACTCCCCAATCTTATTTAGGGAAGCCCTAGCAGGAGACCTGAAGCCCCTTGCTAAGGCGGGACGGACCTGACAATTCCGCAGTACATGGAAGACCTACTCCTGGCGGCCCATCCCAGGAACGGTGCTGGGAGGGAACGCACATGCTGCTGAAGCACCTGGCTGAATTAAGGAAAGAACACCAGAAGCACATCCTGAACACACTCCTACTCTTCACATCGAGTTGCAGAGGGCACACGCTGTGTATCTGAAGTGCTCCCACAGCTGTCCAAGCAGTCTTCTGTCATGGCCCTTCACGGTGCTCCATCGGGTTCACCTGCTCCAGTGGCCTGCAAGCTCCCTTGGGGCTCCGGCACTGTCACCAGGTGCAGAGCTCAGCAACCAGGCTTGTCGGAAGTACTCATGGTGTAATCATGGGCGCAGACAGAAAATGGCAAAGTTGCCAACACCCTCCAGAACCTTGTCTGATTTCTAAGAAAAATGCTCGTTCTCCTGAGGAAAAGCCAGCCTACACCCTGCTGCTGTGGAACTCGGCCCTACTACCAGGCTTTGAAGGTTCCGGACATTAAGCCCCTAGAATGGGGAGAAAATGAAAAGAAAGCCTTCCAAGATATCAAGGGGTGACTCAGTGATGTTCCTGCCCTTGGACTGTCAGAGCCGGGGCGGCCTTTTAATCAGTATACCCACAAGAGAGACAAGGTAGCCCTTAGGTCCTGACCCAGTCTGTCGGACCATGGCAACACCCAGTGGCTTACCTGTCTAAGCAGTTGAACCATGTTGTCACCTGCTGGCCACCTTGTCTGAGGGCAGTCTCTGCTGCCATAACCCTCTTGCAAGAGGCAGACAAGCTAACTCTAGGCCAAGAAGTCAGTCTTCACATACCCCATGCAGTAAACAGCCTCCTTGCTGGGCAGGGGCATAAGTGGCTGTCGAACCCTAGACTGACTCAGTACCAGAGCATCCTCCAAGGAAACCAGAGGGTGCATGTTAAGACCATGAAACAAGTCAATCCAGCCACCTACTTACCGGCAGAACTTGGAGAGCAGGACCATGACTGTCTTCAAGTAACCGAAGAGGTCCACACCAGCCGGCCAGACCTCCAGGACCAGCTCCTGGCCCAACCTGATGTCACCCACTACATGGATGGAAGCAGCTATATGGTTAATGGCAGGAGAGTCGCCGGGTACGCAGACCAGGAAATCCAAATCCCAAGTCCAACACAGTGACTTGTAGGGCAGCCGCCAAAGTGTTAGCCCTCCAGCCATACCGACACCAGTATCCGCAGTTGCAACCCTCCCAAGGATCTCAGCCATATAGCCAGGTATATAGTGATGCTAAAGGGATAAAAACACCTTATAGCATCAAAGGAGGGAATGTGACAGGACATAGCTGAGTAGTAGCTATTCTTAGGTAGGAGCTGACCAGCAGCCCTTCTCAGGCAGCAGCCACTCTCAGATAAGCAGTTATCTCAAGGTCGTACACTAACCCCCATTTTAGCAGCTGCACTCCTTTCTCCTCCTCCTTCTGCCTGTGTAACAAGCAATAAAGAAAACTCCAGCTTGAGCTCATTGCTCAGGATTTGGGAATTTTACCCCTGTGAGCCCGAGCGCGTAATAAAGGATCTTGCTCCGCCATCTCCCCCGCGTGTGAGTTATTTTCCACAACACCATCCCATTAAAAAAACACAAAAACAAAAAATCTCAACCTTCCTGTGTCTCAGTGCCATTATCCCCTTTCCAGTCTAACTCTGGGCAAACCTGAAAAAACATAAACAAAAACGTGTAACTCGGATCATGCTCCTCTTCTACTCACAACCTTCCATGGCTCCCTGAGACTGAAGGCAAATTCCTCATCCTGACGTTCCAGGCGCGAATGCTTCTAGCTCAGTCGCCCCTGCGCGTCGTTACACGGCGGCCCCTCAACCCGTCACCCCCTCCCGTCACACGGTGTCACCCACGAGCACCTACGACCCTGGGCAGCAGAACGTGACGGGCGCCCCGCCCCCAAGCTGCAGAGTTCGGTGAGTCGAAGGGGAAAGGCCCGGGAGCTGCGCACTCACCTCAGCCGGGCCCCTCAGGGTAGCCTCCGCCGTCGTATTCTGGGGTACCCCTTCCTGAGAGACTGGATGATGCACAGTGATCACCTTTAGTCCAAATGCGAAAACGCCCTGCTTCTGGGCTTTCATTGGCTGCCCCAAAACGGCGCGCGGCAGGGGGCATTGTGGGTGATGTAGTTCCCCCCAGCGCCGTTAACGCTTTGTTTCTGGGTGTTCATTGGCTGCACGTGAGCTTCTTCCGTTCAACTCTTGCGATATCCAAATCCAGGAAAATTAGCAAGTGTGTACGACACTCATGTATGACATAACTTGACGAGAGTTTATGTGACTAATGTTAACCTTTGCATTCCCATTTAGTGTGAATGTTGTTAGATTTCACTGGGGAAATGTGAGTGTGGTTGATGACGGCTTCTTGCCCCCTCCCAGGGGATTAAGCTGTTTTGCAGTAGGTATTAGAGAGCTGGAGGATGAAGATGACATCAGAGGTCCACCAATGGGCAGATTTTATCCAATCATGTCTTTAATTCCACCACTGACCCCAGTCCCTTTGTAAGAGGGAGGAGCCTTGGGTAAGGACAACAGATAAGTGAGTGCCGCCAGCCAGTCAGTAGCTCAGTTTTTGATCCAGGATTACCCAGTTGGCAGTTCGGTCTTCTCAAGGCGGTGAGTTGCTAGAAAGAAATAACAATTTCTAGTTTTGTTCTTGTGTTTTGTGCATGTGCATGTGGGTGTAATTTTGGGGTGAAAATTCCTAGGTATAAAGATATGTGGTTTTTTCAGGAAAGGAGTATCGTCTACTTTGACAACTGCTCTGGCCTAAAAGGGCTTGATGTTGTGGATTCTGTGTAAAGGCCTGGTCTGATAGTTTTCCTAAAAAAGTCTATGCCTGTGTGGGCTTGTTAATTGTATGTTTCTAGTAATTCATTTTTATGGCTTCTTGGGAAAGTATTGGTCTATGGCCTATTGGGGTGGGGGGTGGGGGCTAAAATTCAAACCTACTAGCTGAGCCTTATTCATATATTAACTCACTGAGCTCTACCGACAACTCTGGGAGCTGGGTGTGTTTAGAACCCTGTGACACTGATGGCGCCCGGTGGGTACTCGGTCTGGATCAAACAGCTGGTTCCATATTGGAAACCTGGCAGTCTAGTTTTTAATGCCAAGGTTTTTACCACTGTGTTTCACAGCTGTGTCCCTGTGGGATGTCTGCAAGTATGACCAAGTGGTGGTTTGTGTGCACCTGGAGTAGTCCTGAAAAGGAGAATTTTCGGGGAGGACCAGAGAAAGGATAGGGTACAGAAAAATAAAAAAGGCCAGTATACCTGGAAATAGAGAACTACGCACAACACCTAAGATGGCGGGTGGAGGGGTGAGAACAGGCCTAAGCAAGGCCCCTAGGACCTGGGAAGGACTTAGTACTTTTCCCTCAGGGCAAAGGAGAGTGAAACCCACAGGATTTAAGAAGATTAGCATTAATTAGATTAAGGTCACCTGGAAGTTTAAAAGGGAAGACTGTTGCCTTTTCTCTGGGATCCTTTTGGATTCATCTTAGCCTGTTATTAATGGGATAAAGGTGCTTAATTTGATCAGACAACCTGATGAAATTAATTAACAAATATTAAACAACTAATCAGTTCCTTTACTGGGCCCACGTAAGACTCCCACCGTTCCCTCATTCTTTCTGTTTTTATGTTATGAAACTTGTCAGGATGGGCGGGGTAGGACAATTGGGAACCTAGTTACAATTAGCATTTTTGACTACAAATATGGCCACCGTTTGGACTACAAGTAATATGGCATCTGAACTCTGACCTGAAGGAGGTGGTGACGTCAGACCAGGAGCCACCAATGACATGTTGCTTCTTTGTTCACCAAGAACCAATCCGTGGCTCCCGCGCAAAGTCAAGCCATATAAAACTCCCACCCTTTCCCTTCTCCCGCGTGGTCTTTTCTTAGCCCTTTTTCCGGTTAGAGAAAACGTTGCCGGGAGCACAAACTTCCAAAATAAAATTCATCTGCCTGTTTCCATGGCTAATTGGCTGTTTATTTCCTCGGCGGGGACTAAGAAAACTACATTTGGTGCCGAAACCCGGGAGGAGTCATTGTCTGCTGAAGACTGCTCCTCTCCCGGCTCCCCGAGAAGGCCTTAGGGCTACCCCACCAGTCTGAGCACCAAATCAGGGTAAGTGCTGCGGTCCCTCAATTTCCTGGTCCTCGGATTCTGTCCGTGGGAAAGGCTGCTTTCCTAACCGAAAATCGTGGCGCTGCATTGGGGTAGCCCTTCCGGGAGATACTGTTTTCCTGGGATTTAAGTCTAGGAGAAGACGTTCTCTAGGCTTGGATCCCCGTTCTGTCTGATTTGGTCTGTCTTGAGTTGCGGGACGCCAATTTTCAGTCACTGATCTTCAGTCCTTGGAATCAGGAATGGGAGGGCAGGGGTTCAAACCAGACCCTAAGTCGCCTCTAGCGTGTCTGGCCTCAAAAAGAAATGACTAATTTTTCTGTCCAATACGGCCTGGCCGTTATATCAGTTCAGTAATTGCAAAACCTGGCCCCCCCCCCCGAAGGCACTTTCAATTTTGTTACCCTTACTGACCTAAATAATTTTTGCAGACGGACTGGGAAAATAGTCTAAGGTCCCCACATTCAGAGCTTCAGAACTTTGTGCTCCCGCTCGGACTTGTGCACCCATTGTTCCATGGCACAAGTCCTCTTGCCCTGGAAAAATTCTGAATCTGCTCTCTCTCCAAAACTAACAGCTCCGGAGCTACCTGCCTTCTTTTTCTGACTCTCCTGAAGATCTTGTTTCCCTCCCTCTGAGGGCCTTTCTCCCTCCCCCTTTCCCCCCTCCCTACCAGCTCCCGCCAGCCAGTGGCCTTCATCCAGCAGAGGCCTATGCGAGGAGGAAAATGCTGAGGCTGTGCCAGAAAACTTAACTCTTTGTCTCCAGCCGACTGAAACACAGTGAGTATGTTATCAGCAGAGGCTGCCTTTCCCACCTTCAGAGTTAAGGAAATGCTGTGCTGTGGAGGTGGGGGATTTCAAAGTGCTAAGCCTATGCTTGGAAGTAAAAACAATGAGATCTGAAATGAGTGCTCCGGTTATGCCCGAGCTCCAAAGAAAAGAGGCAGCCTCCCCCTCCCCCCAACCCAAATCTTTGAGTGTCCCTACGTAAGTGGGGGCCTTGCTGTGGTGTCTGAGGTCAATCCCTAAAACGTGCAGGGGCCTCATAGGGAATTCCAATCACAGTAATTAAACTCCGGCTGGTCACCCAGCACTCCAAGCCACCCTGGATGTATTAGTCAGGGGAGAAACCGAAACCTAAAAAAGTTAGGGATAACCAAAGAAATAATGGCTTTTGGAAGCCCTGCACACAAGCAGCTTTCTCTCTCTTCCTCGGTAACTTCTAACAACTCAATTTACATCCGAATACCCCTTGCAAAAACTGAAGGGAGTGGACAGTGTTATGTCTGCTGGGCAAATGTCTTGCTTTCTTTCTCTCAAAAAATGGCCACACCCCATGGGCACGGATCAAGCATTTAAAAGCCACAAGGGCGCTCGCAGCAACAAAGACACCTGTGGGAGGTTACATTAAACGTAAACTGAAAAAAACCCAAAGCACTAGGTTTCCTGCCAACTGCAAGCGAATGTTCATGCAGCTAGAGGCACACTGTAAAAGCATACACTGTCTCATCCCTGTGGTACATTCCCCACTTAGGTGTAGTCTTTAAGAAAAGAAAGCAAGATTTTAGCCTGTAGTGGAAGTCCTGCCTTTTCCAGGCTCTGTTCTCCTAACTAGGTATTTTTTGTTCAAATTTGCCTCGAATATTTTCTCCTTTCTCTAACTACATTTGCATCTCTGGCTACTCTCATCCCTGTTTGCTTTACCAAATAATTGCTGTGTTTATTTTCTAGCCAGACAACCATCTAGTCTGTAAAACCATGCCTTTGATCCTTATTGCGTGCACAGCAGGAGGTGATGATATATCTTACCTGCCTAACCTAAGCCTTGCATTCAATTTCAGCTTTATATTGGGCTGTGGGCCCCACTATGCCCACATTGCCTAGAAACAAAGAGTACAAAAAAGTGAAAATTTCATTCCCTCCCTGACTGTAAAACTCAGAAAGGAAACTGAGGAATTAAGACTTTGGAGCATTGTAAACTTCTAAACCTGGGAGCTACTGTAGGTCCTCAAAACAATAGAGTAATTAACTGGCTACTCAAAACAGCGGGGTACCTGCCTCTCCAGTGCTGCGGAGAAGGTAACATTTTAAACTGAGGTGTTTTGTTTTTTAACAGCTGTGCCTGAGTCCTAAGCCTATTATCTCTGCGTTGTTTTTTGTTTGTTTGTTTGTTTTGTTCTTCCAGCCTCTGTCCTGAGCAGAGCAGGGGGCTGGGCACCGCAGCACCCAGAGTTTTCGTAATGCTGGCAAACAGCAGCTTATGGTGTTTTTTTTTCCTCCTTTAAATAGGGCTGTACTCGGGTACATGTGCCTTTCTCAATAGCTAACCAGCAGCAGTACAAGAAAAGGCTAGTAAACTTTTCTAAAAATCCCTCATAACTCATCAGTAACTTCCATATTTTAACCCTTGCCTTTATTATGGCCTGGAAAGACCTGTACATAGTTCTAACTAATGTTTTTGGGGGGAAAAACCCTGCACTCTTTCTGCACAACAAACTGGTAAAAGCCTTTCAAAAATACACTAATATAGACCCATCGTCTCCAGAGAGACAGGTATTAATACATCAACACTTTATAACTCAGTCAGCCCCAGACATTCGAAAAAACTAAAAAAAAAGGCAGAGGACAGTCCTCAAACCCCCATCTGAGACCTGGTAAACATGGCATTTAAAGTTTTTTAACAACCGGGACAAAAATGCTGAGGCTGCCGACAAGTGCACCTGCAGCAGACAGTAGCGCTGCAGACCTAGACTACAGTAGCAGCCCTGAGGCCGCCCCAAAACCCAGGACGTCACAGCCCAGGGCCGAGTCAAAGTCCGGGCCACTGAAAGAAACGCTGCCAGGAGCCTGCTTCAAATGCGGTAAGGAAAGACATTGGGCCTGCCAATGTCCAAA